AAATTTTACAGCTCGTTTACATGGTGTCAGAGTTTGATTCGAAAAAAAGGAACTCAAAACGAGATTGATTTATCCTTTTCCTTCGCTCGACAGGTGGATTTCAAAGTCATTGCCTCTCCACCCACGGCCAAAGAATGAAAATGAACAATCGTCGATGGAAAACCATCAGGCCTCACCTATCAGTCAAGCACTAATTATTGTTGACATTTCGCTGTTAACAATTGGTTCTCTGGCAGGTGTTTTTGGAAATGGACGCGCATGCGTTCTGCGTTGGAAACGCAAAGATCTTTATAAAGTCTCACAAGTCCTGTTTGTAAATCTTTCTTTATATTGCTTTCTTACTTCACTCATGAGTTTAGATGGTTGGGTATTTGTCGCCGTGACAAGCACGGTTTTAAGATTTACGGTGCACGTATTGTTTTCTTTTATAATTGTTCCGGCAGTGTATGTCTGCATAATATTAAACGTACTCACGTTATCACTGAAGGAGATAAGCAGACAAGATTGTGTAACACGCCCTTTAGATCAGCGCATGACGCGACACAGTGTCAAAAAGATTACTCTCGTGTGTTGGATCCTCGTGATGGTTTTGGCCTCAGCCGCTGTCACCTTTGATATACTAGGAGAACATCCATATTGTCACAATTTTGATCAATACGACCTCCTTAACAAAATGAGAAGCAATAACAGTTTGATATCTTGCGTTTTGCAAGCCTGTCTATATCGTTGAACGTGGCGGCTCTTCTTGAAATTGTTATAACCTTTATTCGTATGGTGAAAAGATTACGCGCATCTCTAATCCAAGTTTCTCGAAGTGTTCAGAACCGCAGAGAAAAAGAATTAAGAAAGAATACGTACAGGAAATGCACGGTATTTGCAATGTTCTGGTCTATTATCTTAATACCCAATCTTTTGATTCGATTCTGAGGGTTCAGCGTTGATAGATTCAAAGGTACACACGTTTTGATTGTAACGATTGCCAAATTCTTTTTCATACTTGATCCATATCTGCGTCACAAAATGTTGAAAGCTCCCACGCCAGCCAGCCGCATGGTGGTTTTAAGAGATCATGGACAGACAAGTGACTGACAACAATAGACAACAACCAATCAGAGGAAAGGAATAAATCACCAGTGGACAATGAGAGCTGATCTAATAATCAGGGAGGGAAAAAATCAAGTGATCTGATTGGTTAAAAGGGAGGGCGAGTCTTTTTTCGACCAATCACGGTAATGTAACAAAACTAGTGTGATATCAATTTCAATCGTCATTCGCTTGAAAGTTCCTCTGATTTGAAAGATTATTCTTGTTGGATCATAGGCGAAATAACACAGTTGAAAATGCATACTCTCGATTTAAAACCCTTTTAATTTGGTGATCATTTCCTTTATCCTCATCACCTTAAATTCATTGAAAGTTTTATACCTTTAGGGGAAACTTGGTGAAAGACGTTATTGACGAGAGGTCGAAGCAGGATCAACACTCAAGGTCTTTAAAACAACTGAGGAGAACGTGTTGCCTTTGCTATGACATCTGCGAATGGTTAGATATTCTAGTCTTCTCGTACGATAAACCGTAGGTCCCATCTCCTGCACTTTGGTTAGTAAGGACGTGAAAAACCTCAAGCATTTCTCGCATCGAGTATGGAAGATGGCTCCCAGTATCGTGGTCTGGCTTTGTCATTGTTTGTACAGGCCACCATCCGTAAACCAGCCTCAAAGATCAACTTTGCAAACAAATAAAAAACGATAAAACAAGATAAGTAGATAAGTAGTTTTTTGTAAACTGCGTCAATCTTAGCCATCCTCGACCAGTTTTGCTCCTTCTAAGTTTTTTTTGCCCACTTTCGTGTAATTCTATCGTACCAAAATTAATTTTTTTTTCTTCCACACTGTCGGTATTTTTACCCGACGCAGATATCCGCTTAAACGATAGAAATGCTGTCCCTCAGCCGGACTATGTAGCCCCTTTTTTAACATCAGTCGAAGCAAGAGAAAATAATTACTATTATTTTCTCCCCGTCAAAGTTGATTTAATTTGAGCCGACTAAAATGATAAGGAAACTACGCCTATTACGTCAGACGTCAAACTATTTCTGCCGTCCTGTTGCAGGACATCGGTATCTGACATCGTTTAGGAGTTTTTCAGCAATAGTAGGCAAAAACATCGGCTGTGTTTCAATACCCAGCAGCTGTGCAGGGTTTAAAATAGACTAAATGTAAGGCAGTCGATAATTTTCAAAGAATAATCCGCTTGGCACATGATAGGTTCGGCGTCTGAATCAAAGCCATTCCAAAGTCGAAATTCCTAGCCAAGCCGCCCGTAAAGAAGAGCCGAACCTCTTCAGATTAAAAGAGCTTCTCCTAATTGGATCAGGATTTTTCGCCTATCATTAATTCAAGGTTTTCGTTTCATAACAAGTTTAGTGTCTAAACTGAGACTAAGTTGAAAATAACTTCGTCTTGGTATTCGCCGATTGGATCACAAGTGGACCACCCTGGAAATGTCAAAGCACATCGTTTGATTTGACTCTAAATTCTTCAAGAGAGTGAAAGTTACATTTATTGTTAGTCCTTCCGGCTCAGAGTCGTCTTCTGGTCTCGTTACGCGTGAAGGAGACCAACCAACGGCTGCGAAAGGCACAACATGAATGTAAAAATTTTGAACGCTTTTTTTATTAACTATTGTTCTCTGGGACGTTGGTTAGATACATACTTGACCGTGAACGTTTATATTAGCACAGACGGACCACCCTTGAGAGTATGTTGACATGTAAGACATATTACAGAAAGATACATTGTACAGTGGCTACAAATAAAGCACTGATTGATAAAATTTTTAAAGCATTGTGTCTAAAAATCTCAGTTAAGTGAAAACAAACATTAAGACACCGAAAGTTACTAGTGTTTTTTTCCTCTCTGAGCCGTTTAAAACGCCTTTTCAGTGAGTTATTCTGGGAGAGTCATACATATTCTATGTTTGTGTAGTACGTCTTTACATGTCATCACACTCACGAAGTGGTCAGTCTGTGCTAAAACTGTCCACCAAATGAATCACGTTCTTGTGTCGTGACAACGTCGATCACAGGAATAATAGTTTTTAAAAAGGCACACACAATTTTACTTTTATGTAGTGTCCCACGAAGCCGTTGTTAGGTCTTCTTCAAGCATAACGAGACCGAACAACAGCTGCGAGCAGGACAAACAAAGAAAGGAACTTTCACCCTTTCATTAAGATTATTCCTTAGATCCAGGTATTAATTCTCTACACATCTGTCCTACAATAATAGCTTAGAGAATTTGCTGTCAAATCAAACGATATGCCGAAAGGTGATATTTTTCTGTCTTCTAATCACCTTTCTGCTCGGAAAAGTGTTGATATTGTTTGATAAGTTTCCTTTCCTGTGTCTAACGAAAATGAAAGCCTCGAGAGAACCTTTAAAGTAATTTTCATGACGATAACTCATGAGCAGCAACAAATACCTGTAGATGTTTTGTATCCTATGTAACCTGTTCAACGGATAACGCTGACTTCATATTCATGAACGGCGCTGATAATGATCCAATTTAGCCAACACAACCCTCTGTTTACAAATGAAAAAAATGTCGACGTCCCTGTAAAAGCCAAGCAAGCATGACTCTTTTGTCTCCTGGTGTTTACGAAAATGGAAATAAAATGCTGCAAAACGGAATAATTTTCTCGCGATTATCTGTATAAAATCGGCCCTAATGTATTTACTTTCAGTAATTGTTAAGACAAATCTCAGAATTGGTTTATATCCTTCACTATCTAACAATCAACATTTATCACCGATCGCCAAGTTACATACATAACCAAAACCTCAAAACCGTCAAAATAATTCTGCCGGAAATTTGATAAAAAATTTCCAACCAGACACTCGAGATTGTCAATCACTAGAACATACTAACTGGTGCAATTGGGTTGATTCTCCTGAAGAATTTCCGCCAAGCTTCCTCGCGGATCAGCGAAAAGACATATTTCCGAGTGACATATTATCGAAAGTAAATCGAAAAAGTCAAGTAGGATGAGATAAAATCACTTTGAAGGCCGCTTAAGCTAAGTGGAGCATCGAGAAGATTCGTTCAGCGGCACAGAAGGAGCATTTCCGTGGAGGCAGAATAAATATGGAGCACCGCCTCCTCAATTACGGACCCCTTTGGACTTGAACGGTCTGTGGGTAATCGACAATCTGCGGGTACACTGTGTCAATTTGATTGAAACAATGAACATCGTTAATTGCCAGAGCATGTTATCACAGTGTATTTACCGACCTTCCGAGCTGCATATTTGCGTATTTTCAAGCACATGGAAAACATTATGGAATAATTTTTTATGTGTTAGATCCTTCAAGTAAATACGGTTGTTATTGAGAAAGATTTGATGACTGGGGGGTTTTGTTTACTTCAGTTATTGACTCGCTTAGTGATATTTTTCAGTATCAGGCCCAGTTAAAGTAAAAGTTCTTCCACGTTGGTGTATTCGCACAATTAAAGGAAAAACCCTCTTGATTTTGTCAAGGAAATCTGGCGCGAGGTCAGATTTCGACATCACAATCATGTTTTAAATTTAGAACAAAGGTTGGTAAATGATTTAGCTAAGTCAATAGTCTTAGTCTCGACAATGTTATCCTGTCATGCAATAATTAAAAACTAATAAATCACCCTTGACAGCTTTCCGTCGTTGAAAAAAATCTTGCAAAGACCTCTTTGTAGAAGTGAGAGAGATGTACAAGGACGCGTTAATCTGTCAAATATTAAGTATCGGCCCTGGCGGTCCGTCAAAACAGAGATATTTTTTGGTCGTTTTCCAAAAAACTTCGCACTGTTGCGGCCGTAATCGGAGGTCAAGAAATTGGCCTCGCACCGCAAAAGCTCAGCGTTGATTGGTTGAAATGATGACAGATGACGTTCATGAAGGACATGCATCGGAACTCTTTAATAAGGTCTGATTGGAGGGGTGGAGCTTGCAGAACTTCAAGAATGCAAGAAAAGCCAAGTCAAGTCATATATGAGGACAGTGAAAGAGAGTTTGATTACAAAACAGCGATGGAAGCTTCTACAAGAAACGAAAATGGGAAGAAACGCTACCACCTTCGTCATAAGTCCCGCGAGGCCCGGAATAAGCTCGCGGAATTGGCCAATTTTGAGGAGGATGGAGATGAAATATGCAGCGACTGCTTTCGAGATTCGGCGCGGTTACGAAAGTACCCACATTTGAGGTCAAGTCGGGATTGCGCTACGGTGAGAGAGAGAAATCGAATGCATAAATTGAACAGAGCATTTGAAGAGCTAAGAAACGTTATACCAAAGGATAGCTACGATGGAGAAGAAAAACTCTCCAAGATTGCCACTTTGAGACTAGCTATTCACTACATAAATGTCCTCGAGAACATCTTGGAACAGGATTCGGGCGATGAAAGCGAAAAAGACGAAGACGCCACGAGCAAACGACAACGTTTAAGTGATGAGGAAACTTCTTCAAACACCAGCAGCGCAGAGCTTGATTCACAAGGTTCTCCCGAGGGAATTTTCTCTAATGAAAGTAAGTAAACATAAACTTTACGTAATTTAAGTGTACACAATTAAGCTTGCGTTCGCTAACAGTTTAATGCCGATTCGTTTGAAAAGGTGGCAAATTTATCACCTACCCTTGGGGTAAAACGATAATTTGCGAGCTTCAAGGGGGTAAATGAGTCTCCAGCATAGAAAAGTTGTGTAGTTTGGTGTTACCGCGAGCAAACAGTTTTAACGTAGAAAGGAACTTCAACTCTTGGAGTAATCCACTTCAATCCGGCAAAGGAAATTGTGTGCTCCACCGTTCACACACCGGCTACGCTATGAAACGTAAACACGATAAAACGGCTTTTTAAAATTACATATCAACACATTCTCTTTAGTTTTGAAGTCTGAGTGGTCTTAACACACATATATTTCCTGTGGTGGATACTTCTAAGTCGGCTTACTTCATAAATGGTGCACGATCTTCCGATAAAAAAAAAACCCTCTAAACGTAATCGATCTGGTCAATATAAGCACTGTTCATTGATGAGCAATTTACAACGAGTTGTTTGACTTTTGCAACATTTAGCGACGTTTACCGACCCTGAGAATTTTTAATTTTCAGGTTTTTGGTGCGGTACTCTGGAAGAATTTGTCGGCCCTCACTGCGAAGAACTTTCTCTCACCGAAGCTCTGGAGGTTTACTCAATCACTAACCCAAGTCTGACATCATGACAGATCCTTCAGTGATGAATTCAGTTTGTACTTCTGTTACATTCACGACAGACCTTCAACAATCTAGAGGCTTAGAGGAAGGTTTGGTTAGAGAATAGGCTTTACAGAAATAAGCAGTGGGGTAGAAGAGGGAAAAGACTTATCCAGGTGAAATGCCAAGAATATCCTGCCAATTCATTTCGAGTTGACGACATGCTCGTAGCTTTTTTAGCTCCGTAGAAACGGTGTAAGGGTTAAATATTTTACATTCATGTCTTCTTTGCTTGCAAAATCTTATTTGCTCAAAGGAATAGTAAGTTTGTAATAAGCTGCCGAAGTTGTTTGCTGCTATTGCAAAGAGTTTCAACCGAAAGGCTTCATTTTCGTTATTCTTAATAACGTGGAAATCAAGACAAAGAGAAACTTGATCTTTTGTAGCGGAGCTTTACGGGAAATTTTCCAGCCGAATTCACGAGTCATACAGAAGTTCAGCATTTAGATTCCATTGATTTTCAAGGTTAACTAGAAACTTTACGTCCAATGCAATGCACACTGCGAGAATGCAAGAAAGAGATTTTACAGTTAAGAAGGTCGTATCTAGAAACAGAATTACTAAGTTTATAAGTTACGCATTAGATCAGGTAACAAACGAGTTGTCAAGTAATAACCAATTATTTCTATTGACTTTAAAAATTCATCATATTTTGCTTCGTTGGAGAGATCACTAAACTATCTCCTTGATATCATTGCCACTGCGAGGCTCTTTCATTTTATATTACCGGTTCTGTTCTTAAAATCTTTTAAAGTTGTGTTTAACCTTCAGTTCAAAGTTACATGTGGTCTTAGAAATTTTACGTCAAGTTTTTATAACACACTTTTCACTTAAACTGAGGGTATAAGGAAGTTAGAAAGTTGAGAATCTGGCTTTATTTCAGTGTATGAATTCAATATGAATTTTCTCCTTAATTAAAGGTCATAGGTAACTAACTTTAGAAAGTCTTGCGAATTATGGAACTGATCCTTGCATCAACATTACTGCCCTTATAATTATTTGTAAAAGCAAATGCTTGGCGACCCATAAGGAAAAAAGACGCTTTGACAACGGATGATAAAGTTTATTAGATCTTGAGTAAACCTTGTCAATGTCTGAAATAAAACACTGTTAACAGAAACATCATCAGTTCTATCTATATTCGTTCGAAGTTCTTCTTCAGTCGTTATTTTTGGAAAGAGAGCAGAAAATTGAAAGGCTACCAAGCAACAGGAAACGATAATCGATCAAAAGGAGAGGGTTGACTTTCTTCCACTTCTTACCGCGTCGACTGGGAGTAAAGTTCATTACTAAGTCTATCAAGTGATAGTCGCGTGTGGTAAAAGAATATCACGTGGTCTCTCGAGGTCTATAACGACTTGTGCAAGGGACTATTTTTGATATATGGACAATATGTTTAACATATAATTTGCGCAGATATTTTGCGAGTTGCTAAGTATCTTGCTCCGAGCCACGTAGAGGCGAAAAAAACCTACGAGAAATGAGCACAATTTCCGCTGGTACTATTTATAAAACCATGAAATAAGATATTAATCATTCCATTGTCAGTTCACTTTCTAGTTTTCTCGGCTTCTGGTTTCCGAAGTACATTCTATGCCTTTATCTGAGCATAGTATCGGTCGCATAGTTAAGGCGTGCGCGTATTGTTTCCGTCCGAGAGACAGAAACAATACAACTTAAACAGGACTGAGAATATTTGGTATTCTAGTGGAGTACTAAAAAACCTTTTCTGAAAAGAATGACTATATTGCACACATCTTCAACCAAATATTATTTTAATATCTAACTTTCCCACAACTTGTTCGATCTTACAGAAATCCGCTTTATGTAACTTGAATATTTACAGATAAAATAAATATAATTTGCTTTTTTTCCTTTTTTGCAAGTAAGCTATTGATACGGACTAAGATAATTCATTGGTTTTGACTTGTTATAATGATTTAATTTAAAACTCTTGTTTCACTTTTCTTTTGTTTTCTTTTGACTGTCACCGCAGGGGGGTTGCTGAAACTTGGACCGAATTATGATTATTTATGTATTTTTTGGTTGCCCACGTCAGTCTGTAATTATGTCTTCATTGACTGTCTTTTTCGCCCTGTAAAATAAAATAAGACGTTAAGTGAACGTATATTTCTATTTGTTTTAAATCTTACTAGCGCACACTACTTTTTCTGTTCCTGCACATCACTCGAGATTTCAATTATTATACTCGTAAATTGCACCTTTTTCTTGGAAACAGGAGTCTATTTAACACCTAAATCCGGCTAAACCTTTTAAAAAACCTGCTACCGCTAAAATGTAAACAACGAATAAATTCAGTGAATTTTCTCGTCGCTTCTGCCAAATTTAATTGGAAGGTTCTCAAGCAAAAACAAGGTTCCATTTTGAAGTTCCTGTTTTCCACCGCATGGATTTATCTCTCATCAGAATGATTTTCTCCAATGTGTTTGCAAAGCAGGTGCAGTCTTGTAATTAGTGCTCTTTTGTTGCAACTTTTGCGACAATTTCATTGGTTAAAGCCAGAGTTTTAATATACAACAACGTAGAAGTTTACTTCAACTTAAGTCCAGGTGTTCGTTAGCGAATTCGATTCTGGTTTTTTGGCGTTTCGAGATCAATAGATGAAAAGCATTAAAAGGCCTGATGAGATTTAAACCTTCCCGCCGGCTTTGATTACAATTTTTACTTGTAAAAGCCCTTTTAACGTTTAATAAAAATCTAAATAAGAGTACAAAGACCCCGGAAAGCCTAGCGTTAAAAGTACCTTGGATATTTTTATAGGGCAACCATAAAAACATCACAGTAATTGAGCCATGTTTTTTTTTCCTGCGAGGCGCCATGGAAAGAGAATTATGAAAGAGAAAATGAGATCAATTTTGGTATATTTTCTACAAGTTATAATCTATTTATAAATTACGCTTTTCACTTGCAAATATGTTTTGCGGCGATTCGGTACTTTTTAATATAATTAATAGGTTTAAAAGGCCACAAAAAGGAAAACATCGTTAAAGGAAACCCGAAAATGAAAAAATATATTCTTGCATTGAAAGAAAAACGTTTTCTGATACTCACTCTTTTCGTCTTGTTCGGCCTTCCGTTTGCAACGCTTGAGTACATTTATCAACGCACTCGGCAAAATGTTTAAGTGATTTCGTAGATGTATCGTTCTCTGCCAAATAAGACAATGCCGAGATATAGCTCGTTGCCAACCTCAATATTGCGAGCTTGGAAAGCTTCTGATCACTTGAATAGCTGGGCACAGCTCGCCTCAATCCTTCGAAAGCCTCACTCATAATATGAATTCTAGAGCGCTCTCTTGCATTCGCAATCAATCGACGTGATCTGTTTGACTGACGCCAAGACAATACCTTTTTGAGCTTAGAGCGGGATTTTTTAACACTCTGTCCCCTCTTCTTTTTGCCGCTTGCCACGTTTTCTTCACTTTCTTCTTCTTGAGTCGCTGTTAGTGTTTTCGGCTCCGCAGTTCCCTCGCTGGTTGCTTCTTTCGAAATACTTGAATTGTAGTTAAGAGATCCCATGGACTGTGCATATACCGTATTTATCGCCGTAATTTCACACATGGAAGCTGGAGAAGAGAGATTTTTGCGCCTGGTGCCCTTAATTTGCGGCTTTTCGTGGTAATTGATAACGTTTTCAGGGCTTTCGCCGACGAAACACTGCGATGATCAAGTTTTGGAAGTGAATGGGAGGATGAGTCGATCGCCTCGCTGCTTACCGGCGAGTATGCTTCTCACTTGAAACACCTGGTTTCCTTTTGCTTGCCTCACAGTGCGATGTTTTCTTGTGCTTCTAACATCCGAAGATCTGTCATTTTCTATTAGCATTTTTTAAACACCACCTGCCACCAAAAGACAAAGAGTTCCGAGATTGTTTATCATCGAGCTTGGCAAACACTCATTCACAATCAGCTCTAAACGATTGTTGACCGAAAGCAAGCGTGACACATCAAATGTCATTTCTCGCCGCATACAAATGGCTTTTTTTCGCTGCGCATAACAGGTGTGGTGACAGTGAAAATTTTGTTTGTTAATTGCATTATTACTTTCCACTAATGGCGTCTTTTGAGAATAAAAACCTTTCTAAAATGGGCTGAATTCATTACGAAGTAATGCATCCTTTTCAAACCGGTATTCCTTGCCAAATTAAAGATAGCTTAATGTTTCGGAAAGCTTTCTTTTTCATGTTCTGAATTCGAAGTAAATTTCTTTTGTTGGATCGAGCTTTGTGCCAAGTCTACGGGCAGGTGCTGTGTTTTTGTGACTCTTTTTCTGGTCTGAATTTGTCCGAAAGCAACCACCAATTGTTTTACAAATAAGCCATTTGCATCAATGATGATCAAAGAATGGAAGGGCGTATTTTCAAAACTGCCTTGAGTGATCGATATCTTCAACTGTCTGCGGTTGTCTTGTATCAATTTTTATGGATCGCAGATACGAAAATGCAAGAAAAAATATCGTGCTAATTTTCTGATACCATTTAAAAGTTCCAATATTTTCCCAACATCCATTGAAAATCGGATGTTTGCCGAAATATTGGAAACATACATTTTAAAAAGACAACTTCCAGCATTATCATATCCTAGGTAGTTTCGAAATTTGTCGCAAGCTTCTCAAATGGACAGAAATTCTTACATCTCCCCAATATTCACGAAAGAAAAGTAAGACTAGTGTTAGCCCTATTAGCGTAGCAACACAACGATGTTTTAAAAAGTTCGACGACGATTTGGCACAATAATAATAGCCTGAAAGATCTAGGCTCAAAACGATCCGAGCGTAACAAGCCTTGTAAATAAAGAATTCAAATTCGCGTTCGTTTTTATTTGACAAAACCGGCACGCTGAATAAACATTGGGTCAAATAAATTATCACTGAGTTGTCTCATCGGACGACAGGCATAAAAAGCGATTCCTTTCATAAACTTCGCAATGTTCATCGCCGGGATAAACATCATAGCTATGTTTACTGTATTAGCTATCAGTTTTCAAGCCAGACTCCCCGCGTGCCATTTGATTCCAGTTTAGCGAACAGGAGTATTGGAGAAATTGTCGATAACCAAACTGTATAGAATATATATTGTAGTGTATAGAATATTCTAAAAGTTTTAAATCGTTGAAATTTGCCGGCTGAGAGACAAACAATTCTACTGCTCTTCAAATGCGTGCTCTTCTGTTTTTTTCGTTTTTGTTCATAATTGGGTGTTTGGAAGAGAACATTACTTAGTAAACAGCGACGGATATCGGACTAATAAGAAATGAGACAGTGGTAAAAATTAATCCGAATTGAAAATAAATGAATTTAAAACAACGAGAGAAGCATACAGTGTGAAAACCGAAAAAATGTCGGTCTTCATTTATTATTGGCTTAACGAGTTTTCTGGACCAATCACAGAGCGAAGATAAGCAAAAACAAAACAATCCTGCATTATCCGATATGTTTTAGAAGCAGTGATACCAAAGAAGAAGTGTCCACTGTCCGCTTAAAAGAACCCCGGTTAATAAATAAACGGCGGATACATATTGCTAGTTCGATTCTTTTAATGTTTGGCTTGCCTGTATATAACAAATTCTACGACGCCTAGTCCACACAGCAATTCCGAAACTGCTCATAACAATTTTGTTCTGACAGGTTGCGTTTAAAGATCTTTAAATTGCGTTAGTAAGCATGCGCAAAGGGAAGGCTTTGACCCCACGTGTTGTGACAGTTGACTAGTGCCCAGGTCTTCTCGTTTACTTTCGAGCTGAGAGAGTCATAACTGGGGTAGAATGGGGTGACGTTTCCCATTTGGAAGGTAAGTTACAAAAACATCGTTACAAACGTGAGAAACTGGAAATGTGATAGCAATTACAAGAATGGAGAAGGCCCTCTCGTGACCAATTTGCAACCAACCTAGGAAAATGGGACCGAGCGTGAAAAAATTATTTCTCTAAAAATTATTAATCAAAAAGGCCTATCAAAAGGGTAGACATCACAAGAAGCTATTAGAACTCAGAGTAGGAAATAAGGACATGAGTAAAAAGTAAATGGGTTACCCACTACGGTGGGTAACTAAGTTACGTTGCCATCTAACTTGATGACAGGGGAGCGTGAGAGTTTTTCTTATTTCAGCTTTTTGACAAATCATGGAGCAATGAGTATAAAAACAAAACAATTCTTTGATTATTTATACTAAACAGAACATACATTTTTTTAATAAAAAAAAAAAAACTGATAAATACAAACGATGCATTGCAAGCATTGGTCAGTTGCAGTTTAACAGTTGTTGACTTGGGTCAAGTCGTTTCAAACCCTGGATAAATTTCATTCCCACGTGGAGCCACAATCTGACAATGAAGAAGAGAAAAAAAAACACTGACATCGTTCGCTGCAATCTCAGTGAACTTTAAGTCATGAAAATCGTTCAACAGTTCAATTAAAGACAAAAATTCCAGCAATGAAAACATAAGGTTCGCGTCAGAGGGTACATGTCGTAACCATAAAACAACTTGTATCTTAGTACTTGGCTTGCGAACGCGAGAGGTCTGGATCGAAAGAGGTTAACGATTAGCGCGCAAGTTTCCACGCTAACAAGGATTGGGAGGAAAATCGATTTTTGCTCTCTAGTTCGGCTATTACCAAAATATGTGACACCTAGCCACTTTGGTAAAACTGAAAAGAAATGAATTCATAATTTTTAAGGTAGGAACAGGTTTTATACTTTAGTCTAAAAATTAACCTACATTTTATACGTTCGTCGTTTTTAATTATTTCCAGTGTTTTCCATCGTTTGTCCTCGTTGTTCCTTCTTGGTTTATTATTGCCTCTTCAGCGTTTTTCTATCTTATCAAACTAAGATGATATGATCGACAAAAACTGGTAGTCATTGTGTTAAATTGAATTCTAAAGTCGACTTCTTAGTCCGTGTAAAGCAAAATAACGGAGGCAACAATTCACTACGATGACAAATTGAACATCAAAGTGACTAGTGCTTTTAATAAACATGATATCAGAAACGTACATTTTTCGTCATCAGTTTAACCAATCCGACTTTACATCTTTGTGTGGCATGTTTATAAAGTTTATCAGTTCATTTCCGCGGTCTAAACGAACTTCTAGTCGTCTTCAGGCTGCTTTAGTCACAAAATGGGGTTCGTAAAGTATAGCTCCTCATCAATTCGATCCATCTGGATAAAGTCTTCGCAATTCCTTTCCCATCTCCTTCATTACCACCATCGGACATCGAGGAGGAATTCTCCCTGTCAAGTTCTTTACGTTGAACTTTTGAACATGCCGTATATTTTTTCGTAGTTGCCTCAGTGCTTGTCTTTTCTTAGAATGTTGATTTAGCTGTGAAACGACAGAACCCATTCTAGTCTTTCTTCGACTGTCGACTTATTGCACTAAAAAATTCCTTGATTCTGAGGACCTGAGTAAGATTGATCTTCGGTTGGCAAATAATTGGGTAGTATTTATTGAGTGGCTGACACATAAGAACGTAAGAACATACCTTGTTTTGGTTACCGTGTTTTCTCTTTGCCAAGGGAAACACAACATGTTTGTATTGTTATCTTGGTTACCAAACCTTTTCACGACAACACAATGATTTCCAACAAACAAAACTTCTCCCCTTCCCAAGATCTGGTATGCTAATCGCATTTGTGTGGGGGCAGCTTGCCAGAGAAGGGAGGGCGGGGAGTTTGAAGGCGTAGCTGTATTATAGTTTGCGAAGAATTTCAGCAAACTCAAACGATAGTGCAACAGACCAAAGTCCTGAAATCAAGGGGAGAGTATTTTTTTCCATACAGGGTGAGGTCAGAGACAGAATGTTTTTCTTTCTTTTTTTTTTTTAAGGGGTCTTTGATCAACAAAAATAATATAAAGTGACGAATAACCGGCTTCAACGGCTAGTAACCATAGCAAGTATAAATCAATGTTTTTAACATTGCATTGAATGGCAAATGTTGAAATGTGATCGTCACGGAATGTCATAATAAGATGACACCTGATGCAAATAATGACAGAAATTGCCATGAATTGATCAGAAATTTCTTTGGTAAACTTAATAACATGTTATGGAATGAGCCTGAAATGCACTTAAAAAACAAACAGCTTGTTGACACGACCTTCGGAGAAAAAGACCAACGTCAACAGGCACACAGTTAGACATAGAAATAGATTGTAGAACCGTGTTACCAAGGTAACTGATCAAAAGGTTGTCATGTTTTCAGGTGCGACAAGTACGTCAGTTATTCTGTTGGGCAATTACATCCGACTTAAATGACAGCTGGGTTCTTCGTAATGCGGAAAATAGAAATATATCTTGGCTGACAAAAACGTTATGTAACAATCGAGGAATTTCTTGGAGTCATGTAACAAACAAATAATTTCTTAGCGTTTTCTAAACGATCACTAATTCGAAACCAAAATATGAAGTTTTTTCATGCTCGCTTAAATAAAAACTTTGGAGGTGGTTGATGGATTGGCGGCTATATGGGATAAAAAAAAGGCAATATTTCATTGTCCCTCTCCACTAACACACGCCGCTTCTGGCGAGATTACTCATCCTAATGATAGTGGCAGGATTTATGACCAACAAGTCTAAACCGGCCGCTAACATACGCCCGATAGCCTCGAAAACACAACATCGTTTCTGCAGTTATGCCCTAAGTTCATTCTAATTTGGATATCTTGTCAGCCAAAACTGAAGCTTTTCGAAAACACTAACAAAAACACCCTTCAAAGAGGATACATTTGAAAAAGCTAACTTTGAATTCTAATGTGGACGAAAAACATCTTAAAAAGGAAATTTTCGAACAAACGGTCACTGTTATTTACACATTTTGGAGGTACATGCCCAAATATGCTTCATTTAACCGTTGGGCCGCCAGTGATCGCTACAGTGGAGACTGAACATTTCCTTCGACTTCAAACGTGAACATAAACCTTTCCAACCGTTTACAGGGTGAAAACAATCAAAGCTCTAGCTGTGTTCCACTTTCCTTGCTGTCGCAAATTTGAAACACATGTCTGAAAAGACTTACGAAAACTCGAAATGAGAGGGCATACTGCACGAGAAAACAATTATGACAGGAATGTCGAAAGCAGCTTTACATCGGGCAAAATAAATTGGCAACGTGGGATAGAAACGTAGTTCTCCTGAACATGGCCGGCAGGAGAATATATACTTTTTTAAACGAAAATCTTTTGGTCAGGATTATAATGACTGCAAATAGCGGAGTTTAAGAAAAATATTACGAAAAAATACAAGATCATATCTTGTAAAGAGACTATTTTGCGTGTGCATGTTGATCAGTGGAAATCAAAATATGATGAAAGTCACAACTGAAATTCATTCAACCCCTGCAAAGGTTGACAAAGTTATGCGGCAATACGATAAAACTCACGCAAAAAATATCGACACAGTCATAATAGAGTCCTAATTAAGAGGCATATTTATCATAACATCAGTCTTATTTCAAAGTCAAAAACTCAGTGCCTAATTCAAGAATGTTACATGAAAGCAAATTCTTTCAACCTTCAGTCAGCAGAAAAAAGAAAGAATAGCAGCCTCAGAAATGAAACAAAGATACGTTTCTATTTTTTGTTGTGCAGGCTAATTCGTATAGGCAACTTACTGAAGCCCCCTTTTTGTCGGACATTAGTAGTGAGAAATCTGTTTTGAGCTCGCAAAAGATGTTTCCACTGAAACACCATCATATCGAGGCAAAATAAAATTTCTCAAGGTAAAAGTTCCACGATGACACGAAAACCAGACTGAAAAACCAAAAAAGCGCGAAAATCAAAACCAAATGGTCTGATGATTTAGGTTCGCGGGAAGCAATTGTACTATTTATTACACCCATTTTGAAATCACTGGTGGTCCCTGTAATCTGATTGGCTCTAATTGATGAGATTTATTCACGAATCGCACCATTTTTTGCTTTAAATCGCATCTTTTTCCCAGCCCATGAGGAGACTACTCTAAAAAAAAAACAACCAATCAGATTTTAAGGCTTGTTTTGTAACCAATCAAATTGCAAGAAAATGAAAGACAAAGAGTATCATGTGGCAAATTTTGCAACTTTTGTTTCCAAAACTCTTACTTTTTCCCCCCTAAAAAAGGGACATGAATTTAATTTCAGACCGGCTTAGTACTGCATCAATAAAATATTTGAACTAACTAAGTCCTGTAGTTGGGCGATTTCAAAATGGATGTAATAAAGTGGTAATTGAACTGAGTGGAGTGCAATTTGGGCTGAAATCATACGCGTGATTTGAAATCACAAGTATGATTTCAGAACAAAATTGCCCGACACGAGGTTCAATTACCATTATTTATCATAGCTCTGTGCCGGAGTAATTCTGGAACAGACAATGGTACACTTTGTCTTGGAATAAAGCCATTCACTCAAGTCAAAGGAGAGCTAACCTCGCAATTATAAATCTAAGAAAAACTTTAAAGGTCGAGAAACAGTCTGAGCAGAGCTTTTGCGCGAATTGTCTTCCCAACATGTGGGAAGTCAACAGGAACTCAACTTTAAACTCGACAAGAGGCCATCTGTGCATGTACCCAGGCGATGATAACGGCTAAATCCTATCACTTCCTTCCTACAATGTCCAAAATTAGTTATCTTGAAAATTTCATATGCCTGTGAAAATTACCAAGTGACAGGCATGTGAATAATTTTATCACTTTCAATTAGTTCTCAAAGCCTACATGTACATGTGAAAAACTTACAATCACCCATACGCTTCGGGACCTCGACGACTGCGGAGCGCCAAAGTAATCACAAACCTAAAATATACAATAATGGCCTCTAAAACCAAAACAAAGTTTTAATCTACAGAGACAAGAAAACTTTACCATTATTTCTTTCAAAAACGAAGTCTCTGAACCAACGATCAAGTATTTCTCTAAAGGCGACTCTTGAATATTTGGCCTTAAATCAAGACCACATCATCCACACGATAATGTTCTTCATTTATTTCTGAGTTTTTCGAATGCACATCACATACGTGTTAAACATTGCATTAAACATTGAACAGAAAATTGAAATGCTGACAATTAACAATAGTTAATCAGTAATTTATTGATCTTAATGGCGTGTTCAGTCAAAACGCGATAAAAGTATAAGGCGAATTAATATCAATATCACAAAAATGCCGATTTTTTAAGTAAACAGTGTTATCAGTTGATTAACCCAGATCATGGCTAGCTTGTCATTGAAACACGTGGGGTTTACTAGCTGTTAATTTTGAGAAGCCCGCACAAAGCGTATTCGAACAAAGAAATTTTACAGAATATAAAGCTGAGAGTTGCTAATTCTTCCGGGCACCTCGTGCTTAGACTTCCCTACATATTTTTAACTTCCGCAAAGGATTAATAGTTCTCCAACACTTTCAATACAACTTCTCTTACTAAATATCGCGAGGAACTAATGTGATTTAAGGCAACTTTAAATCGATCCATTTACATTTTTCTAATTAAGACCTGTTTAAGAACTACTAAACAGCGATTGTTTTAGTAGCAAAACAGGCCCAAATAGTTGAAAATAAAGACAGTATTCTGATCAATCAATGACATGGCAAAAGTTTCAAACAAATTCAGGACTCCACTTAACAGGTTTATTTCAAAGTCCCTCACTTGATAGCATTGATAAACTTCGAGGGGAATAACGAGAGTCAGGAAAATCTTAGGCCACACTCAGGGAAAAAGATACTGTTTCGGCTCATCTTTTGTTTCCACTAAACGGTTAAACTAAATTAAGTTATCAAATGACTCGAATTCGTGCCAGTTTACATCAATTACTGATTTAACGAAAAGTAGCGAATCATTCACAGCGAATGTAATTTTAACAAAGCGTTTCTTCAATTGTGTGTTGTTTATTCCAGTACTTCTGCTCGCTTGCTTAAAATCATATCAAAGCTTCAAATGGATGTAATTGCGAGATATAAATCCACTGAACCTATTCAGTGTCAGAATACACATCAATTTCGGGTGATTGACACCGCAACAAAAGCTTTGTGGCGGAGCACGCGCATGGCGGCAAGCGTGTGCACGTATTGTTATGTAAAAGACGTCTCATACACGCGTGCTGCAAAGAAAAGTCTAAGAAAGATGAGTTACAGGCAACAATAGGCAAGGAGCCAGTGAGAGGAGAAGGGTCCAGCCACTAGAACCGGGAAGAAAAGAAAGCATCTGTGAAGCGGAGCATTTGTGCAGCAAAAAAGTATGACAAAAGAAGAAAATAACGCAAGCGACCAGCTTGTTCCTTCAAGTAAGGAAGTGAATGCGGCAGATAATTCAAGATATCGGAAATGGGCACAGCTGGATCGAAGTAGACGGTTGAAAGCAAGCGCCAGAGAACGAAAACGGCGACATGTTTTGAACAACGCTTTAGAACTTTTACGGAAGAAGGTCCCGTGTGTTGATCAAAACCCACAGAAACTTTCCAAAATTGAAGTACTACGTATGGCTATCGACTACATAGCCATGTTAAGTTGTTATTTGAAAGGATCTCAGTCTGCAGCGATGTTAGCGGGGCAGCTTCCACAAGTGGAAGTTGCAGCATCCATCTCACCAAATCGAAGCGGAACTCCTAGCGTTCTAATGCACGACCAAGCGGTTACCATTGTCGTCCCAAAAACTCTGGATCAATTTCAGGTAAACTCACTACGCAGTTACAATCCGAAAAAATGATTTTCCCGCTTGGAGTTCATTAGTTAAGTCAAATCGTACTTTGTCACAAGAACTTCTCGATTTAGCACATTCCATTGAGATGAAATGCGAGGTCTAATTTCCTCTTCTTGTCGTTTCGCAGATGGGAGATCACTATGGTATTAAAAGCTCAGAGCTGGACGTATACCTGAAAGGATTCCAAGACTTTGCTCACGATTAATGAAAATTATATAACTTTATATCTGTGTAAAAATCAAATTTGTAGATACCGCGTAAGTTTTTATCTCTTTTTCTATGAAAATAAAAAGACTCAAAAGTTGGATGGAATTTTTAAATTCTTTTATACTACTGCCGTTGACTCTAAGTAAAATGCAACAGCTTGTATTAATGAAAGTATCTTTATTATTCTGTACAGCTGTAACCGAGTAAATATATTATTGGAATAGATTCAATTATGAAAAATTGTCTTTAAACAAGCTGTAGTGGATTTCGTGTTAGTTTTTAAACGCATCCGTGCTTTTTTTAATGTCCTTCTAGCCACGCACAAGAAAAAGACAGTTCAACCTGTTTCTTCCCCTATCTCGTTTTTGCGCGCGATAAGTCTCGCAAGCAGTTGCCACACCGAATCCTACCGACCAAAACAAACAGAACTGACCGGTAATTGTGTTGTAACATAAGTAGACTTGGTTTGTTGGTTAATTCGTGTACAATACCACAAGATTCCCCCATGTAAACTCCACGGCTTTATCGAAGGTACCTATTCACTAAATTCGCGGGGAAATCATGAAAACATAAATTTTTTTGTGAGCGGTTCGTTGCAAGCGACAATTGAAAAGGCTTATCAAAGCACCTAAATTTTAAAACTGCTTAAATTAACCGCCCTTTGTCTCGGGACCACGTGTAGGATTATGAATTGTTACGTTCAAGTAACACGAAATATGGCTCAATGGCCAAAAAAAGGCGGCTGACACATCAACAGAAATCATGATAAATTTTTATGCCAAATTGCACATTTCGAAATATGCGGCAGTTTTCAAGAATAAGAATTCAAACCAGGAGTTGTTTTTAGGGTCGGCTATGAATTAATCACCAGTATCTTAAACAATATAGGACCTGCGATCACAGTTTGATTCAAGATGCTGCTCCGAAAACTAAATGCATAAATAAAGACAGGTTGCAAAATACAGGAGTGCAATCTTTACGAACAAGTTTTAAAGATAAAGTGAAACAGAACTAACCTCTAAAATTTTTGAAAATTAGTTTACTTTTCGTGCGTCCACGAATTAAAACCACGTGGTGAAGTAATGGGATACACAAAACAATGTCCGCTTATTTAACGAAACTTCATTCTTTACTCTGTTCCTTAGCAACTTTGCATTACTAGCACGGAATAAAACAGATCCTATGAGTTAATTCGAGTTTCTGCTGTGATTTGATTGTCTAGTGTGAATTTCAACAGCAACAAAATTATTTCAGGTTGAAAACTGAAATCCAAACACAGTTTCATAGTTCATTAAGAAAGTAACACCACAGCATTTTGGTTTAAAACAGAATTTCCGCATCTTATTGTCAATTCAATGAACATTAAAAAAAATTGAAGGAAGCCAACTGTAAAACCTTTCTATTATTTTTAAAACTGACATTCAAAACAAAATCAATTTGGATTTCACGCGACTGTATAGAATATCTTAAAACTATGCAACGCCGGCTAAATTTCTTTTTAAGAGCTCAACCTCAAAGTAGAAAACACAACCTTCATTTTAACATGCATCTTTTCCACAAACTAAAATTTCATAATCAACTGAAGTTTCGTCATCTGTTGTATGCCTTTTTTAATTGACATCGCTCAAAACAGCGCTGAAGATTTTAGGGCAATAATAATTCACTAATAGGAACAAGTGAAAAGTAACCCACACCTCCAAGCGAATGCAAATTTTCACTTGTTTCAAGCCAACCCTTTAACACGTCAATTTGAAGATGGAACGAACAAAACAAAATACCTGTCACTTATCAATAGATTAGCTGGCGCCTAGGGAAATAAAACAACATATCAAAGCTCCCAGAAGGGTGGGAAGGCATAGTGTAAGTTCGGATGTACAATATCATCCACACGCGTGAGAAATCAAGGCGTCATTCTACATTAAGGGTTCCATAGCAAGGACTTTGACGTCTGCAAATTACTGTTGTAATTATCTCCACGTGGGATCAATGTCTCTCTCAATAAAGTAGTTGAAATATACACGTGCTGAATTTGAGCGCCAACCGCGTTTAACAACCCGCATCGAAATTCTGCCGTCGCTGGTTTCCGTTTTTTTTCCGGATCTTTCACGCAACGGCCATACACTGGAAAATCAGGTTCTGTCAAAAAAAAAACTTTAGAAAATGTGGAAAGCATGCGATTTCGGCGCTTGAAAATTTACGCGTTTATCACGTCCACACGTATGCAACAAGAGCTATTCCTATGCAGACGCTTTTATTAATTAACAGTCTCGGCTAGAGCTGATAATTATCAACTTATTGGATGAAAAACTTTGCCAACATCAATTATTTGTTTTGATAAACAACTTAAAAAAAGATGTTGAAATTTTCGTTAACTTGTATCGGTTTGTAGTTGTATAAAAATATATAAACACACAAAAATAATTATCTGCAGCTTTACTAACAAATGTCAGTTTGTTTTCAAGTGAATTTGGCCACAGCATTGTTTCTTTTCACCCAGGCTCCTCTCAGATAATGGGGTCCTCTATCTTCGTTTTGTAATAAATCATCGACAATCAATGTCAGTGGTGTTCAATAGAAGTCAATGTTATAATCATTCTTGACATGTCAGAGCGAGCAGTCGTGCAAAAAAGGGGATTGTATTTCAAGACGAAAGCCTAAATTAAATAGATCTTCGATTGAAGGGGAGGAACCTTTCTGCCCCCAAGAGTGACGAGCATCTAACTTCTCCTTACAATATCACCCCTGAATCAAACACGAAGGTCACAAGAATAAAAGAAATGATCACCAACGAAAGATGCTCTTGATTGTTAGACAAATTCTCCTCATCAGCACCTCAGGAAAGGTATGCAGAACAGTATGGAGAATATGCATACTGATGTGAGGGTGTAAAGGGTTACATACTACGCCAGAATCACACAAAACGATGATAATCAATCACGTTCTTTCTAAACATATGCATTTTTTTTATTCTGACGATCAAGGCTCCCCATCATTATGTAAGAAAGCAGATTTTTATATAGGTATCTGGAATTTGGACTTTGGTGTAAGAGCTAACTTTGCTAATAATTTCACATTGTGACATGGGCCTATTAAGGATCTTTCAAGGAATGTTTTAAGGGATGAATTGTCGATAAGAACAGTCTTGAGACTAATTACATTGCTCTTAATTGTATATACAACTTTATAACCGCAATCAGTTCAAATATAAGTGCAAAGTTCGTTTTCATTCCTTTTGCTACCTCACCACGTCCATGGCAGATTCCGGCAAATGAAATGCAGGGTTGTCAAAAATTAAGTTTCTCCGGCTCGGTGGACCTGTTTTTTCTGGCGTACAAATAATATTAAGGATAAACCATGAAATAGTTCGTCTAAACTAGTTCAGTTAACTTCATTATAACAGCTATTAGCTTTTGTATTTTGTAGTTTAACCATTGTTGTACGGCGCTCTGAGCGATTGGTGGACACAGCGCTCTATAAGTGTTTTTATTGTTATTATTAAATATTAAACTAAGGTCAAAGGATCTGTTCTCAATTAATACCAAGAAGTACAATAGCGCTGAAAGTCAAGCTTTTTTTTTTCACAGAGCAATAAATGTTTCCTGATGGAGTAAACAGACCTTAACACCAGAGTACTCATGAGAATTGATATAAAGATCACTGGACGTATGGGAGCTTCGACAAAAACGTCAAAAACATCAAGCACGTAAAAGGATATTTGTGAAGGAGTTTGAACATTCCTGTACCAATACTCATAGGAATTCCCATAATAATACACTCGCTGACACCTGCAAGGCAAGGAAAACCAAACAAACGAAGATGTTACGTGCTAACGATATCATGAGCCACGTGCACCATACCACGTGCTAGGCATAATACGTGCCCCGTATCGCGTGTCATATCATGATATCACGCGCTTGGGTAAATCATGCGCTTGATATTGTAAATTTTCCAATTTTTTTGTTAACATATGAAACCCTGCGAAGGCTTCAAGATTTCTGGATCACAACACGCCTGAAACGTGAAACCTTTTTGGCGTTATAACACGAGGTATGCTAACTGGCACTCACCATCAATGGAGTCTGTCTGACCGTGCAGAGCTGCGTCAAACAAATGATCCGAAGTCTTTTCAAACTACAATGGAAAGAATAAAATATCAAAATCGAACAGCTAAGAAATCAGCTGCGCTCATGTTACTATGGTCAGATGGCTATCCTATCCTTCGTGGCTTTCGCAGTGTAGCGAAAGAGGAGGCATCGAATACATTTCCCCTCTCCTCTGATAAAAAGTACTCCAACCCTCCCCATCCACTGTCATTGGAATCCCCCCCCCATAACGTAGACAAACCCAATGTAAGAAGATGACTTACGGATGCAAGCATCAGGACACTTTCCTTCATCTTTGCCAGACCAAACCTTGTAATACCAAGTACTTCTCCCTTGTAGAAGGAAATAAATGGCATTGGAGATGGACAACAAATGCATTTTTCCATCATGAGAACAAAAAAAACTCCAGAAATTTCCACTCACCTTAAAAGTCATGAGGTCCGCAAGTAACATCACGTGACGAGTGTCGATACTCATCCCATGACTCTTCATGGTCACATTGATTTCGTTCATTATCGTTGCCCTAGTAACAGAGAAAGAGAGGTACGTCACGACACAGAGTCAAAATATTAACAATTTAAAAACAAAAAAATCAACATTGCTAAGAGTTTTTCCTAAATTTACCAGTTTCGGAAAACTGTCAGACATCAAAACCAACATCAATGATATCATTTGAGTCAAGTAGTAAGAGTATTCAAAGACGTACAGCAACTAGGTTTAAGTCCCAATTTCCACCCACCCACCCCACCCCAAGCGTCCATATGCAGAGCATTTTGCAGGTTGGTATCTCAAGACCGAACACATGGGATTCTTTAAGGGCATTTATTAGAGAGAGAAAAAAAAAGAAAAAAAGAAATACTGAAAATCGTGCGTTATAGGTCGTCAACGCTCTTGCAAAAAACAATGGGATTCCCGAATCCTGTACAGCGTGCGAAATTTATTTGCACTACCGCAGATATTTAAAGGAACTACTGTGCATGCCTGGCAGCTTCGATTCCAAGAACTTTTTCTACTTCAGCTGTGTTGTTGGAAGTGGCAGCTGTGCCTTTAACACCTATAGACAGTAAAAAGAGAGAACAATCACTCGAGGTGTGTTTGTTTTACGATTTACTACAAATCTGATTGGTTAAAGGATTGTCCCGAGTTTTCTAGACCAATCACAGGACAGACGATCAAAACCAAGGTAAACCAGAGAACTCTCAACATAAAACTGGAATTTGCTATGACACAAATTTCGTATGACAAAGAATGTCTCAGAACTAACCAACTGTGGACATAACAGACAGCAAATCATCTCCTTCCACTAACAGCTTGTAAGTGTCTCCCTGAGCTTCGTCAACATGGATGATGGCGCGGTTAACATTTCTATGCCCCTAATAAAATGCAAAGTAAAATAATCAAAATTAAGAACATAATGTCAGCTGTGAAGAAAAAAAGCAAAATTAACTTTAAAAGAAATTCAAAATGTTTGTAAACTCATTGTTACCTTTATGAGTACGTTGGGAAGATCAGATTTCAGCTGTTGCATTGTATAATGAAGGGAAGACTTGCTGCTTTCACTGGGATAAATACACAGCTCTGATTTGCTAAGAGCGGTCACTTGCTGCAAAGAAAATTAAGTTTATCACAGCAGATCACAATCTTTGGCCGTTCCTCAGTCCCTGTTTTCAGTCCCTGTTTTCAGCCCCTGGTTTCAGCCCCTGGTTTCGCTGTGCTTTTGATCCCTGTTTTCAGTCCCCTGTTGATTTCTGTTTCAGAGAACCGGATAATACCTTGGGTCCAATGGAAATAACAAAACTTTCCCAAAAAAATTTTCCAACAGATGTAGTTATTTTCAACGTTATCATAATTGCACATATCTAACTGGTTTAAATGGTTAAGAAACTAGTAACTGAGTGACTAAGAAGGCTCGTTAATCTTAGTGAAAAACCTTACTTGGTATATCATACATAAAAGCCCCAAGGTCATTCATACCTGAGGTTTTAATTTCAGCTTTCTTGTATTGCAAATTGCAAACCTTATGGAATCAACATCTACTTCGAGCTGATAGGTGAAAACAAACACGTTATACAATAAGTTCTCTGCAATAAGGAAATAGCCTATTATATCTTTCCCGCGCTCACCATCAACGCAATGTTTACCCGATATTATCATCCGACACAATTTTTCCCGTATTTCTGTCCTTAACAAATGTAAAAAAGCTTACAGTGTTTACCACCCATCAAATTTTTCGATTTTTTACTATCAGTTAAATGGATCTTGACGATTATTATCCGACAAAGTTTTCCTGCGCTCAATGTTCTGAAAATTTTCCCGCCCTTGAAGTTTCTCGCGCTTGCTACTCGTTTAAAGTATCCCGCTTTTACGAATTTCCGAATAACACGTTCATATCTTTTGTTAGTTTCATGCTCCCCCGCAGGGTTTCCCACCTGCTGCAGGTCGTTCAATCGTGACAACCAAATGCGTAATATGAATAAAATGCCTAAAACATTCTGTAAGACAGAATACAATTCACTTCCAATATTTCTATCGCTTTCCGCCGTATTAAGCGCCAATCACCTCCGCTTGTCATCTGGCTTCTCGTTTGCTACTTCCCGACTTTTCTAGGGCTATACATATTCGTATAAATTCTTCTTAAGGGTTGCACATACTGCTGCACTTAGCCTTTGCGTCGTAACATATTTTAGAGCACGTTTCCCATTGTTTAATTTTTTTTTGCAGCTATTTTCCACCTGCAGCCTCCTACGCGTTTCCCAGCTTTCTCGACCGTTTTGACACAACTGTTATGTGTTTTCCCGCCCTTTCCAGCCGTTTCCAATTTTCCCGCCTTTTTCACCTACGCCAGGTTTTTCCACGCTTGCCTCTAATGTCTTCCTTTTCCCGCTCTTTCATCCACTCAATGTTTTCGAGCATTCTAACGCTCTTTGAATACACATTGTAATTTCCCGCGTTTTTACGATCCCGTTTCATTATTTCCACTCTTTTCATCCACATAATGTTATTTCTGCGTTTTTTGCCTCCTATACAGCTTTAACTTTTGATCACAAATGCTTTACCGCGTTTTTGCCACCCGTTTCTTAATTTTCCCACTCTTTCTTCCTCCCTATAGTTTTCCGCGCTTTCCATGAACAACACTACGTAACATTCCTTCAAACCAATTGAGCCCCCGATATCCCAGCGGTTAAGCCTAGGGCTAAGGTGACGAATATCCGGGGCTCACAAGGTTTGAAGCAATTTTGCCTGGTGCATTTTACTTTCCAAGTCTCACTATGTTAGTTTGCCCGCGTTACAGCCACACGTTACGCCTTTAACCTTTAACTCCCAGATCTGATAGTCAATTCTCCCCTTCAGCTCCTACATATTTCCTTTTAAATAAGTGACAAGAATTTGGTGTTAGATCAAGACAACAACTTCTATTTGATAAGTTTGAATACTCTCATTACCTGTTTGCTGGATGATGTATGGACAATGCAGGGAGAAGTTAGATGTCAATCACTACTGGGAGTTAAAGAGTTAACACTGTGACATGATTTACTCTGTTTTATTTAAGCTTGTGTTCCGAGGTACAATTATCACCAACTGGTGCTAACCTGCTAAACATAACTAGGGCAAAAATTCATTCCTACCACCGAATTTTCATTACCTTGAGTAATTTAATCCTGTCCATGGCCAGTTTGACAAGAATAAAACAGCTGTTGGGTAGAAACACCTCCTCGATGAACTCTGAAACCTGTCAGGTAAAACAAGTTATGAAATTGAATATTAAGCGTCGAAAGATTTTATTTCGACTTTAAATTATTTTAGCTCAGCCTAATCAAACAACAGCGTTGTACGACGACACACAATAGATCATAACCCATACCTCCCCAAGAAGTGTTTTCTCGATGCGACCCTTAACCCCACGGGCCTCGTCAGCATTTTTGTCATTCATCAGAGGAGCAGAGATAATTGGTGTGCTGATGAATCGGGACGCGTTAATGATCTCCTTGATACGAGGAACACCAAGAGTGATGTCTGATTTAGTTAAGGTAACAAAGGTATTGTACGACACAGAAAATATTCACAAGAATCAAGACAAAGAGTGCTAAAAGACCTACTCTGCTGGGGCAAACTTGTTGCTAAAGAGTATTCTATAAATGTACGCAGAATAGAATAACGGTATGAAAAGTTATTAAACAAGTAACAGCTTACTTGATCATTTCTGAACAAATTGGTCTTTCATCAATCAATATTTTACGACAGAGATTTTCTAAGAGCGCTAACTTATTATTTCGAAAACTGTAAAAAGTAGTGTTTACAAAATAAACTCTTCTGGAAGCACTGGGAGTACTGTAACAAACCGTGCTGTAACTCTTTAAAAACCATTCTGAAACGAATAAAAGGATACTCATTGAAGCTACCCCCGCGAAGTGAAATGTTTTCAGAGTCATCTGCGTACCAGGCTCCCCAATACTCTGAGCACACAGGGCTCCCACTGCAGTGCTCGGTTCAATCTTAGCTCTTGAGTATTTTTCTTTGCAAAGGTTCAGGAAGTGCGTCAGCTGTGACTTGGTGCAGCGGTCTACCCATGAAAACACTGAAAGGAAATAGAAATATTTTGACGTATCGCCCATCCCACTGTGAGAGTAGAAGATCTACCTGTCCAACAACACAACACTGTCCTGGCTAGAACTAGAACCCAGATCCCTAAATCTAAAGTAGGGCGCGTTGGCTACCAGACCACCGTTTCTCACACACGAACATCTTAACTTCTGACCCTCCCTTGAAAACTCGCGACCTCAAAATATTTTCTGGGTTATTTATAATTGGCTTTAAAACCTCTACCAAGGACGTAAAAAATACATACCGTTGGATCGACTTGTTTCAGAAGCACTAGGGGAAAGACGAGAACAAACGAATTTACCAAATCACTTCCAGTATTGATCAGATTATAACTTCGCTTTAAACATGATACGTTTATCACCTAGCTAACTGGCTATCGGAACAGGCAAATTGATCAGCTTAAGGAAGTTATCCTGATATAAAAATAAGCTCTTTTAACTAATTTACCCGGGCATTTTTATGGGAAAAGAGAGTCACGAATGTGATCTCGGAAGTTCAGCAAAGGATGATAAAATTCAAACGGGGCAAGCGTCCGTTCATTGCTATTTTTGAGAAATCAATTTATAATAATAAGATAACATTGGATTTCTATAGCACCACTTCCACTAAAAATCCAGTGGCGCTTTACAAATATTGAATAGTTTACAGTATGAATTTATCAAGTTCTTAAACACTTTATATTACCTAAAGAAAAAAATCAAAGTAAATACAATATTAAAAGAAAATAACAATCCTTATTATGACAATATTTAATACTCTATCTTAGTTATCAATTCGCTAAGTTAAGTTGTAAGAACTTCTAAAAAGAAATATCTTTGCCATAGATTTAAAATTGCAGAGAAGCTACAGTTTCTTACCTCATTTGGGAGGGAGATAGCTGTAGGTGTCTTTTCTCAACTCTCTTGGCAATGTCTTCAACAAATGTTCTGTGGAAGAAACAAAAAACTGACTGAGTATCGTAAAAACAAAAAACTTCAGTAATAACAACCAGAACAAAGAAAGATGCCGCAAAGCCACCAGCTCTGACGAATTATGTGAGCACTTAATTTGAATGATGACCCACGGCCCATCCTGTTCGATTTTAAGATTTACGGAGCTACCTTAAATCCTTCGTGAATTCCGTGCCACAGTGTTCAAAGTCCGAGCCGTCTAAAACTGGTAAAGCCACTTGGAGAATCTCTTTTGAACTGAGAGGTTCTTCGTCTTTCATAGGGAATGAACACTAATAACAAAACAAGACGAAGAATACTTGAGCACATGATTCAACCTCAGTTACCAAACTAGCTGGTCTTGACATATACTAAAACATTTTGATGGCAGGTGTGTAAAGAAAACGAACAAAACACTCCTTTATCAGGATCGTTGCGGATTAGACTACAGAAAATAAAAATTCTTAAGGGACCACCACAGAAAAATTCACAATATGAGCTGACCTAAGATACGGTTGTCTATCTGTTGTTTCATAAGACCAGAAGGTATATCTTTTCGTTATCCTGTGAATTGTGGTAGTTAGATAAATGTTGCTAAGTTCCATTTTGGATAAGACAAAGTGTCCATTCATTGAAAAATTAATTTTACAATTATTATGATTTCTATAGCAATACGCTCAGTCCATTCTGACTACGCTAAATTTGACAGAGTTAACGCTTTGTCACACGAAATGTTTTGCATAAAATGCCCGCTATCGAAACTTTCTGTTGATATTTTGATTTTTCGATGAATTGTAACTCCCCACAATCTATGATAAAGGACTTAACTGATGGACAATGCATGCAATCAAAAGCCGGTTTCTTTATACTCACCTGAACGTGACTGAACACGCGCGTATAGTCCAGCGGTTTATCCTTTCCCTCCATGTCAGTGGGATCCAGTCCATCTCCACCGTACATGAACTGCACAATGTCCCCGACTGAATTTCTTACTGTCAAGTCATACTGCGTGGCGAGATCTTCCAACGACTAAAAATATGCCCAAAACAAGAATTGTTGTTCTTTTAGTGATAACAATTTTCTCTCTCAACCACAAGGTATAAAACTGTAACGACAAGTAACCAAAATGGTAAAGTCTTTTAAGCTGAGTGATTCATACTGACTGAGCTCATGTGGATTTCTATAGCAAGAAGTGACTAACTGATTGAAACTTGTCCTAAATCAGAGGGATGCTAATCCACTCCTGGTTTCCCCTCGACCCCCTCTCCCTCCTCTCAGCATTTCGTCAAGTTCCCTGGCAAATTTCTGTCTCCCATTTATAAATATACCCGGAAGGACGGAAGAAACGTGAGAAAAGAACTTACTTCCTCGGAACACGACACAGGGCTTGGGCCCCGACGCATTTAATGCAGAGTCCAACACGCTTACCACGATTTTCAAATCAAATTTCCTTGTTGTTGATTTGTTTTTCGTTATTTTGTACCTTAACAAGTCGTCTTTGCATGTATCCAGTTTCAGCAGTTTTAACGGCAGTATCCACAAGTCCTACAATGAAAGAAATATCTATATATCTGTACTACCTCCACAAATTCTAGGACAGGCATGAAAATAACAATGAGACTGACAATGACAAGGATAATAAAAAGATATCGATAACAATAATTACATTGATACCATATTGGCCAAAATAAAAAAAAAACTATTTTCTTTTCTTTCCGATGACGTTATGATCCATCAGAGCTGCAGGTCTTCGACATTTTCATAAATATTATGATGACCAAGACTTTTGCTGAAGTCACCAAAACTTCATGAAAAAAATTAGCAAAATTTCGCTTTCAATACCTTCTCTGCCAGCCATGGTGTGAAAGAAGAATTCTGTGGGAGTAAGGCCGGAGTAGAAGCTATTTTTGACAAATCCTTTGGCGGCCGGAGACTTGGCTGTGATGTAAAGAACGGAAAATGGATAGAGTAAAAAAAAAAAGATATATTTTCTTTTTATGTTCGTTTGCAGTCTGTGTTGTTCAGTATTTTGTTCGTCCATTATTTTTGTTGGCTCGCTTTTACAGATCGTAATCATTCTGGCAAAGATAAAACATCTCTTACAATGTCGTTTGAAGTGAGGTAAAGCTCTATCCTCAAATCCATTTGGGATTCTCTTGCCTGAGATGGCCTGCTGACCAACACAGGCGATCATCTGTGAAATATTGATGAACGATCCTGAAAACAGAATAAAAAAATTGATCACAAAAACATGTTTAAAAAAGTAAGAACGATTAGTGTCTCTTTATGAAATAATAAGCACAAAATAACAGGAGTAAAAAAAAACTGAAATGTGAGTATTCAAACTACGCCACTGAGCAGTCTTTCATTTAATTCTGTTCATCAAGCCGCAAAAGTTGCAGTCTGTCGACAACAGGCCTTGTGTGTCATAATTCAAATGAAAGCGACTGACCAATACTGTCATGCACGCGATTTCATTTATTAGCTTAACAGTTTCAGGGTTTCGATAACTTTACCCATAGGCAGCTACCAATGGTGTAATAGGCCACTACAGTGAAGCGATGCCCAAACACGAGAGTGTGCACTCAGGCTAAACAATCCACGGTAAGAGGTCTTATGGGCAGCGGTAGACCGCCAGCAACTAGCTTTTAGTGAAACCCATAAGTTTATTAATCCATGGCTCTGATCATACTGAATTTTCTTACGAGGTGACAGTGGATAGCTTATACAAACCTTTCGAACCACATACTGCCATTGTTAGAGGACTGTTGGTCTTGTGCAGCTCGCGTAGACAAGCTTTTCCAGCATGATCTCTTATGACAGAAAGCTCTTTCAGAATAACAGCCTAACAAGAGTACACACCACAAAAAAAAAGATAAAATTGTCCTTAAGGATGATGATTTGGTTGTAGTAGATGACTAAATGGTAGCCATTTTAGATCGGGCACACAGTTGCGGCGTACATCATTCATCGATCAAGTTCGTTTTTATCATCACACACCTCAAGAGTATCGTCTGCGCTACACCCTGGCTGTGTTTGCAACTTGCCTTCTTTAAAATCCTGAATGAAGCTGTCACATTTGGAATAACTAAAAAACCATATCAAATTACAAAAAAAAAAAAATTGTTAGAGCGGGTTGGATGCATATAGCGGAAACTTCACTATGGGATACTTGAATGGAGCTTGGCCATCATGATGGGATTTCGAATGATGGTTCAAGGATACAGTTGGTCTTCTTCAGCCCTTCTTTATGGCGCGGAAGAAAGACAAGTTTGAAAGTTATAATACACATACCCGTTATCGAGAAGTTCATCCTTTGCCTGCAGAAGTCCGTGGCCAGGCGTGACGTCACCAATACCAATAGAAAACCCTCTGTTACCTATAAAAAAATTACATCAGCACATTTTCATTATTTTTCTCTAAAAGGTTATCCCAATATGACGCGCAGAGGTTTCATATATCAGTGTTGACATTAACTTGAGCCAAAAGGAGTTATGTTAGGAGAGATTTTTTTTGTAACAAACCAACGCGGGCTCTCTGCTCACTAATTTCAGGTCGGATTGGAACGTTCAATTTTGGATTTGGAAGGAGGAAGGAGACCGAAGAACTTAAGGGAAATAAAGTATGGGAGTCGAACCGGAGCCACAGCCATAGAAGGCTTGTACTCTCATAATGTTCCATCCCTGATCCACGAATTGACAAAACAACACCTTTTGTGTCATCGTTTGACATTTAACAAAGTAATTATGGTGTCGCGTGCAAAAGGAAAGCGTCACGTTTAACAGGCAAATGTTGATGGTTATTCAGCAGCCTTCACAGGACGAAAAATGTTTGTATTGGTTATTCAACCCATGTTTCCGTTTGTTTATGTTCAAAAGTGGTCCGGTTCCGTTGTATACGCAGCAACGGAAACGCGAGAAAACGTCACGAAACCGGTAACGGAAACACAGGTTATCCGTCGTGTTTCCAGCACGGTTTAACATGTTTCTGCCACGTTTCCGTTTACGGATTCTTGCAATTTCGTCCTGTGCTTGTTATGTTCATCTACTACTCACTCAGAAAGAATGGACAAACCCTTGCTACTCTCCACATAGCATCTGCGGCAGCCTGTAAAGAACATCAAAATGTTAACTCTCCAAACCTTCTCCCTTTCATTTTCTTCTCTGAGAGTTCGGATAATTTAGTGTCACATCGAGACGGTTTCCATTCTAGCAATACAATTAGTGGATACTTCATTCAGTGTGCAGAACGGGAGGGGGGGGGAGGGAGTCAGTCGTCGCTAACACAATATAAATGGGGGACTAAGAGGGGGGAATAAGGGGGATCACTAGAATACTACAGATCCTTGGGGGAGATCACGTGAATATTATCGCGACGCACCCCCCCCAACCCAAGGGAATAGATAATAAACGGTCCCTTGCTGCTAAGCAACAGTAGTAAAAGAAAATACTGCAGTTACCTGACCACCGAAGTCTCTGAGGAGCACATAGAAGATACTGTTCTTAGAGCCAGAACCCAGCACAGCTTTATCCAATGCACCACACATCAACTCACTGTTGTGAATCACCACATCTGTCCATGAAAAAGAAACACATGCTAAATTCACGCTTTTGGACAAATTCTCAGACGAGACTGAATCCAGTAACTGCCTGAGCTTCTCCGATTTCCTTCAGAGTGAAGTGACGAGGAATTTTGCCATTGATGGAGAGTCAGTTCACTACAGATCAAGTCAAGTTTCGTTGACAGTCCATTGGTACCCATTCCTACTCCTGGATGGAGAGAGGCGCTGAGAGAAGCATTGTTACCCATCTCACGTGACCCAGCCCCACCCATTCCTCCCTCCCCCCCCTCCTTGCATTTTGTAAGGTTTCCAGAACCCATTTCCCCTCTAGGGCGGAGACAGACACTGTGAAAGATTGATGTTTTGTCCAAGAACACAAACCAATGAAACAACCAGGACTCGAATCCAGTTTTTCCATCGGGGAATCCAAACAAAGCTTAGAAGGTTAAACCTTTCAACCTGAACCTCTAAATATCAATTCTCCGAACTGTCTTTCATACATTTCTTTTGATTTCTGTTGTGAGAATTTGGTGTTAATCAAAACACGTCCTCCAGATGATATCTTTCTATCTTCTTATCACCTTTGTGCTTGAGAATGTATTAACAATGAAAGAAGAAATTCCTTTTTTGTCGCTTATGGGAGTGCGAGGGCAGAAGAAAAACTAGTTTACTTACAAGAGTCTTTAAAACAAAGATCCTCTCCGCTCGTGTACTGTTTTCCTTTTGTGCGAAGGTTCATTTTGATTGGCATGTCCATGTTCGGCCTCAGTATGACATTAAACACCTGTTTTCCAGTCCAAAGTTTCACTGGCTGCCAAATAAAAAAATTCAAAACACGCATCTTAATAACAAAGTAGTGAATTTCTAATAAACATGTAGTGCTGTGTTAGTAAGCAAGTGAAATGCGTAGCTTGTCTTCAACTGGATGTTAATAAATAAAGATAACCTGCCACATCTAATTTTGAAAAGGGTTGTTAACCCTTCAATAGGGAAAAGTTTAACTCCAACTCCTATCAACAGTCGATAAACAACTAGGTAGTATTTTCAGACTTTTTATTTACTCACTCTTCACCACCTTACTTATACTCATACACCGTTATTAGTAACTTGTACTTTAGAACTAAGAATACATCACGCAATGCTCCCTGAAGCGTTGCGTGACATCCCAAAGAACGGCTGCGAGGCGGAGACCACATTAAAAACGACAGGTGACATGGTTTTCTTGTCAAGCGCATTTGCTTCCCTAGAATTTCCCTAATATATAGATTTAGCCAAGCCTAAAAGCGGAGCTCGCATTTTTGCCCCGGCTAGGACTAGAACCCGGGTCGTCCGACTCGGAGCCCGGTGCACTGACCACGCATGTTAAAAGTAGCACCTTGTACGGCCGTACGGTCGTACATCCAAATTTTTTCGGCTTGATGGGTTACTACTATATTGTATAATTATGGGGCTACGCTCTGCGAGCTCCGCTATAATCTTTCCATGACTCTTGTTCTTGTCACGGCATTTACTTTAGCAAATCTCGTCTTTAACGAGTTTTTTTCTAACAAGTCTCCCTGTTCGAAAACTGGCATGTTGGCATTTGGACCACAGGAATTGTCGAGGAAAACTTGTCACTATCACTCGAAAAAGGAAAGACGAAAAAGGTACGACATATTTGTTGGGGAAACCTCTCTGGTTACAGCGTGGTTTCTTACTTTTCGTTCAAAAAACATAATCCAACTCGTTGACAACAGTCTCACCTTAAGTATAACTGGACGCGGAAGATCGATTCTGATATTCACGTCTTTCCCAGCCAGGATGTAAGCCAACAGCTGCGAGATATGGCTCCGATCAAGAAAAACATCTTTCTGCGTCAGCAGATAAGCCCCTGGAATAGCACGGAAATTAAAATGTAGACAATGAATGAGTTTTCCAAGCAGTCACCGATAAAATTCTGTTGTGGCAGATAAATCAAGAATTCGGGCTCCAACAAGCGTTGGCTTCCTTTGCTATACAACTCGTTGATCCAGAGTGACTCGAGTGACCCGATGGAACCCGAACATCCCATGGGTTTCGGGATCTCAGCTTCCCGAGCGACTTATTCTTTGTCTAGGGAAAAGTATAACTGACGTAGTTGACTGAGCGCGCGTAAAGCAGCTTTGTTCTTTCGCCCCTGAATTCCTGCATCGTAAAGAGATAAAACAGAAACCGTGTTGGAAGATTTACTCTACAACTATTATTGAATTTTCGCACCTGTGATAAAATCCTGTATGGCGGCTATGAGAGGTTCTCCATTCCGTGGTGTTACTAAATTCGATTTGACCTGAGGAACAAAGAAAAAAACTTTATCAGTTGATGAATTCTCTGGTCTTAGGAAATTTTAGCGAACAAAATCAAGGCGATGACCATATTAAACAAATTCTTTAAAAAAGAAGGCGGATCTACCTATGCTTAGGTTCTTGTCAAAGCAAAATGTAGGTAGAGTCTTCGTGAGGTTTTCAAACTCATGTAACCATAAAAATCTGTGCACATGCCTTTTCCATCCGATATCAGACGCTTACGTCCAATTTCGGACCCTCTTATCTGATTTGGAACGTTTATACTCGATTTGGGACAAGAGCGTCCGATTTTGGAAGCAAGGTTCCAATTTTGGACATAAATGCCTGATTTTGGACATTGCTATCTGACTTTACCTTGAGATACTTGCGTCAGACTTTGGACATCAGTGTCAAATTTATGACACTAGTGTCTGATTTTCGACACTTAAGTTTGATTTTGGACACCAGTGTCTAATTTTAGACACTAGTGTCCGATTTTAGAAGCTATCGTCTGATTTTAGACAATGGTGTCTGATTTTAGACACTAGTGTCTGATTTTAGACTCTAGTGTCTGATTTTAGACACTAGAGTCTGATTTTAGACTTCATAGAGTCTGATTTTAGACTCTAGTGTCTGATTTTAGATGCTAGATTCCGATTTTGAACACTGGTTTCGATAGCTCCTATGTGAACCTATGTCATCACTCTTCCGTTCGGTTTTTCCACAAAGCACGTGTCCCTGATTTAGCTCATTCATCAAAATCATCTCATTTAACACCTCGGCCGCATGTCTGCACTTCGCTTCTCGAAATTTTCAGTGTGGCTTTCCCACTCTTCTAAACTTTTGTCGCCTGTAACCCCAACCCCTTTCCCTGCCGTGACCCAGGAATTTACTTTCAGATGGTCTCTATAACATCCTGTATACGTGCGTTACATTAAGTTCTAAGATTTATATATGTATTTATTGCATCTACCCCCATAAGTGTTAGCGCTTCAGCTTTCGCTTCCTCTGTCTGTGGCAAATGAAGATTCATTTCATCGCCGTCGAAGTCTGCATTGTAAGGGGTGCATACACATTCATTGAAACGGAATGTTCGGTGAGGTCTCACCACCGCCTACAAGGAAAGAGAAATCACAGAATCACCATGTAACTAAACGGAATACCTCAGTCAAAATCAGCATCCAAAACCAACCAGATCTTAAGCTAGCTTATTTTCAGTTATGCCCATTGAGGTTTGTTTGTTCGGGTTTTGTTTGGGTTTTTTTTTTGCCCATGTGCCTTTCCAAGTTGATAACATAGTTAATTCTTCGAGTGGTGGGTCATAAAAGGTTCAGTCTTTCAAGTCTGTAAGCCTCTTCCTGCAAAACCTCAACCATCATATGAGACAACCAAGAGTGCTTTATGACCTCCTGAATATGACCGCAATCTCTTACAAGAAACTCCCGATAACTCGTCAAGTTTTCCTGAGGCACCGTCAGAGGTACTTGTTACAAATAGTGCAGATGTTTTTTCGTTTGTTTGTTTTTTAGTCGTGGAAGAAATAAAAAGTCGGCAAGCACCAATTTTTTGAAAAAAAAATCAGGCTAAGACGGAGATGCACTTGAGCCGAATGCGTTGTTTAAAACGTCTCTACCAAACTGATTAAAACGAAAAGAGAGGAGAAGTTACGGTTTCATCACTTAACACACCTGATGAGCCATGATGCTAAGCTTGTGAAGTGAGGGCTGTCTGTTGAACAGTACTACATCTCCATCCATAAGATGCCTTTCAACGATATCTCCATACTGAAGAAGACAACAAAATTACAACATGAAATATTTTCCTTATCCTGAGACAAATTTCAAAACTGAGCATTGGAAGTAACCTGGCATCGCATTGCTTTTCGCTTCACTTCGCTCTGTGATCGGTCGAGAAAACTCGTACCCAGGTCTCGACCCATCAGATACAAAGCTAAAACCAAACTACGCTAAGAAACTATTTTTTTAAGTTTACTTCTATTTGAGCTAAAAGTACAGAAGGATATCAGATTTAAAAACTTGTATACCTTCAATTCCTTAATGATCTGTTTTCTATTGCCATACTTGAGAAATCTGGACGAAAAGAAAAGCAAATAAGTTAGAAGTCAGTAACCATTTACTATGTGGGTCCCAGGCTACTTAAAGAGGAGAGACGTGGCTCCCGATGAACATTGTAGAAAAGCCTTGTCCTTTTGCCCTTTATGTTCTCCAAGACCATCGTCTATAAAGCGAGAACGGATAAGAGCCGAGGGAGATTTAAAAATGAAAACACAAAAGTGTGTAAGTGTCAATTAACTTAAAAGAACCGCTTCTGGCAGCTCATAGAAACCAATTCTTTAATCCATGATTTAATCCACGAGCCGGCAAGCGAAGCGAGCGTGCGAGAGTTCTGTGAGAGGTCTGGTACGACCGTACCTCGCAGTCTTCTCGCACGCTCGTATCGCTCGCAGGCTCGAAGATCGCGAGCTTGGCCGCTCCTGTTGCAGCGCCATCGAAAGCCTGCTTGCATGCTACACAATGAAACAAATAAGGGTGGAATAAGCTCACTTTCTGATGTTTGTTTGCCGTTGCTGAATGAAGTTAGCTCCTGGATGTTTATCAGCTCCATTCAATATCAGCTGCTTCATCAGTTGTATGTTGGCCTCTGTCACCTGTGAGAATAATACAAAACTTTGCAGAAAAGCACACATGAAGATCTTGACTAACTGCAAAAACAATCCTACATTTCCCAGCTTATGTGACTGGTGTTAGACGGACGATAAGGAAATAGAACAATTTTCAATTGAATGTCAAAAAGTAATCCAGAATTGCACTGGTTTTCCTTTCCTTCACTCTGAGCAAAATTAAAACCCAACAGGACTTAGTCTTTTGAGTCTCCAGCACTTTAGGCATTTGCGAACATTTTTTATTTACAACAATCAAAGTGAGCTGTAATAGAGCTCTGACGAAGGGCTAACGCTCGAAACGTCAGCTTTTTTTACCCTTTACGGTGGCTAATTTACGTTTTCAACTCAGTTGTTAACACTAAATTACCTGTAATAGAGCGCTTTTTGATTGAGTATATTAAAACCAAAACCAAAGCAATCACAACAGCCAATCAGAAAAGGAAAATATCTTTAAGAACCAATGAGAACTCAAAATAAAAACAGGGAAACTGCCTGAAGCGCGGGAAAACAAGGGCGACCAAACCGTGATTGGCTTTAATTTTGTATCTGATTGGTTAGAAAGTTGCGCTAGTTTTCTGGACCATTACAGAGCAAAGTAAGGAAAATCCAATATAATCTCGGATTACTATCGAGATAAAATGCAATACTTACTCGTTCGGGGTAAGTGAGAACCTTTGCCACATGTACTGGAACTGCTACCTAAACAAATAAAAATGAAACAACATTCTTTCCTCAATCAATATAACCGAAGTTACCTGTAGGGGCCTAACCTAGCTTTTTGACAGATTCTAAAACTGAAACTTCAGAAAGAAACAAACGTCAAACGTTGCAAGAGATGGACTCTGCCTTGTAATGAAATAACACCTTAAACATAAACAGTATCAACTTCTAACTTATATTAATATTTACTTGATCAATGTGAAGATTAGGATCGGGTGAGATGACCGTGCGCCCGGAGTAGTCCACTCTCTTGCCAGACAGATTCCCACGAAATCGACCTTGTTTCCCCTTTAGTCTTTGCACAAATCCTCTGGAGCCTTTCTTGGGCTAATGAAATAAGGTATAAAACAGCAATATATTATGAGGCAGATCTCTGAAAACTATTTGCTACGTAACCTGTTCGATGGTTAAAGTGACGGACTGACGGACTGACTGACTGACTGACTGACTGAGAGACTGACCAAATGATTGACTGACTGACTGACTAAAGACCAACTGACGATTAAACATGACTTAGAAAAGAACTACAGGACTGTCTAACCAACCCACATACTAACCACCAGAATGACCATCCAACAGACCATCTCACTTGCAACTAGTAACTTAACTCAATTAATAAAAACCCACCTGAATGGCTGACTGATGTACTAACTACCTTTCAAACTAAGAAATCTTCGTAGTAGAAAATATAAAATCAAACCCACACCCACCTGCATACTCAGAGGAATTCCTGACACTTCACTGTTAATGTACAAAGCACATTGAAGCTGGAGAAAATCCCAGTCTTCCTGTGGATATAAACAACACATATCTATGGTTCTAAGTAAGAAGTGTGTAAAGTAATAAAATAATATTTTCCACATCTAAATATAAAATAAGTCTGGCAATTGAGTCCAGTATCCAGTAGGTTTTCTATTCAAGATCTTGTATGTAATTTATAAGAAGAATCTTACAGTTAACCTTTGCTTCCACAGGTAGCCTGTGCAGGCTATTTAACCCTTCACACCCTAACATCAGTATGCATATTCTCCATACTGTTTTCTATACAGTTCCTTAGGAGCTGACAAGGAGAATTTGTTAAACAATCAAGAGCTTCTTTACTTGGTGATCATTTCCTCTATTCTCATGACCAAATTGCATGCAATTTAGGGGTGACATTATAGGGAGAAATTGGCTGCTAGTCACTCTTAGAGGTTAGAGGGTTAATATAAGTGATATACAGTCAGAACTGATAGCTCCCCAGTGCAATCATTTGAGCCAAAAATGACTCCACACTTACCATAATCATCTGTACTTTAGCCCCTGTTGCTCTGTGTTTGCTAATAACATCATTGAGGAAAATTATTTCTGTGAGCTTCATGGTCAGATCATCTTCATTGCTATCAGTGACAAGGAAAAAAATTGACATGATTATTTTTTGGTCACATACAAAAGCTAATTAAAAGAATATTTAATGGAGTGCTAGTCTTTCACAGATTACAAATACCAACCAAATTGTAACAGGATTCCCTGACACTTCACTTGTACCCTCAATTTTATTCTTTTCCATGACAATTCATACGAATCATTAGTTAAGGTTACGTAATACTAGCCAAGTTCATCCCATTTTTCACTCATATTTAGTGACAAGAAGAATGGCTACTTTCTCCTTGAGGTGATGTTTGTATATCACTGTTAACCACACTCCCCATCCGCCCCCCTCCAATTCATTTTGTTTCTGTACAGTTTGTTCCTCCAAGTTTCCTTTGCATTAAGTAACACAAAGTATAGCTTCTCTTCCTTGATGGAATGCTATTCCACTGCAGATTACTTTTCGTTATTAAATCAACTTTCCCTGACAGTTTGTCAGCACCAATTTAAACTCCTGGGTAGAGAGAGGCAATGCACGAGTCCAGTATTTTTCACAAGAACAAGTCACAATAAAGCAGCCACAGCTGCAACTGAAGTCATTCAATTGAGAGTCAATGTATCTACTAGGTCACCACATTTCCAGCAAAGAGAAACTTCCAAGAACCAAGCACAAAGACCCTGACCGATAAAGCACCACTGAGAAAGCTCAATCTGTTGCCTCGCAAATTAATAATAGCCATCAGGTAACCAATTGCATCACTGAATTACACACCTCCCACTCTGTAGATCACTGATTACAGATGGTCTGATGCATACAGGTGGAACCAGCAAGCGTGTCACAATAAGATTCTCTGGTCTACCCAGCTCAGGTTTCATCATTAATAAAGGGCAGTCCTGGAAATGATAAAGAAAATACAGCAGTAATATAAAACAATGATAAAAAAGTATCTATGTTTCTTCTATCAGAGGCTAGGTGCTGCATAAGGAGAATGGGAGGCAAGCAGCAATCCCCTAAATGGTAAAGAGATCACCATGGCAACTGAACAACAGATCATCTCTTGGCAGAACACAAGGTTGAGTAATCGGATAGAATACTTACCCACAATATGGGAGAAAGGGAGGATGGGGAGGGAGGAGAATGAAGCAAGAAAAGTAATAATAATAATAATAATAATAATAATAATAATAATATCAATATTTAACAGGGGAACCCAACTTGCCACAGCCGTTTTCAGTGGGGCCCTCATAAATAGCTAAGTAGCTAGGAAATTGAGGAAAAGCACATGCCTATCACCTCTACAAACCTTGTGCTGCTGCCGTATTGACATGGTTTTAACTTTGCTTAAATCACATTAAGCCTTATTTTTAAAAGGCTTATGCCAAATGGTAATCCCTGACAAAATAAGCATTCTCTAAACAGGCTGAGTAACTAATGTTGAAGCCTTTTTTACCATTGTATGGTAATCACTTCAAAAGTGCTCCTTGTCACATTTCCACTTTGAACTGATCTCTCATATAGGTTCCTTTCATTGACTTTATTTTTATCAAAATCAAATGACAATCACTTTTACACTAACCTGATCAGGGATTTGTTCAAATAAGGTGATAACCCTTAATGGATTCAGTACTTCCTGTTGAATGAGGAAAGAAATACAAAATCACCATAAATTTGCTCCATAAAAACTACCATAATCATTTTCCATCTTTTCATATATTTTCCAGCAATATGAGATTGAATTTTTAGTCTAAAACAACTCTGTAACTGCAATTAAACAAGCCTTTGTGCAAGAACCTTCAAATTTGGAAACAGGACTCAGGTTGCCATTAATTGTTTCATACAAACCTGTGCTCTGCTCAACAAACTTTCCAGTTCTTTGTTGTATTCAATGGCTGAGCCAAAGGATGCTTGAAACTCAGAGATAACAGGATCAATGTACTTCCTGGCTGATTTGTACTTTTCATGCACAATTTTCATCATTCCGCTCTTTCGTACAAAACCTGAAAAAAACAAAACAAAGAAACTGATTGAAAGTTTTCTCAAATAAGCACCTCCCTTTCACCACCCTCCTCACTTTCTTAAATAGCAAAGATACAAGGGAAACCTTTTTTAGTTTCAACTACAGCCAGTCAGTAGAGGTTGATAGTTTCTTAACAAGTACCTCCCTAATTAAGAGCCCTTTTTCTGATAGGTGCCCTTCCTTTTAGCTGAAATTTTAAGTGAGCATCTGGGCCCTTATCCAAGGATATACAATATTTGTGATAACTTCATTTCCATTTTTGCTGGCCACCCATCCATGAGGAGTGAAAGTAATGTTAGTCCTTAGCACTTAATGTTACCAAAACCTTACCACAACGCAATGAAACTGACAACAACTTCTCCCACATTCCCTTTTCCCAAACACATGCACAGCATAGCTACATTGAGATATACTTTCACACCCAAAATATCATTCAATAACAAGGATGAAAGAATAGGAAAAGAACAGTGAAGACCATTCATTTAAAAGCCTCTTGCTGAAAGGAAGACAATTTTCTCTCATCTGGTCGTGGCCAGAAATACCCCTGGTGCACAAACAGACACAGTTTAGTTAAAAGGATTTGTATAAAAGATATCCAAAAGTGAGTTACCATTTAATGCCTCACAGTATGGACAATGAGAAATCTTTTTGCACTTTTCCACAATCTTCTTCTTTAAGCTCTTCCTCATTAAAGATGAGACACCTGATCTGCATAGTTGATCAAGAAATTGTTTCTTTTCTTGAGGTGGTAACAGTACTCTGGCACATGTCTGAGTGAAAGGAAAAACTATTTACCATAAAGCAGTGACTTATAGGTTAACAAAACGTCTTACAGATGTAATGACCCATTAATAATAAACCTTACTTAGAACAAAACCATTAAGAGAATTGTTCTCCCTGAGCCCCTAGATGAAATGCTAGTCTACTGCAGCCAGCCCCAAGTATTTCATCAGGTTCCCCAGACCATCATTGGTACCATTTGTTCTCCTTAGCATCATGCCAGACAGTGGCATGATCAAAGTTAATTAGCTTGCCCAAGAACACAACACAATGGCCCCAGTGAGGCCAGTCTCATTCCTGTTGACACAAAGTTCAGCACACTAGCCCTCCCCTAAAAATTACATGACATTGTATAGGGTAAATGGGATTGATTCTCCAGCTCTTTATTTGCTATATCTCTGCATATAAAAATCTCACTATCCCAGATCCAAAAAGACTTACCTTACAAATGCTTTGCAAAATGACAATTGTTGACCTAAAGAATCCAACATGAAAGATTGGAAGTTCCAGATCAAGGTAACCGTAGTGACCTACACAATCAGCCAATGGTTTGCCACATGTCTCACAGCTCCGATCTTTAGTGCTTGTGCCCTATCATTACATACAATATCAAATAAATTAACTTTATCTAATCTCCCATGAAATATTGTCTTTGAAAGTACACACTCAATTATTTTCTCAACCAATAGATTCCATATTGCTGTACGACTATTCAGTCATCAACAAATCAAAGATGATGTCAAATTGTGTTAAAAGAAAAAAAGTGGCACCCAAGGTGCAGCAGCATGTCATTGATATTCTTGTCACATGAGATCTTCTGCAACCTATTGCTGAAAAGATGCACAGCAAAATGGAACCTATTTGTTTCATTTAATAAAAGATACAAAAGTTTTTTATGGTGACTTCACCAATGCATCTGCGCTCCAACAGATCACAAGTATAAAACAATCAAAGTCACCAATATATAATTCAGCTAATTATTTAAAAAAGGTGGTAAACAGACAACAGTGAAAAAGGTAACTGTTTTGTTACCATGTGTGAATCTAGCACCCCAAAAGGGACAGGGGTACGGCTTTGATCCTGATTGTACAGGTTTTTGCTGACACAATGAATATGTGCATATTGGTGCATTTGTTCTGGTGAAAACAGTCCGAAGTTGACATGGCTTCTGTAAACAGAGATAGAAAATATGTTTAGTCACAAAATGAAACTAGATTTAATTCTTGCTTAGACCTCAACACAACATACAACATGGATTCTTAAATGTTGTGCTTTTTCCTTTACAGTTCACTGCCTCATGTGCAAAGGCTTTAACCCTTTAAATACAGGGGTAAGTTTCTAAAGAAACTGTGGTGCTGCATCGGTGGGAGAGTATAGCAGCTAATTTAGTTTTAACAGCTGAGTTGAAAATGTAAATTAGCCACCGTAAAGGGTAAAAAAAGTTGACATTTTGAGCGTTAGCCCTTTGTCAATCGCCCTGATGAAGGGCTAATGCTTGAAACGTCAGTTTTTTTATCCTTTACAGTGGCTAATTTACGTTTTCAACTCAGTTGTTAAAACTAAATTACCTGCTTTAATCCTTTAACTCCCAAGAACTGATTGTTAATTCTCCTCTCTAGCTGTTACACATTTTTTATAAATTAGCAACAAAATTTGGCATTGGATTGCATTAACAACTTTTATGTGATAATTTTGAGTATTCTCATTACCCATTTCTTGCATAATGTGTGCATATCAAAGGGAGAAGTTACATGTTAATCAATTCTGGGAGAAGAGTTAATAAAAATACCTCTTCTTAAGCAGATTGGAATCATTATCGTGAAGTCTACACACACACCAATTAACATATATTTAACATATACAATTCTCAGTCACCATGGTTTATCAGGGACATAGCCAGGAGTTTTTCAAAAGGGGGTCACTGGTATTCACTAGTTTTCACAACCAGAATATTCTAGGTTGTTTGCTTAAAGAAGGCTTACAAAGGAAGGTTTAACAAGAACATTAGAACCCCCCCCCTGCTGTGCCCTTTTATATGACCATTTAGAGTATTGCTACTTGCCCTGGAAGAGGTGCTAGTCTATTACAGGTTACCCTCCCCTCCCCCTTCTGCATTTGAACAGCTTTCCCTGCACTGTTTGCAGATTCCTATTTCCTTAATCTCTCCTTGAATTTAAAACTAGTATTTTTCTCTACGTAGCTCTAGCTAGTTTGGAGGCATTATGGGGTGATGGAAAGAAGAAAGTGGTGAGCTGAGGCGAGTTGGTACTATGAGTGCTGGCCGTTGTTGCACTATTAAACAACACACGTGCACATTACGTGCACATCACATAAAACGTTAAAACATCAGTAGACCAGAGAGGCAGCATAAAAAAGAACCGTAGAATAAGCCATCCATATTACTGGAGCAATTAACGATCCAAGCCGCAAATTTTAGCCGTGAAAAAAAACTGCAGTAAGTTCTCGTATAAACATCATGCATATTGCTTTAACCACAAATACCGCACCGAAACACACAGACAAAGTACAAATTCTTACATCTTCTTGGTGACTCCAGATTCTTTAAACTGCTCTTTCACCATGATGGAGGAATAAAATTTTTAACAATTTTTTTACGAAGATTCTTTGAAACGTCTTTTTTTATTCCGCCATATTGGAAAAATCACTGCGATTTGGAGATACCAGCGGTTTCACATAGTATAGTTCAAGCGGTGTGCATAATTTTCAAAATGGCGCGCATGTTAACGATATTGTTTGTTGTGTTGTTATGGTGTGTTTTATCTCTGAGTATTAACTATGCGATAACCTATGTCGATCCCCAAGGTTGTACGAAAAAAAATAAGTTCTTTCGTTACTCGTCGCTGAGTTGTGAAGATTGTGACTCTGGACCAGAAGCAAAGTCAGGATTTCAGATCTTGCATCTGCAAGATTGGTTACAAGACTGTGTTAAATAATGGTGGTCCAAGTGAGGACATTAAATGCGTCAAATGCAGTGGCTCTTTAAACGAGACAAGTTCCCTTGATGGAAGTTTTTGCATCAGGTGTCAAAACGATTCGATTGGTGGTTTTAATGGGAATACAGGCACTTGTTTTGATTGCCCTGAAAACTCTTTTGCCAGAGATCGTGGTGCAAATGGAGTGAGGTTGTCTATGAGGCAATGCGTAACATGTGCAGAAGATACAACACTGAGCGGAGCGGAGGAAAAAGCTTGTAGACGCTACCATTCTAGCTTTTTGCTAGATGATAATGCGACAGTTCGTCAGGAGTGCGTTAACGGCGAGAAAAACTCAGGTTTCACAGATGAGGGTGGTATATGTTTCCAGGACTCAGATCTGATCGAAAAGAAGAACAACCTATACAAAGTAACATATGTAGACGAGGATAATCCAATCGAGTCGTCTTATTATGGGAGAAATCTACGTGCTGCTGAAGCTCTTTGTAAGAAATACTCAAACTTTACAGCGTGTCAGCTGTTTGGAAACCTCTGTGTTTTGCACGATTACACTGGTGAAGTTTGCGACCGATACAAGGCACTTGTCCGTGAAAAGAAAGCAAAGCTTGTTAATGATAATTCCGATTGGCCTGCATATATGCCTTGGCTTGTCTACTATAAAGAAACTGCTGGTGAGGCTCCAGATATCCTAGACAAGAAGGAGATAACAGAAACATTTGAACGAAATGAAGATATTGAATTTCTCCTTGTGGTTTACACACTGAATGGATCATTTGTTGGTTATGAAAACGGTTTAGATTCTCTACAGATCTGCAAAGAGAGACCCTCAAAAATGGCTTCAGCATCAAAATTTGCCACAACTTACAAGTCATCATGTTCAGTTCCAGTTGATGATCTGAAAAACATGCCAATGTTTCTGTATGACATGTTTATTGACCTTGGTGACAAGATTTACCCTGTGCCAGTACTCATGGAAAATTATGTAAGTGGCAATGAAAAAGTGAATGAGAACAGTGACAGAACCAAATGGCAACTTACAAGGAGGTTCTTTGTTGTTGATAATAAGATTGGGATTTCACCTGGATCCAAAGAACTAGAGTTCATCCGTTATTCCTCAAAGATAGAGGTGAACATTAGGCTGCGATCGTCTGATGGAGAAATATATCCCCCCATGTTGAGAATAAGATATGAACCATTAGAGGTAAAAGAGAAAGCCAAAAGCAGCATAGAAATGTCATTTGCAGTCACTTATGAAATGGATTTGACAAAAATTAAGAAGGATACTGAGGTAAGTTACTAATGTCATGATTCCTCCAATTAAGGGAGAATGGCAAAGGGTTTATAGGCGACATTCCATGATCTGATCGTTAATTCTCCCCTCTAGCCACGACACATTTTCTTATAAATCAGTTACAAGAATTTGGTGAATTTTACAGAAAGGGAAGATTCTTTGTGGTGAATTTATTTACCAGTGTGAGGCATTATCTGTCTCTTGTAATATATGTGACCTGTGAAAACCTCAAGATTTCTCTGAAATCTTTTATGCAAGAAGAGAGATTTGAAGTTTACCCTTAAATTTATAACTTGATGCTTGGATTAATCTCTAAAATTTGGGCATGAAATAGGATCAGGATACTCCCCTCCCCCCCCCTTTGCTGTCCTTTTAAGGATAGCAATGGGGGGGAAGGGGAGTGTCCATGACCCGTGTCTAGTATCTAATTTCTTCCTACAATATCACCCCTGAATCAAAAATTAAGGTCACATGAATGAAAAGAATGATCACCAATTAAGGAGGCTCTTGATTGTTTAACAACCTCAGTGTCTAAGGAAGTGCAAGACAAATAGGATGGAAAATATGCATACTGATGCTATTTTGAACATAATGATACCCCTTCTGTATGTATTCCACTTAAGATTTTTTTCTTGATCTTTTGTTGACAGATAGCTATTGGATGCCTGTCTGCCCTAGCTGCCATTTTGGCCTTCATCAAAGTCTCAGCATGGAGGAGACGACAGGGCCGCATTGAAGTTGATGCAGCCTCCATCTTGAAGTTTATCCTGTTTTGTTTCAGTACATTCTCCACCATGTTGTTTTGGGTTGCCTTCGGGTTGTCTATGTCATTTCTAATTTTTTTCAAACGACAAAAGACAGTGTCTCAACTTCTGCCCACACAAAGTCAGGAGGGTTTGTTCCTCAAAGTTGTGGTGGTTGTCATTGTGTTCAAAATTATTGATGTGCTTCATATGCTGTGGTCACAAATCTCATTTGAAATTTTTTTTATTGACTGGGAACGACCACAGGGGAGAGTCAACCAGCCTACTCAGGGAGGTGAGGGAGGGGGCTTGGATGCCCCTGTCAGCATTTGGAGAACTCTATTCATCGCAAATGAGTGGAATGAAATCCAAACCATTCGCAAAATCAACCCAGAGTTACAGATTTTCGTTGTGCTGTTTTTCCTGAAGGTTTTTGGATTTGAGTATTTGGCAACAACAGACCCACAGAGTAACTTCTCGGCAGACTACACAACTGAATATGTTGGAGAGTTCAGCAAAGTGTTACGATTCGCAGTTTTGTCAATGTTGTTCCTAGCTGTGGAGGCTGTCCAGTGGTTCTTCTTTGCATTCATCTATGAGCGATTCTTTGGAGATTCTCTTGGTGACTTTATCGACCTGTGCTCAATGAGTAATGTGAGCATCTTTGTCTTAGAGGTTTGTGCAATTAGTAACATGATCATGAATTTAGCGTAGAATCAAGGAAAACATTTTGTCACATCCTCTTTTTGCTCTTAACCCTTTTACTCTCAGAGGTGTGTTTAATGTGGAACGTCTCCACATAATGTCCATACATTATCCAGCAAACAGGAAGAGAATTATCAAACGTATCAAGGAGGTGTTATCTTGATCTGACACCAAATTCTTGTAACTGATTTACAAGGAAATGTGTAGCAGCTGGAGGGGAGAATTAACAGTCAGATCTTGGGAATTAAAGGGTTAACAACAAGGTAGTTTCAACAGTCGGGACCCTGTGCTTAATGTCAACAAGTCACATTAGATAGGTTTGGACTAACAAACTGAGTCAGTCACGTGAAGTGAAGGCTTATGGGTAAACTTCTTAGGAAAATGTATTTAAAAAGTTTTTTTGGTCCAAATTCTATCTGTTATGCATTGGCAAATTTTTTGTTTCAGAACAATTCAACCTTGAATCACACCCTTAAAAGATTAATTGTAAATGCTGTTCATAACTCCTAAGGCTACAATCTTTTCTTGCAGAATACTCGGTATGGTTACTACATTCATGGTCGCTCAGTTCATGGCCGCGCAGACACAAACATGTGGCAGATGAACGAACAGCTGAAGAGAGAAGAAGATGACTTGTGCGGGAGAAGAGGCTTGGAACCCAACACAGAGCGGCAGACATTTGAAATGGAGGTACCAGCAAAGTTCCGTGAACAGTATGAAGAAATTATCCGACCACTTCGTGACGGAAATGTTCAGCAGCAGAGGAGAAACATGCCTAATACTCCCATGGGTTAGTACTTGCCGTCTTGTTAATCACCCCTGGGATAGGGAGGTAAATAAGGGGGGAGCAAAAGTTCGTGACAGTTACCCCTGGGATAAGGTCTTAAATGAACGGGGATTGAAAATGCAAAGAAGTGATCCTGGGATAGGAATTAATATGGGTAGAAAGAGAAAACGACAGAGACTGCCCCGGGGATAGAGAATTTTAACTGGAAGGAGCTACTCCTGGGATAAGGATTAAAATGAAAGGGAATTGAGAACGAAGACGACAAGGAGGATTTGGTATATTGGAATCAGCAGAACCTGTGATAGGTTTTTTCGTTTGGCTTTAACACATGTTTTCGTCTCTTCTTTAGGTCAAGATGGTCGCCCAAGTCGCCTCCCTGTGGCAGTGGAGAAGCGCTTGCAAGCCTACAACACGCTAAACCGCTTTCTCTCTGCTTTCATCGATCACTCACTGAAGGACCTTGATTACCTGGTAAGGGACAAGCTCCTTTTTGAAAGGATCTTAAACATGGAGTTAAAAGAAGTCCCTCCTCCAGACAAGGCTATTTTTTACAACGACGATGGCAGATCGTTTAACTCGATTCTTTTCTATGGCAATGAGTGGACACTGATGTTCTTCGACTTGTTGGTGTTCGCCGCCATGGATTTGATATACCCGAATTTTGTTTTTGCTGGGGTAATGGCCTATCTTTTCAGTAAAGGCTTAACAATTGCCAGAAATACATTCGGGAGGAAAAATCTGACAAGAAAGACACTTGTAGATGAAAGGTTTCTGATTTAGTGTGACTAAGTTTCGTAAAACACTGAAACCAAAGCATCGACATCGGCAGATGCGAGCAGAGGTAGCATCGTAAAGCGATGAAAATTAGAATAGAACGTAAATTGTCGAATAAGAGAATAAGCAAATCGTGATCGCTTTTAGAGCGCTTTTCGATTGAGTGTCTTAAAAATAAAACACAACGACCAAACAGAAGACAGGAAAAATGCCTCCAACAGCCATTAAGAGCTCTAAGTTGTTTAACCGCCCAAAGCGCGGGCGTCAAGTTAGTCTTTATTGCTTTTAGTTTTGCATCGAATTGGTTGATAACGTAGCCCGATTTTTCCTGACCAATCACGAGCGAACTAAAACAGAACTAAAATAATTCTGGATTACTCTATACACGCAGTTGAAAATTAGCCTTGTTTGGAACTTAATTCGATTGCTTGTCAGTGTTGAGATCGTGAGTTGAACAATTTTGCGAGAATTGTTGTATTTTTCTAACACGCAAACCCGTTTCAAAGAAGGAAGCAAATTTACCACGCAGATGTAGAGGAAGGTTACTCTCGGGAAAGTTCAATCGAAGCTGTCGATCTATCTAGCCATAGTATAGAAGATTTCTTGACCACTGACAGAGCAATTGAAATCCACTAAGATAGTTTTAAACGTAACGAAAAAAGGAATAGTTTTTAGTCTGGGTCGTCCTTGGCCTTCTTTCATGGTATGCTTGCTTAGTATTGCTAGTCGTTGAAAGAAGTTTTTTATATTTTGAAATGCTGTTGAAAACACGTCAAACGAATTCAGTTAATCGTTTACTTATATCAGCATGCATATTTTCCCTACTGTTCTATACACTTTTCTTAAGTTGCTGACTAGAAGTTACTTAACAACCAAGGGCTTCTTTAACTGGTAATAATTTTTTTTTTCATGACCTCAAATGTGTGATGCGGGGGTGTCATTGCTAGGTGAAATTAGATACCAGTCACTCGTGGGGGTCAAAGGAAAACGTGTCATTTTCCGGAAATCCTCGTGGAAATACATCAGAATTTCGGTTTTCTCTCTTATATCGTGTTATCATCATTAAAGGCCCCATATCATTGGCCATTCATTGTTTATTCGTTCGCTCTTAGACTTACGTAACGCAGTTTCTTGTGCAACAAGTAATTAAGCTTAAGTCTAGATTAAAAAAATAAAAGAAATTAGTTGAAACAGGAGCCTATCGGGTTCCCGGTTGAAATATTAAATTAAATGTTAAGTTGTGATTGCTGTTTCAACATGGGGGTGTTTCAGGAAAAAAAAAGAGACCTTTGACAGTGAGACCTTGAAAGAGACCTTTGACAGTGAGCGATAAAGGTGAATCCTAGTTCCAAACTGTTTCTAACACCGTTGTCCATTCAATGCCTAACTGGAGCCTTGCGTAACGTTAAAGTTGATCGTCAAGAGCACCGTCAGGGTGGGGGTGAGGCTGAGGCTTTGGGCACGTAACCAACGAAATTATTCACATTCGTAATTTGAAAACCATCTTGGTTTGCCCTCGAATTCTTGCACTGCCGGTGTAGACGACCCCCCCCCCCCCACCCACCTCTTAAGATTCTACCATTGCCCCTAGGTTGGGCCCTAAAAGTGGGAAAGTGGCGAAGACTTTAGTGAAAGGTGAAATGAGCACAAGTAAAAATAATCGATCAAATGCATCTACCATTTTTTAGAGCTACTCTTCATCAAAGCACGCAGAGGATGGTGTACGCTTATTATCATTTTCGTTCCGCTTTTACTCAGTTCGCTCGCTTAAATACAACGTGACATTTGTCAGTGTCTCGCTTCATGGTCCTCGACGGTTCGTTCCTGATACCATCGTGATTAAATGAAGTTTCTGACATTGCCCTCTGACATCAAGAGAAAGATACAATCAATTATGGATGTAATAACAATATTTTCTTCATCATAAGATATTTAATTCAAACCAGTTACTTATAGTTTTACTTCGCTTTAAAATCATAAATAAAATGTCTACGCCTACATTACATAATTCCATTACAACTATTTTTTGGGCCATAAAGCTTTATATAAGCAAGCATAGATCGTCTCCCATCAGGCATAACATTCACAAAACATATTTACTCTTCCACGATTAAAAACATAATACACAGGAGGACTTGACGTGGAAAATTGTATTTGCTAAATAGTGGGCAGCTGTTTCCATACTGTCTTGAAGCTTAATTTCAGGGAAGATGATTGAGATTTCAATTTAAGCTCTGAAATCACTTATTTATGGTTATATCTGGAAACAAAGTGTCATTTCTTTTTTATACAAGTATCCAACAAATCTCAAAATTATATGGACGATGTGATCAAAGAAACTGAGTAGCAAACTGTTGGAGGATTTTCCATAAATAAAAGTCTTGACTAGTCACTAAGCTTTTTAATTCCCAGAGATGATGAACATGTAACCTCTCCCTAAAATATCTGTACATACCCTAACAAACAGATAATGAAAATACTCCAATTTGTCAGGCTCCAAGTTAAGTTCTCTTGATCTAACACCAAATTCTCAAAACTTATTCACAAGGAAACTTGTTACAGCTGGGAGGGAGAATTGACAATCAGATCTTGGTAGTTAAAGAGTTGATAGAGGTACCTGGCTTATGAGATCAAAACAAAGTTTCTCCCTTTATGGACAGGGGGGCCACACACACCACTACTGTCACACATATCTCCATGAGCAGCATTTCTTTTCCATATAACAGCCATGTGAATATTGCCTTGTAAAGATTTAAAACTAGTGGTGGAAAAAATTCTCCTTTCCAGAAGACAAATTTCAAAGCATATAAATACAAAAAATTACAATCAAAACCCACAATTTCTAAATAAATTTTACATTCTAGGACACTATAATGGCAAACTTATTTTATAAGCAACAAGGGGATATTGTCTGATTTACCACAAATTCTTACAGCATGAGATAGTTTTTGTACAGAAATCTGGGAAGAGAATCAGTATTATGGTCTTTAGGCTGAGTAGGTGAAAATATAGCCACCTTAAAATGAAATAAAAAAACAAAATTGAACGAAGTCATCTCCACATCCTACCTATAATAGATATGATTTATACACTGTATAATTATATACCAGGAAATCATAGCCTTGGAGTTTGTATGAATGATTGGAGCAGAAATGATTACATACTAGCCACTGGGACATCCCAAAAGACAGGAATACCACAGAACAGAGCTCCATAGTTCTTTATCACTTTCTATGCTGAGCCAACCTACCAGAAAATGCCAGCAAGAAAAGGAAGGGGCTAACCTATTCATCATTGCAACACAAATTTTACTTAAATATTACATCCAAACATTGTTTATTAGTGAGCTTTTTGTAAAGCAGATTTTACTATTTTATACAGATATTCACATAGGTAATAATAATATTATACTACAATACTAATGGTTGATGATGAGTCTCCAAGGTTTGGGAATGTTTGGTCTGTCTGTGGTATCACTTTGTCCCTGGTTGTACTGGTAAGTCCTTCCTGGGTGGCATTCTTTCATTCACCTGGTCAAGTCCCTTGGCTTCAGCAAAGCCACTGATTTTGTGATTGGGGCTAAATACTTGCCCTTGTAAAGCTAAAGAAAAGATTATAAAAAAGAAAAAAATGCTCAGGGGCATCGTAAACATGCATTCAGAGTGATCCTTTTTCCTTAAGGATAACATATTCAGTTGGAATATGTTAAAGCTCAACAGACCTTACATCTAGATTGTCTTTTTGGCCAGTCAAAGACCTTTTTATATTAGCTGATACATCAACACATTGCCCACATTCGCATCACACCATAAAAAGTCCAGCTCACTCATAACTGTCCCATTAAAATAGTCCAGTTTGACAAAGCAGCAGATCAACCCAAATATAAAACTATCAAAGCTACAACAATGTATGTGGTTCAAAAATGAGCTTTTTTAGGTTCAGCACATGTTATGTTAAAAATTTGAACCAAATTTAAAGAAGAAAATTTAACACAGCTTACCACTCTGAAGCCCTTGTTTGCCACCAGACAGAAGTCCAACAGGCAAGTGTCCTGAAGGAGTGAGTCCTTTCAGTTGCACCACACTCTCACTTTCCTCTCTAAAACACAAATACAGCTGATTAACATGAGCTACAAGATACCAAGAAATGAATAGCTACAAAGTGCATAGCTATCTTCTTACATGTAAGTCTTAGAACTGGAAGGCTCATAAATACCCACTACTTCAATCCATTGTTTCAGATGGACAAAGTGATTAACCCTGGATCCCCTGGATGGAATTCAAATCCATCACAAGTTGCATTTACCACTCCCCTGACAGTTTGCCACCACCCTATTACACATTGCAAACAATTAACTAATACAATTTCTGCCAATTTTTTCAAAATGCATAAACCACAAAATAGTCCCTTGGAGATGATCCAAAACAGTGCACCAAACCAAAAAAAAAAAAAAAAAAATTAAGCAATAGGAGAAATGCAAGTATACATCGTATGAATTCTCTTATTATTTTAATAATAAACATGAAAATAAAAAAGTGCTTCTGTTTGGCTGAAAATGTGTGCATTCTTATGTAACATGAGTGCAAAGTTGTAACACGAGTGCATATTACATATTGGTGGGCACGTTTGTCTTAACTTTCTGTGATGTTTTTTCATGTACATTTTTAACCAGTAATAACATGATTTCTCATGCAATTTGGTGTAATTAGCACTACTTGCACTTATCAACACCACATTGCAGTCAGAATCATGATATTACCTATACGAATTTAAAAGCTGTTGAGAACATTTGGTCAAAAAGTAAACCAAGTGTTTCACTAAAGAGAATTGTTTCACAAAGTACCTGAGCACAGTGAACACTCTTGCCATTTTACCAATGGCTCGTATTTTGCTGCGTATAACTTCTTTCCTTTTGATGGCTTCACTTTGTTCTTCATCTTCCTCTCCTTCAAGTTCTTCATCAGTGCAAATATTAAGAATATTCACAAGCATTTCGGTGACTGAAAACAAAACAAGGGGAGGTAAGAAAGGTTATGTAACCTCTTCGATCATTTCTGACTCACAACTCCGGAGTTTAACCCAATTTTCATAGCATGAAATGGTTAGAGATAAGGTTGTAGCTATGAAATTAAGCTGGTGGCTGAAAATTCAGTTGAACTGTCTTTTGCAATGCTTTGAATGCAAGGCTACTAAGCTTCCTGTTTACAAAATGGTAGATGCAATAAAGGGAAACCAGTCAGAGTAAACAAGTGTTTAAAACAATCTCTTAATTCAACTATTGTGCTTGTGGTTCCTAACACTCCAGTTCATAAGACAAAAATTTCAAACTTTTCACTGAAACTACAGCATTTGATATTGTACAACTGTGAGTGCATAGTTTTATTGCAAAAAGTCCAGCCTATGATCACTGCTTTATTGTCCACCAAATTTTTCTGGCAGCCAGCACTTAGTGACAACCCTTTCAGGTTCTATCTACCACCCCAGTTGGGATGCTACTCCACAGCAGATACCTACAAGCATTTTTTAAAGTACATTGACAGTTCACCAAAATCCATTCATCCCACAGAGTGAAGAGAAGCAATGTGAAAGTAATGACAATGCATCATCAACAAGTGTAAAAATTTCGGCAATATAAGACTCACCTTTCTCACCAACAAACGGCAAAGACCATGTAAAAACATCCATAAAATTTGGAAGCCAGTAAGGATGAGGAGAACAGTTGAACTGTCGGATATTCATCACATTATTTTCATACTTCAATACCGCGGCTGAAAATATAAACAAGTCAATAAATTCATATTCATGGAAAAGTATGGCAAGCAGTTTCTCAACTTGAAGTTCACCTGTTATCGTCTTACAAACCTTTGTTATTGTAGACATCCAGGTAATTGGGAGCTGAAAAAATTGTGATGAGAGATGGAAACCCAGTTTCTTGACTTTTCCTGTACATTCGGTACCTGAATGTTCCAATATGTTTGATTAGCAATTTGAAATGTTAAAGGATTCTTGTGACTAGTCCTTAGTCACATAAATATCTTCTGGAATAATAAATAATGCTAGAAAGGACAATGACAAAACTCAGGGAGATGACAACTCCTGTTACTTACCCAGCATCCTGTGCTTCATGTGCTCTGATTATTGAAAGCAAGTTATTCTTTTGGAGGAAATCGCAGGTTGCCTGGTAACTATAAATAAAGTACAAACACAATAACAATGAGAGGTTTACGATACAAAGATACAAACAGAAAAAGAAACAACAGAAATGCTCTTTGTCTATTCAACAACTAGCCCACAAGGAATCTTAGCACTTTGGTCTTCAAACAAAATTATCAAACTCTCTGTGATATGTCAAATACCCAATTACACATATCAAAAATTACTCAGGTCAGGTCATTAAGCTTATGGTATGGTTGCATTCCTGTAATGTTTACACTGAGTCTTTGTTTCAAGTGCAGAAGTACTGTACTTCCCAACAGAATAATGCTATGATAAAACCTCCATCAGGCCTCACTTTATAATTTTAGATGGAACTTGAGCATGCAAGAGTTGAAGATCATGGTTAAAAAGACAAAAAAAATTACTACAAGCTCTTCAATTAAAAGGATCTTCTACCCATTTATTGAAGCAGAACAAATTACCTGTAGAAGTATGAACACCCTCTGACTGTGTTGTGACTGTAATGCTCACTGTTTTTCTCATTGCCGTAATCTTCCAAAGGATCAGACCACAGAAGATCACACATTGGACCAAAGGCTGGGGGCTCAGTGAATCTATCAATCTGCAAAGAGTTCATTTCTGTTAATACATTCCTCTACTACTCATGACACAAAAAGCTTTCCCTGATGCTCAATTAACCCTTGAATGAGCTCTTGATTCAAAACAGAATAATATTGTTGCATCAAACTGAGGATACCAAGGACTAGCTTCCAACAGAACTTGAAAGATCAGTATATTTAACCCTTTAACTCCCATGAGCAACCAGGACAGAATTTGTCTTACAATATCAAAACAATATTAAGCACACAAGTGATGAGAATAATGAAAAATTTCAATATTGGGGAATGAATGGTTGATCCAAAACCAAATTCTCCAAACTAACCTCATTAGAATTGTACGACAGACAGTAATGAGAGTTACTAATAAATCTAGCTATGCTCTCACCTTTCTTATGTCATCTAGGCTATAGATCTCTGGGGACAATCCACCATGCACACAGAGAAATTGTCTGTTCATCAGAGCAGCCAAAGGAAGACAATCAAATGACTGCATGCAAGCATCATACACTTTTTCTGTGTATTTGATCTTGCCTGTAAGAAGATAGTGTTTCAAAGTTAAACATAAAATATGTGGAACACAGAATGCCAGAAAGAAATCATTTTGTCAAAAATTTGGGGTGAAATTTTCAAGATATCAAACTTGTTCAAGTTTAATTACATTCAAGAAACTAACAGGCTGTAATATGACAGCTTGTCAGTTTTATTTTTTATTTATTTTTAGTTACTTCATCCCTAACTCTTTACCTTAACAACCAAGTAGAATAACAGTAAGTTTTAGGTAAGGAACTCTTGTTATGAATGTTTTGTAAAGCGTAGTTAATGGATGTAGGTTTGCCTCAGCTGTTTTGGCATAAGTTATAAAGTTATCATCACATTTTAAGTTTTTATTTATATTTATCTAAACAGGATCCCTTTGATAACAGCACTTATGTTTTGAAGGGCTACCCTGTATAAATATTCCTTATCATTGATATTATTTAGGAGTTCTCTCAGAAGAACCTTGTGAAGACCACTGAATGAATTGCATCCATTGTGATTAAAACGAATTAAACCCCAATTTAGGTCACGTTTTCCTCCACAAAGAAGGTACTGCTGATAGCAGAATTGTTGTTGTGATACTTCAAGCTGTCCCAAGCTAGATATGTGATAAACAATGTTTCAATTTAACACCTGTTTTTCAATCAACAGAAAAATTCACGCATCCCGTCTGATTAAATACTGTCATAATCATACCCTGCAAAGTTCATAATTGCAAATTCTTGCCAAGGAAAAATTTTAAGGAGTAAAAATATAAAATGATGGCAGAGTCAGTATACTACTACAAAAGGTGAACAGTGAGGAACAACAAAGAAGCACTCCAGCTAGGTACTCCGATGAAAAATCTCGAATTTGTGGCGAGGAAATATTTCGTGACATCAAAATATCAATAACAAACGGGTAAACCGAGATTTCTCGCCCTTTGCTTGACATCTAAATTCGTGGAAAAAAAAAAGATCTTTTTAATGTTACTTCGCACTTAACCATCGCTGACCACAATAAAGATGTAAATTTTAAAAGCGCAACTTTATGATTTATTCATGAAAATCCAACGGGTCTATGTAAAGCAAAAATCTCAAGAAAGGTTCAAAGTTCCACGGCGACCTGACCAAGAATAAATATAGAACAGAACAGATACAGGCGGCGTGAATTTGTTCACAAATGATACTTGAAATTTCTTCAAAGGAAGCTCTACCTTGGAACGACGATTGATTGTTCGATAAAATAATTACTCTTGTGCGGGGTTCTAGAAGGCGTCGTCGTTTTGATCGATTGCAAGCCTCGGTTGGTTACAGATCGTGCAATAAGAAATCTTAAAATGGGAATTAAAGGGAATTTTAAGCTTCTCTACATCAGAACAAAGACACTTACATTCTGTTTTGAAGGTGAAGTATTCTGTTAAGTGACGACATTCGTGATTTCCACGGAGCATAAAGAGAGTATTGGGATAAAGGAGTTTTAACGCCCATAGGTATAAAACACACTGCAGAAGAAACAACGGAAAAATGATATTAAATACAGATTGATAGCGTTTTATATCTCTAAGGCGATAAAACGGAGGCAGGCCTTGTCTCATGCAGGATAACCTTATGTTTTGTTACGAACAACGAAGGGAAAGTGTACTTAAGCGTTTCAAAATCAAGCTGATAACGTAACAGTTTTAGAAGGTAATACGCTTACCTCGATTGAAAAATACCCTCTGTCCACGTAATCTCCAAGAAATAAGTATCTTGTCGAACTTGGTGATCCTCCGACTTCGAATAATTTGATTAAATCGTAAAACTGACCGTGAATATCACCACAAACTACAGAAGATGGAAAGACAAATAAAACAACAGCGATGGTTACTTCTCGAACTCTTATCTACGCGTGCGACCTGCTCCAGAACTTTGAGTCAATACCAGCAAAATACAAACGGCTAATTTGCCTACCTGTTATAGGTGCTTCGACATCCAGCATCGTAGGCTCTCTTTGTAAAAGTTCCGTGGTATCCTGTATGATTTTAAGAGCAACCTCTTCTTCTACTCTTCCCTCTTTTAAGAAATGACTCTTCAACACATCGGCTTTTGGTTTTCCATTCGTGTCGAAAACATCGCTGATCGCGAGGCGTTCGATCGGTGGCATAGGAACAGCTATAATAAGAAAGAAGAAGAATTAAAAAACATGTATTACCAAGGCAAAATGGCGGCTATCGAAGCAACGGTTGGCAAGATCAGCGATTTTCTGGAAGCTTACTTTTGAGTACTCTATCCGACGTTGGCAACTTCCCATCTTGGCTTGCCATCTTCCAAAGACCCTGAAATATACGACTGAGAGTAACGGCCGGTAGCTGCGATCATTCACACCAAGATGGAACCAGATTTCGCCTGTCACCTTCGTCTCTCTCAGCTGCGGCCTTCACTGAAGCGACACATAAACAACAAATGCAGCAAGTTGCTTAAGGCGGCTGCGCGGTCTGGCCTCATTTTCATGCTGAAGCCTCACCCTTTTGAATAAAATTTACCAAAAAAACTTTCCTTGCATCAAATTTGATAAAAATCCGATTTGCAAAGGAGTGCAAAACTAGAAATATAAAATTGCGAAATTTTTCTCGTTGATGCTAATGAAGCTTTGTTCTCAGCGAAACGGCGGGCGTCTTAATTAAGACGCCGCAAATATTGATCATCTTGTCCCGACCTGACAATGACCAGCAACCGCGCAAAGAAAAAAATGATCGCCGTTTTTCCTGAGAGTCAAGAAATAATTTTCACAGGTTATTTCGCGTACAACGATTTAAATGCTAAATTTAGGGTACCACACAAAGCAGAGCCATTGGTGACTTTGAAAATCATGGTTTTCGCTGGCGTGTAATAAGATCTGAGGAACTCGTTTGCTTCTTGTTGTCAGGGGTACTCGTTCCCTATATTACCATAACGTGTAAATAAACCAATGAAATATTAAACGCCAATTTCACGCCAATAAAATTAACCTTCTTTGGGGTTGATAATATGAGAAACATTGGTCTCGCGAAAATATGCTCGGATATTTGTCCGCGAACATTATGTAGACCTGTTACGAGAAACGAACAGTTTTCCTGAGGACCAAGCTCTAAGAAAACGATGAGCTACAGGGGAATATTGGAGGATGTCATTTGGAGTATATCACAAGATATTCCCAATTTTTTTAGCCGTGGCATATTCAATCACATAATGCGTTTGGTCCAATCGAGAGCACGCATAACAATTGTTGGATTATAATGGAGGACATTAACTTCTTACTAAACGTACGCGAGGGCCGTACTGAAAGTACGGACCGGGCATAACGTAACGAGGTCCGTACTAAAACAACCAAGAGCCAATATTCCTCAGTACCACTCAAGCAAGCAAAGTTAGTAAATAGTTCACTATACAGCACTTGGACCAAACTTCTTTACTTTGAATTTGCCTGCTTGCATGAACGAAAACACATGGCTTAGGACCGTCTCCGTGGAAACAGTCCGTATGGCAAAATCCCTACCAGCTAAGAACCAATCAGAACGTTCTGATTTACTTCAGGACTAACTTGTCATATAATATAACTGAATATACAAATTATGTCAGAAAAAAATAGAAAAATGAGAAATTGAACTGAATCGCGCCGGGACGCCCGCTAAATCCCCTTACTGAGATGCGTCGGCGCAGAAACTTAGGAATTCATTTTTGTATTTTTTGTGAAGAAGAGTTATGTTTTATTGAATTTGCTCTCATCACAAGCGCAGTAGGACGAGCGTTTCTCCGTCCGCGGGAAGATTGGAGACGAGTTGGGGAGAGGTTTCCCCGGGGTGTAACACTAACTGATAATTGTTGGACTCCTCGCATGCTGCAGACCTCTCGCCGGCTCGTGCCAGTGCTCAAGACTTCAAACTTTTCCGCGAGCGAAAAACGCTCGAGCTGAAGCGCTGATAATGAGAGCCTGCTCGCCGCCTAACATATGGATCCGATATATTTCTTATACTGCTGCCAATGAGAACACCTGGATGCGATCATTGAACGTGTCCGCGACATAAAGATGACCTTTTTTGTCCACAGCAACTCCTGCAGGGAACATCATTAATCCATCCCCCTGACCTTTTCCACCAAATTTAGTGGCAAAAGTTCCATTTGGATGAAACATCTGCACCCGGTGGTTACTTCGATCCGCAACGACATATTGCCCCTGGTCATCTACGGTAATACCCGCCGGATTGTTCAGTAACCCGTCGGCATTCCCCCGAGAGCCAAACTGGAGGGCGACTGAACCGTCCTTGTTAAATACACACACCCGGTGATTATTATAGTCTGTCACTACAATATGACTGTCTTTGCTTACGGCCAACCCCCACGGGCATGACATTTCCTTAGACACAATCATCCCCCTAGGGATTCCCTCACGGGAAAATATTTGAATCCTGCTGTTACCGGAGTCGGCCACGTAGATGACGTCATCCGAGTCAATAGCGACACCAAGCGGATTTTTAAACTTTCCGATTTCATCGCCGAACCCTCCGAAGCATTTCACGAGTCTACCCGATGGTGTGACAATCTGCACACGATGGTTTTGACTATCAGAAACAATGATTAGGTTTCCTCGCCGATTTAGCGCCAAGCAGTACGGGAAGTTAAATTGCCCTTCGATCATTCCCTGAGATCCAAATGATTTGAGCACCTCTCCATTCAAAGAAAGAATTTTAACTCTGTGATTATGAGAATCTGCTACCAAAAGATGGTCGTGGGAGTCAGCGATCACACTGTACGGGTGAGAAAATCCTCCACAGTCTTCGCTCTTTAAAATAAGCTGACTGCCAATCCAGTCTCTTGGTCTCACTGTCACTGTGACAGGACTGTCCGCCACAGGACTCCCATTTATACTAACATGCAGCCAGTAGGTGTCTGGTTTGTTGATGACGTAAGCTAAGGAGTACGTCCCATCTTTGTTGTCCTGGCAACCATATTTAAACCCGGCGTTGTCTGGCGTCACCCTTGAACGAGCCAATGAGAATGACAGCTTCACTTTATCCCCTCCACGTTGCTGTCTTTTTCCTTGTTGATTGACAGAAGTCAAAGACATCCGATTGACTTCCCCAGTGATCACTTGTTGGGTCTCTTTGGCGGGAGACAAAATGCATAATGCAGGCTCGCAAGGCGTACTCGAGGACTGCATTTTTACGTGACCTAAATGGTTTATATCATTAGTAATTTTCTCGCTCTCTGCCACAAATTCAAGCGAGGCGCGCATTTCATTTCCAGGATGATATGTAGTAGACTTCCGTTCAACTTCGTCTACAAGAGAGGTTAAACGCTGAGTAACAATCTGGCCGATGCTTAATATTTCTACATCAGTGCCTTGTTTTACGGCGGAATCGGTGAACATACAACAGCTGTTTGCATGTGTCACAGTCTGTTGTAGTATCTTTTGTTTTGAAAACAAAGCCTCTAACTTGGTGCTACAATGAGCTTCGACCTCATTTACAAGTTCACACATGCGATCTTTCATCGCTTCGATCAGTTTCTGAAAATACTCCTCAATACTAAGTCGAATCTGCTTCTTCTTGTTTTCAACTGTCAAAATATCTTCTTGAATAAGAGATATTTGCTCAGTGATGTGTTTCTGCTTTCCTTTCAACTGCTCGGCAAGATTTACCATGTTAATTTTAAACGTTTTTGTGATATCAATGATTCTGCGACATTCATGTTGCTCGTGTTCAGCGAGCGAGCATAATCGACAAACAATTTGTGAACAAGTTTGACAGAAATAAAGTAATCGCTCTTTCACGTGGATAGAACAGAAGGATTGTCTTTGGACATAATTTCCTTTAAAAATTTGTCCCCTAAGCTCCTCTACTGACTGTAAAGTATGCGTTTTAGTAGCACTCATTCTGCGATGTGCTGTAGAACAAAATTCGCACAGGAATAGGAAACAATCATTGCATCGTGTCGTAACGCTTTCTCCTTCTGCTTCACAGCTATCACAGACAAATTCCAGCGGAGTATGATCTTGTACGGCTGCCTTATTGACCAGGTTGTTAACGACAAAATTGATAGGAAACTCGCCGCGCACATCCAGCACCTTTGAACACACTAAACAACTTGGTAAACTTCCATTTCTTGGCGAAATCTTTTCACCATCAATGCACTTTTTACACAACGTATGAAGACAAGGAAGCAATAATGGTGACACGAATCTTTTCCGGCAACCAGGACAGACCAAATCGCTGGAATTCGGCATTTCGTCGGCGAATTTTACCTTCATGCGTTGCGGCTTCGCCATCACTGATGATCCTTAATTTTTACAACCGCTCCCTATTCGGTTCACAGAGTTCTCGACAAGTTTATCGATTCCAGTTTAGAAGCGATCTCAACGTTATCGGTTTCAAACCTTAAAAATAATTTTAAGAGCTAATCAAAGAAGGGTTAAACAAATTCGACGCTTGTTTGTCGAATCATCCGTGACAAGTGTCAACTATATTGAAATTTTGTCTTTTTTAGAACGCCGTTGACAATTAAAACAAAAGGTCTCTTTTTGACAAGTTGGCGAAACTTTGCAAAGAATACAATAACTCTTTCATTAAGTGACTTAATCATCCGTAACTTTTGTAGTGACTTAAAAGTCAATTTTTTTTACAAACAATTTGTCGAAGGGTTAAAGATCTCCGTTTTAAGACAATATTTTATTTTTAAATGATCATAAACCACCTTCGCATGTTTTACCAACAAAACATTCAAAGCCGTCAAATCTCGTTAAGCACAGCCCTACGGAACTTTATGCAACAACTGTGAGCGAAGTTTTCAATCTACCTTTTCTCTTGTTTTTCTCGTTGTGATTGTAGAAATTTAACCTTTAATTTAATTTATATTCCCTAAAAGTAAATTTTGAAAACAGCAAACAATGCACTTACTTTACATTCTTGATAAAAAATAGTTATTCGTGGAAATTTGCTAAGCAGGGGGTACCTTTTCGGTTGTGATGTTTTGAAATTCACATTAAAATAAACTGAAAGCCGGCGAATTGTTTTTTGAATTGATGTCAGTTTCATTTCAAACTCTTTCCCCAGTGCGCCGAACATTTGTTTTTCTCGGTTTCCAGGTGTACGCAACCACTAACCCCACGTAATGCGCATACTCTCCGTTGCGAACAGACCAAAGAGGGAAATGGAAAAAACAAAGCGATTTTGCAATGAATACTCAACATACACCCCCGTTAGAAAGGCGAATCCACGGAAGAAAGATACAAAACTGAATGATATTGAGATCGATATGATATTAGATCGATACCGAGGGCCCGTTGCCAACTTGCTAAGAAGTGCATTTAATTGCCTTCCACTACGATTACTAGCTTTCTTGACAGCTTTCTGAAGACAGAACATTTTCCTTCTGAAGACTTCTGATATGCGGCTATTGATTATTACTCCTCGTATACCTGATTGCTCAAACACTTTGTTTACGATTGTTGAGAGGACCGACTCATGGTTCTCCGTCTTCGTCTTTGCATTGCTTTGAAATAGTATAGATTAGTAAGCTGAAACGAAAAATTAATCAGGGAAAATTACGAAAAATCCAGCAAACAAGCTTAAAAAAGGCATTTATTTAGACTTCATACTTCAACGAACTTCACAAATCTTACTTGTTTATCTTGTAAGTACGATAACAGATTAATTCCCGAAGCGCTTTCTGAGTTTCCCGATCCCTCTCCTACTGCTTTCACGCTTACAAAACAGGAAATAATCAAAAGGAGGAAGATACAGCTTTTTGAAACGCCATTTGACGAGGGTAAATCTGCTTTTTCTTCGACACTTCACATATCAAAACAAAGGAAATTTGTTCCTCTTTTTGATTCTGGCGGTACATTTTTAAAATGCGCCTGCGTAAAAGAGATATCGCCCGAGACCCTTCGCTCGGTCGTTTTTTGATCAAAAAACGCCTTGTTAATTTCACGCAACCGCTCGGAGAAAAGGTAAAAATGACGAGGGAAAAACTTTACCTTTAAGTTAGAAAATTAGCGAAATAGAAAGCCACAATGTTATAGTTTAATATTTCAGAGGTACATTGAGTGCTTTTTCCGTAGAGAATCCGCACGATGGTAAAACATTCGAAAATCACACTCGATTTGAGTGGGGCGTTGAAGTGGGCGTGGTCACTATATTCATGTTAAGACTATTTGTACCCCATGAGTTTGATATGTTGAGGTTTTGGGAGTACATGTATGAACGAAAACTACAGGCAAACTAACAGGGTTTTTGGAAATAATTTTCGAGCGAGAATAAAAAATGGAATACTGGTCTACGACTTTATCGAATAACTTCTTCAAGGAGTGTTAATCTAAGCTATCATAGCCTGCTTAACTTAAGGCTTGCTTACGTGCACGATGAAAACGATGACCGCTGAGCCACGAAAACGAGTGGGGCTTGGAATTATTTCGTCCCAAGTTTCTCGCGACCTTACCCCTCCGTTTCTCGGCCTATCTCTGCATGTTACAAAGAGCACAAAAACGCTCGCTATGCAGGCTGGGCATGTCACGATGATGACTCCTTTGGCTCTTTTGCCTCTTTCGTAAAAAAGGTCCTCTTTACGTCACGTCCACTCCAAATACAGATTGAAAAGAACCTTATAGAACTCTTTTTACAACAAATAGTGAAATGAAGTCCACAAGCGTTAAAAAATTGATACAAATTATATTTACAAATACTGCATGTTAATGAAGTATTTACAAATGGGAATTTTTTTGTGCCACATCTGAGAGACATACATCTCATAACACGTTCATGTCTAAGGAGCCAATTTTTAAATTTTCAAATGACAATCATTCACAATTAACAATATTGAAATATCAACAATTACTAACGAACTTTTTCCAAAGAAGCTTTCATAAGGCACAAATCCTTCACCTCGAAAAGAATAAAGAAAAAAAACAGTTTTAAAGTATGGCTCTGCAACTTCCATCATGACACAAACTTTATCACATCATGAGGCAAACTTAACACAACTATTCTGAACACCAATTCATGAAAATTGCTGCTTGGTGGTTAGACTCCGAGGTTGAAAGGGAGTAATTCCCAATTACAACATTGAATGAGCAATCTGAGAGGTTAAATAAATGTTTTTTCGTTTTTAATCCGTCGTCTTGCCATACTACGATGACAAACGATAACGTTAACTTCCTTGTCTTGTACAGACTTACAATATCTACACGCAAAGAAATCGACCACAATGTTAACGACATCAAGAATAAGTGGGAGGCTGGGAAGTTATCGGAGGAATGGGTTCCGTCGCATGAAGAGGTCTGATCACGGGAGACGAGCGGGTAAGAATGTCATCAATGACCCGTCCCGCAGTACGGGTGCTGTCCAGTGGTTGCAGACAAGCTGAGGAGGGAGTCTTTTCCGCACGACGTGGAATCTGAAACATCAGTAGACAAATCAAGATTAATAGTTCTTGGTGGTCTTTGTATAGGGAAACGTATCATTGTTATTTCACTCTTGAGACTTTTGAGAGCTTGATCGGGTTACGGGATACAAAATGGAATGACGCTCGATAAAGCGCTTAATACCCAATGCACATCAGGGACCTTGATCGGGTTTCGGGAAACAAAGCAGGATTACACTCGATCGAGGATTTTAATCCCAATAGACTTTGGGGACCCTAATCACGTTAAGGGGATTCAAAGCGGGATTACGCTCGATAAAACGCCCTTTACCTGTCTTGGCCCGCGTCTAATAATGTTCCCTTCCCTCACGAGAACACCAGCAGATATGTCCATAGCGTCCACCTAAAAAAATTAGTAAATAAATAAATAAATACGTGGAAAATAAATATGGCTAAATCAAATGATTCCTTTGTGAATCCTTCAAGTAGAGAAATATAAGCTCCTGGCAGACGTTGACCTTTCCTAGAGGGGTCGGGAAGGTTATAAGCCTTGTAGAAAGTTGTCAGTCGTTTTGTCAGAGGCGCGGGCTACGAAAAATCTGTGCTCCCCACAAGTAGCTGCATTCCAAACCTTCCAGTTTTACACCCCGATTCAAAATGAAATACACAAAGCTCGCCCCAAAGGTTGTGTCTTGCGATGTGAAAACTACTCGAAAATTTACCAATCGCGTACCTCAGTTACTCCGAGGTTTCCTGCACTTCGGGAAGTTCACTTGTTTTAACTTTGCGTTCTCATTGGTTCCCTACGATTTTAACCCTTTCACTCCCAAGATATAATAATTAATTCTCCTTACTGTCTTCCATACAATTCTTATGATGTTAATTCAGAGAATTTGGTATTGGATCAACTAATAATCTCATAAATGATATTTTTCTTCATTCTCATCACCTACCTGCTTGATATTGTATTACTATTGTAAGGAGAAATCCTGTCTTGGTCACTTGTGGGAGCGAAAGGGTTAAACCTTAGTTTTCATTGGCCGATAAGAATACTTTGGTCAAATGCACTCCTGTATAGGAACTGAAGAGCGAGGTAATGTAATTCGTGCAAAGACAAGAAAATCATTTCTTTATCGAATTCAAACACCGACAAGTGCTTACCAACGGAGGTGGTAAGGGTGTTATGTAGCCAGCATTTTCCGTCTGATATGATGCGTTATTTATCGAACTTGCATCGATATTTTGTTTGAGACTTGTATTTTTGGAAGCCTTTAAGTCCTTCGTTGCTTCCATCTTGCGGGGATTTTGGCCGTATTTCCTGGGTCTTGTCCGAGAACGCACTACCTGCATGTCATTATCATCGTCCACTACTGAAAATTTGGTTCGAACCCTGTTGAGAAAAAGGGTAAATGGCTTGGGTGTAATATATTTTTAAAGGATTTCTCGGAGCTTTGCGCATTATATCTAACCCTCCCCCCTCCACCCATGGAGGGTCAGACTTCAACACCCCCGTATTCTGTTGTCGACACCTTTGATGTTTGCATCCAATTGCTTCAAATTAATTTTAGGCTCTTCTGTTAGAAAAAAAAATATTCAGACAGGCCTTATGCCAAAGGTTGTTCTCCAAAGGAAAGGAAAGGGGGGAGGGAAAGGGGATGCGTTTATAAAATGAAATATGCCACTCAAGTGTATTCAATCAGGAATCAGGGATGCCTGCTCTCTCTCTCTCTCTCTAAGAAAAAAACTCGAAGTAAAACATTTTACCTGTGCGATGGAAGCTTATCCGGTGAAATCTTCATCACGGCTACTACATTTCCCCTCTCATCATAGAGCACATCTTTAATGCCTGGTGGCCGGCCATACTGTGCCTGTGCAGAGATAACGTACATAGCAAAAATGACTTCTGTTCAATTGTGATTGTAACCTGTAGGACAGACGTCATTTATTTTTGGGGGAGGGGGCGTTTTTTCAGGCAAGATAGAGACACTCCCCCCCTTCGTCCACTTTAACCAGGACAGAGGTACAAAGATGCAACAATGCATCTACTGTTCACGGCAACATTTCGAGGAAGTGGGGGGGGAGAGAGAGTAAAAAGGTAGGAAGCAGGGAATCTATGAGGGAAATAATTCATTCATTTGCACTGCTTTCCAAAAAGTGGAAGGTGACAGGAGTCAGAGGAACGAAGACAGGAGAGCACGTTTCAAAAGCAAAAGGTTCTCCTCTCCCTGCCTCCCTTCCAGTGAATTGATGAGTTTAGCTGTGAAGACTACCTGAGAAGGATATCATTTGTGCTACCCACTCTAAAGACTGAGGGAGATGTCGATGACAAGTCATAGTAGAGTTTTAAAAATCTCAGTACAGAGTGCTAACAGAGTGTGGTAATTCACACAGAAATTTTATGCTGTAGATATCAGTTTTCAGCAATGATGTGAAAAACTAAGTTGTGCATTATTCATTACTTATATAATTTTTTACACTGTTTTTATTTTTCATTAATATGTTCTGAGGCAGCTACTTTCCGTAGTTAATTCTTGTCATTAAAAAAATGTAGATTAAAAAAATTCAAGGAAGCTTTTTTTAGGATTGTCTTCAGACGTTTACTATTTCATTTTAATTCAAGTTTAAACAGTAGATGTTTCTGACTGTGTTACCTGACTTTTAGAGTAGTTACTAGTAGTTCTCCAACTTTGAGAATAAGAAGAGGGTGTTGATGACCAGAAGTAACATTCTTCCAATCGACTGTTCTCTGAAGGAAACTGTTTGGTCCAAAATCAAAATTTAGTCAAATTAAAAATTCTCCTTTCAAGCCTCTGCATATTTAGTTCAAGAAAAGAGGGGAGAATTTAGAGATGTTTATGGCCACACAGGTTTATCTATCCATACATCAACATGCATCTTTGTTAACCTAGGAGTAATAACTGATTATGTAATGCAATTATATGGGTCAGTTGAGTTGTCCTGGACAACATTTGTTACTGTTAGTGACTGAGGTTTGCAGATGCCAGTCAATCAGAGTCAATATCTTGACATCCTTAAGTTCCTTCAGGTTTGCTAATCCCCTGCCCTTGTCACAGACATATCTGCTTTTCAGGATTACTCTTGCCTGAACAACAATTGGCTTTTATACCCTCAAAAGGAAATGTCTCAAACTTAAATATACTGTGTGATGTGGTTTAATAACAAAACATCCATCATTAATGGTTAATCCCTAGTTAATAGAAGAGCGTTTAACTTAACAAAGGTGACCAATTGAAAGGCTAATTTTGCCAATGAAAGTAAGAAATAGAAAATAATGTAATTTTTAGGATGACAGGGATTTTAAAGCATAAAATACTTTCAAAGCAATTAATAATTAAAATGGATTGAGATTTTCAAAACTGTTGTTCATTAAAATGAGGTTAGTCAACAGTAATCACTCTAACTGAATATTACTATAATTTCATTGTACAATCAACAAGCTCTCAGTTTTATTTTCCTATTTATTTGTTGATTTGTTCACTTATAAAGAGTCACATAAAACTGGAAAGTAAATAAAAGGTGTATGCAATTTTTTAGAAAAGAAAATTCAGTTTGATTTCCGTCATAAAATTCTTTTCCAGAAATGTTACGAATTCCATCACTACAGAATTATTTTCATGTCATAATCTAAGTCTACAAATCAATGGCTAAATTAAAGATGATTTCTCTTGAAGCCATGATATTCTAGATTTCAGGTATGATTAGGGATGACAGAAGGATTGAGAATAATGAAAGATAAAATATTTTTTCATCACATAACATGCTGGAATTTTTAACCCATACCTTCAGAATAGAAGTAGAAGATGACAGCATAGTTAATCCAGTGGTATCCCTGTTTCCTATTGTGGCCTCCTGTAATCTTTCCGCTGTTCTTAAGCTGTATTCATCAGTTAAGGGAGTAAGATCTACTCCAGAAAATGAAGGCAGTTTTCCTTTGTGTGGTCTGAATGGTGAATATGTTTTTTTCTTGCCTTGCTGCTTAAAAGTGAGAATCAGTTAGAATTGAATGGGAGAGGAGGGGGGAAGGGGGAAGTCAATACATGATTACCACCCTCCCCTCCCAGCATTACATTAGGTTTGCCCAACAGTTTTCCAGTACACAACTGAACTTTTAACATGGGTAGCAACAGAAACATCAGATAAGACAAATTATAAAAATTACAAAAAGATTTCAATAATAATCATTCCAATTGTTCATTGTTAAACACCTGCTTCTTTGAAAGCTCTTGAGGTTTATTTTCCTTTCTCTTCTCTGCAGTAGCTGGTGTAGGTTGTGCTGGACTACTTATTGACAAGGGAGTCTCTGGCACATCCAGAGCTTCAAATGGTGGTTCTGGGGCACTAATTAGGAAATTAAACATGAATGATTGGAGTGCATCTTGAACAAGTATCAAGAGATTAAACGCAAAGTAAAGATGGACAAAGAACATAATAAGCCTAATAATATAACTGTATCTGACCAACTCACCAACAGACTGACTCTCCCACACATAAAATCACTTCAATAAGCTCATCACAGAATTAGTCTTACAGAATGATAAAAAAGTAATTAAAGTTTCATTTGTTATAATGTTTCATTAACTGTATGCTGTAACAATACGAACCAAAGTGTTTAGCAATGGCCATACCATTACATACATACACTTAGATGCTATGGATGCTTTTCAACATCTTTCTGACACTTATTACACTATGACAATGTGGATTTCTTCAGTAAGAAAGTTCATATGTTACAGTTTCTTGTTGTTGTGTACGTTGTGTTATATCATAAGCCAAAGAATCACAGCAAATGTTCAGGGATTTGGATCTCAGCATCTACTACTGTTGTAATGGTAAAATGTTGTATCACTTTGGTTTACAAATGACTTGAATATATAAAAATCATATAAATTATACGAACTACAAATTTTATTTAGAATAAATGGATCCGAGAAAGATTGTCAAAGTGATGAACACTACTTAGAAGGCAATAGAAAAGTAATTTTAACTGTGGGAGAGTTGACATGGGCAAGTTGGTCCGTGGGCAACTTGACTGTAATTCAATAAATTAACAACTCCACCTAGAGCTTATCAAAAAGCTGAAGCATAAAAAATTTCAGTACTTTCTCTACCAAGTCAATACAGAAATGTATGTAAAACATTTATGAAAACTTACCCTGGCCTTTCTTCAGCAACAGATGAGAGCTCAGACTCTCGATCTGATTGTATAGATGATACTGATGATGCTGAAGATGGCCGTAACATGATTGGCACTGACCCCTGAGCCCATGAATCAGTTAAAGGCGTTACAGGTTCTAAATAAAATTATATTTAACAAAAGATAATCCATATATAGAAACACATTTGCATCCAAAAAAACTAATACTTTCACAAACAACTAGATCTAATACTAAAAAAACCATCATTACCACACTCAGTATATGCATTAAGGCATCTCTTCAATACATACAACAAACAATTAGACACAATACCATCTTCCTCCAGCCACGTTGCATCGCAAGCAGGGTTGTTCTCTCCCCCATCACAGGCAAGAAATTGCCACTAGAAAATAAGCAATTCAAAGATACTAATTAGATTTTATTCCAGGGTTGCTGTTGAGGACCAGCTGTTGGTAAAATTTTCAAGAAAAAATGTGGCAATCCCCTGCTAGATAATTTTATGGCAGGTGATCACTCAGTAATGTATTATGGGCACTTCTAAGGTACAATTACACACTTACAGTCATTCGATATGGAACATTATTATCAAGCCACTCCACTTGAAATTTCAGCCACCAGCCTAATTTCTTAGCTTCATTCTTCCTACTTGTAATGTATAAAAACTAGAAATCTAATTGCTACATTAAACAGTTATACAACTGGATGGAATTTCGACTCCAACCAACAAATTGTGGTTAAAACTTATTTTGACAAAAAAAAATCTACACTCTGCAGAAAATCAGTCTATGAAAACCTCCAACTCAAGGCTTACAAAAAGTATGGAGTACCATATAGGGTGACCACTATGGCTGGGGGTGGGTTTATGGGGGTTTCTAGTTATCAAACCTGATGTCTAAATTCAAAGTTCACTGTATCAACATTTGTACCCCTATACCTGCGCAAAATTTCACAAAATGGTTATAATATTTAGTCTCATTACTACACACACCTCAATGATTTGTAGAAGTAAATTTTTAGACTCTTGTATAGTATATGGCAATGTTTGACTGATGATATACTGATCATGAAGGACTTTCATGGTGGATTCCACAATTTCGTTCACTATGTCAACAACAAATTCCTCCCCGTCCTCCTGGTCCACCATATGATACCTGAACATTAAAATAAAAAAATTGGTTTAGACACACAGAGGAATTGGAGAAGAAATTCTATCGGTATCCGGTAAGAAACTATAAGTCAAGTACAGTACCGCATTGAAAATATTACCAAATAATCTGTCCATGCATATGCTGCCCGTTCACTGCGATATAAAACACTTTCAAAGTTTAGAAAATACTCATTAGGCTGAAGCTGCTCTAAGTTACAATTCAAGCAACTCCTAAGGTCTCTAAACTTTCATGCTCTCTACACTTTCCGAGTGCTTCATATTAGAAAAAAGAAGTATCTCTCTTTCAACAAGAAAATTGGTGAAGGAAACATTACAATTTATCAAGATAAATTCTTACCAGTCAGCTTCTGTAAATCTTCCCGGTATAATATCATTGCTGGTAGGTGGTGGAGCGGACGTTTGAGCAGGAGTTTTTGTCTTATCTTGACGACTTTTATTGGACATGTTTACAAATGATGGCGAAGTTTTCTATCAGTTAGATTCGCATCAATGGCCAAAACAAGGGATAAGAACGGAAAGAAAGGTTAAATACTTGTTTCTATCGGCCATAAAGAGTTAGAAGAGCAGAGATCTCATCGGTAACTCTAGTAGAATCGCAAGTTCATTCTGCTTTTCCGTAACTAAAATGGCGGCTTTCGTCGAGTTGAGGCAGCCCGTTGCCATGGCGCTTTCATGCCCTCGTCCCAGTCCCGCGGATGATCAATGGGCTGGTATCTCTTCTTCGTTCAGTCTCTTTCGTTCTATTTCCAAACATAGAAGTCCTCAAAGAAGTCCGTCAGCAACGATAGCGGCTCGTTATTCTTGAAATTTACAGTAAGATAGTACTATTTCGCTCCCCTTTTCCAGATCTGACTCATTAAAATCAGGGAATTGAGCTACTTTGAGGAAATGAGGGAATCGAGTGGAGGGAATTGATTGAGGGAATTGGGGAATTGATCCACTACTTCTAAATTTTTCAGTTTACTCTAACATTTTGAGAAGCACTATTTTGGGGTACTTTTGTTTCACAGCTATGATAATAACAAATGGGTGATTAAGAAAAGGGATTATAAGAAGGCAATTATTTGGAGAATAGGCATTAAAAACAACAAAACAACAGGATACTTGTTTTATCATGACCCTTTACACCCAATATCAGTATGCATATTTTCCATACCGTTCTCAGAGAGAATTCTCTGAATTCTCAGGGAGAATTTGTTAAACAATCAAGAGCTTCTTTAGTGATCATTTCCTTTATTCTCCTGACCTTCATGTTTGATTCAGGGGTAATATGATTTTTAAGGAGAAATTCAACGTTAGTCACTCTTCACAGTTAAACAAACATGATACAATCAATCTATTGCAGAATTTTAAAATATTTAATAAACAAATACATAATAAATCTATCAAATAGCATTAAAGCCTGTGTTTCACAAAGCAAACTGCTTCTAAAAAAAATTAATGCACTATAAATACAACATCAGCAGTAGCAATGATATCTATAAAAGTTCTTTAGGTCAAAGACCTAAAATTCTTACTACTCACACTACTGCATACAGAATAACAATGTTGACACATAAATCTGCATCTGAGCACTACTCTGAATTAAAGAAAAACACCAGAAAAATATTTTCAATGTAATTTGATAAAAACTTGGACACTGGAGGCCAACTGATCTTTTTAACAGGATCCTAAGAGAGCAATTTCCTGATACTGAAGTATTGTAGCTAAGGTGCTTGACAAGCAATAGCATGAAGTAGACTTCTGCTGACTGACTGACAACATCAGCAGCTGTCTTTCTGTTCAATGTATTAATATCTGACCCAGCAGCAAGAAGTAAGTTAACAGTTGGTGCACTTTCCCATGCTGCAGAAAGGTGCAATGAGGTGTAACTCTGGTCATCTGTGAGCAAGACATCACTTCCATGGTCAAGAAGAAGCTCCACTACTGAAGTACTACCCCTGGCTAAACAATAATAAAAACAAATTAAAAATAAATGGGCCTTAAAGCTTAAGAGGGGGGAGAGAGATGAGAAAGGGGTCTTTTTATGTATGACAACTTCATCCATCTGGAGTATGCTTCCCTGTTAAGAGACTCCCCCCTGGAGGGTCCTACTAAAGTTCCTGGTTGGTTCATCTGTGCGAATCCACAGACAAGTGTTTCTTCTCTTACCCACCATTGAACTGAGGGTTACCTTTCCTCTCCATCATTCTTTGCAGACTGGAAGACAAGAAATGGTGCTTACCATTTGTTTAAATGATTTTCAAGAGAAACCAATTCCCAATTGACTAGGTCTGATGTTTTAAGAGTATTCCCTAATAAAGGGTACCTGACAGGAATATGCTGATATGACAAACAACTCTGATCATTAACAGTATTCTCTCAAAAAAATATGCTTATCTAATTAGCAAGTTCTGTCTCAATTTTATTCTACAGCTTTAGGATTTTCTGAGAAGTTGTAATGCTTGATGTAAGAAGTTTATATGGGGGTGGGGTGGCTGAGTTTCTGATGGGTAACGTAACAAGTAACCCCTCCCCACACAACGTTTCTTTTTCTCTTAGCTTAAAAGCCGCTCTATGTGATAGTGTTTGGTTCCACCGATCTCACAGCCTCACATTCGCATTATAACTCAACAACAACCTTGCTGCCTCAAAATTATCAATGAAGATAGGCAGCTACATGAACAGTAGAATGCCCCCAGTGTTCCTCACATCTACCTCACATCCCGAAGATAGCAAAACCTTCATAGTTTTCACGTCGTTATTGACAATACATTTGTAAAGCGCAGTTTCTCCATCAGAACCTAAAGAATCGAGGTCGCGGTCACCTTGTAAGCATTATGGAGTGATACCGAAGCCGAGTGACCTACGTTTGCAGCTTCTTGCAAGGCCGTCTAACCAAAAGATCCGACTCTATTTGGACACCATGTTTGAGAATTTTGTGGACATTCAGTCTCTTGGCAGTCTCCAAGTTGGCAGAATTTTACTAAAGCTATCTGTTTGTGACGATTTGGTTGCATAATCATTATAATTTCAATCGGCACGGAGGCACAGAAACAGACTTACCAACATCGCTAAAGAGTATTCGTCTTGATTATTTTCACGAAGAAAACTCCCCCTGCATAGGAAATGCCCATTACGCCAACGAGAAGCAGAACAAAGAGTATCTCCGCCATTTCTAACATTCATTATCCATCAAGCATTTCGTTTGTGAGGTCCTCGCAAAGTCAACCACGCTCACCTACCCCTCCCCCGATTAGGCGTCTTAAGCTCGCAATAATCATAGATTAGCGAAGGGCGTTCGACCAGCTGAAAAATGGATCTTTTTGACTTGGCGTAGAAAAATCCAGTGCGTAATATAAACTTACGAACATCGAATGGTGCCGTGGCTCACAGTTCTGACTTGTAGTAAATCATTTCGTTCGACTAAATGTCAACTGTGTAAATCCTGATCTAGTTGGTATTTATCAAAATACATGTAATCATGACAATACCGTATAGAAAAACTCACTGCTTGACGAGTGAATTCCACGTTAAATTTCACGCGAACATACGACATCGCACTCATCGCTTCGCAATTCGTGCGATATCGGTTTTTCAAGTGAAAATTAACGTGGAATTCACTCGTCAGGCAGTGAATTTTCCTATAGAATACTAATACTATAGTTAACACCATATTTAATATATAGATCATTACACGATATCCGCAGTATTTTCACAATTCTCACAATTATTTTTTACAATGATTAGATACACCCTTAGTTTTAGCCTCTTTTAACCATTTTGTTATGGTGTCCCTAAGAAGATTTAGACACTTAAATAAAGTAGTTGATTGATTGATTGATTTGCAATTTATCAACATATCTTTTCATGGCATCCAGTCAGAAGCGAATCAATGCCGCGGGCAGAGATTTTTTTTGGGATCACTTTCTAAAGGAGCTTAGAAACCAGGCCCAACTCGCCAGCCAAGCCTACTGAATTTGTGCCCAAGCCTTTTCTTGCTTGTGTGACCTTTTTTGTCACACTAGAGAATACAAGGAACTTCGGCGAGTAGTAAACACAAGTTCAAATTTTTAAAGCAGCAAAGAGAAAAACGTTTTGAGACCGAAAGGTAAGTAAGTAAGTATTTCAATGTTTACAACCTAAATTTAGTGTTTTGCTTTGTAATTTTACAACGTACAGTAAATTTTCAAATTAATAACTCGAAAAGCTTTCAGCTAAAATTGAACTCTTTATTAATAACCTTATACTTTCTTGATCTGATATCTCAATTAGCGATAACAACAGAAATCATTTGCTTTTGTGGTATATACTATATGTATGCCTAACTTGTTGAGGTACGTTGCCATGAAATAATGCACTCTGAGCAACAATTAATCTGATTACACAAAACTGAGCTAATGTTTAAATTGTTCACTGGACTGCCTGGACAACTGAAGCAACTGACAATGCATTTTGGGAGTGGTAGGGATGCTTACTTCATAGTGGCTATGGCTGTACCTGTCCTTGAATTTTCCCTGTAGTTTGTAATAGATTTCCATGCATTGTTTGTTATTTTGTCAGGAAATTTTAGTCTGCAGGAAGAAAATGTTTTTACAGAAGAATCCTTTTCCTGTAACGTGTACAACTGTTGCTTACGTTTGCCATATTACTGATGTTTTTATCATAATAGAACTTTCACAAAAATTATTTGACATTGAATTCTTATACAAATACTGCAGGGTCATACCTCCCCACCAACCCATCAAGGTGGTGTTGAAAACTGCAGTAAGGTCTATTGAATATAGTTAAAGTACTGAATTTCACTCCATGACTTACTACTGCAGAATATGGGGCTTTTTTATGATTATGTACCAAACAAAAACAAAATGCTTTCTTGGCTCATTTGCATCAAGCCACCTAATATAATTCACAAAGATTATTTGACATTGGATTCTCATACAAATACTGCAAGGTCATGCCTGCCCACCAACCCATCAAGGTGGTGTTGAAAACTGCAGTAAGGTCTATTGAATATAGTTAGAGTACTGAATTTCACTTTATGACTTACAATTACAGAATATGGGGCTTTTTTATGATTAGGTACAAAACAACAAAAAAAAAGCTTTCTTGGCTCATTTGGATCAAGCCACCTAATATAATGCAATCAATGTCTTGTTTTCTGTATCCCGAGTCATTGCTCAGTTGGAATTGATATTTAATTTGAATTATAATCACTTAAATCCAACTGAATGTATTTCTTTCATTACTTTTCTACTGACTGCCAAACCAGCAAGCCTTGAGGCATTAAACTGTGAGGACTTAAAAAAAGGCCCTATATTGTTTACATGTAGCTGTTTTGGGGGGGGGTGGTAAAGTTTCAAATTTGGTTAAGAGTATGTAACACAATAATAGTAATGACAATAATGTTAATAATAATAATAATTCATTTTTTCCATCCTTTGTTGCAAACGCATCTGACCCAGAGTCATTATTGGAACATACCAGAATAGCCTTTTTATTAATGCAAGACCTCAGTGGTGCACAGTCATGATATGAATTTAGGAATTACCAAGTGTAAAATTTCAAGTCAATATGGTCCAGAAACTACTCATTTTTGTAGAGGGTGGAGCTGAGAGGGGTGGAGGGGTTGAAATTATTAGGTTTGCGTACCGTTTTCACTCTTTGCACCCTAAGCACTCATACACGCACACTTCAGATGGATGCTCAACACAACAACGTCAAAAAAATAATCAAGCAAATAACTTACACGTGCAAAGCTTCCACGGTTAATATAAATTTACCGCTGTAAACAGTGAAAAGGCTTTACAAATTTTACTCGTAGCTTCTTTAAAGGTACAATTTCCTATGACGTTCTAACAAGATTATCAAGTTGTCAAATACGTATTTTCGTATGATTGATACCAATTGCTTTATTAAGTCGAAATAAGCTTAATGTCAAGAATAAATAAGCGGATTACTACACTTATGACAAATTTTGTATTCCATTAAAAAAAAGTGCTTGGTTCAATTTCGCAGTTCACCGAAAGGTTAATGTTGTTTGCCTGCTGGGATTTTTCTAAAAATTGAATACATTTTCAAGACCTGTACTCGATGAGGTGCACTTCTTGCGATTGTGCTGCAATCCGGCGAGTCCTTCGGAAAAAAAACATGTCACCGAAGGTTTGAAATTCCCTTTGGTTCCATTTGATCGTGAGTAGTGTTTAGAATTCACGAAGAAGCGTATTTTAGCCAAAGGCAGAAGATTCGTATTTGAACGGAGCTATTAAACCAGGTAATATTCTTTCCCGCGAAAATTACAAAAACATATGGTTCATAGATAACTTCCCATTTGTTTTTTCGCAAGTAAAAATGTTTCCTTCCCCTGTCCCCTCAATCGCACTTCAGTCGGGGGAGGTAGGGTAGAATTGTTAAATAATCAGAAGGCTTGGTTGCCTAATTGAGCCTGGTGTCAAGCTCCTTCCTTGCTGATCCCAAAAAAAATTTTGCCGCGGGATCTGCGATAGAAATGGAAGACGAGATGGGCCCAAAAGACGTCTAAGGATAGTATGTGTTCTCCTAAGATCAAATGATCTCAAACGTTATTAGGCTTTTAACTGGGACAAATTAAATCATGATTATTAAAATACGCTCTTAATACTTGCTGAATTTTTTTCAAAACACGGGAATGGGAGAATCATGATCTCAGATTGCTCTGAGTAAACAAGACAATTTTTGAATGGAAGAATGTAATAAGACAGTTTTGTGATAGTGCCAAGAGAGGAAAGAGAACACAATGATACTGTCATTCAGAAAAAACAAGTGAATTTATTCTTCTTCTCAGGCACTCAGAGGTATACAAACATCAATAACATACTAAATTTGCTGAAACGTTTGCAATCAAAATACTTGTAGGACCTCTCAAAACTCTTTACGAAAGCTTTTAACAGGGTTTCCGAGTCCCATTTCTTCAAGAGACTTGTATCTTTTACCAGGCTCCAAAATAGTAAATGCACCCTTGTAGGTTTCTCCAGTAAAAGCCCTCCATCGACCGGCGTTTTCCTGTACAATTATAGACGAACTTCCCTCGGAAGCTTCTTCGTTAAGTCTTTGGAGCCCTCACTGAGTTCCTGCAGTGACATTTGTACGGAAGTCTGAATTTTGATTCAGGGGTGATATTGAAAGGAGAAATTAGATCCTAGTCACTCTTAGGGGTTGAGGGGTTAAGTCTTCGAGAGAAGTTGTTGTTCACGAGTACGGATAGTTTTTTTTTTTTGACGAGCTAAAGCCTAAGAATCTTATAAAATCTAATTCTAGGGAGATACAGCCATAAAACCTTTACAGTAAATGAGGAAGATTCTCGCCCGAGGTCGGGAGGTATATTGAAAGCTCTCTCATATCACAGCACAGACATACAACGGATGTAAGAATTCACTTCAAATTTCCCTCTATCAGCATGCACCTATTAAGTCGATCATGTGACAGTCTTTACTCATGTGATACAATCCTTTTGGTCAGCGCCACGAGTCGAGGTATGAAGCTGGTCAAAAGGATCGCAGGCCCGGAAAAAAACATCTAAACGAATGCGTTCGATCATGTTCGATCAGATTTGATCCGGACGTCACAAGAATTTCATAGGAAAATGTGGGACGCGCACATTTCAGAATCCGTAAATATTGCCACAAGGATCATTTTCTAAAGGTTAACATTTAAACAGCTGATAACGAAAAAAAAGCATTTAAATTGCTAAGGCCATACCACGCACTTTCCACCGTAGTTTTCAAGTTCAAAGAATATCAACTTGACGGATTCCTGTGCCATTTTCTTCGGAAAGCTGTGCGAGACAGAACGAAAAGAATTAATACGATCACTAAGTTTAACTTCCTTTATTCTATGTTTGTCTTTTGTATCCATTTCCATAAGGAAAGCTGTAAATGACACTTGTGCAATAAGAAATGGGGGAAAATGTGGGCGAATTCTCCCCCTAGAGAGTTGTTAAAAATCGGCACTCTCTCCATACCGTTGTTCCTGGAATTTAAAAATACTCTTTGGCCAAAGACAAAAATATATCAAGAGACACATGTGCCCAACTAGAATAGACAAATGTTCCTCCTGTGTCTTTGTGGTGCAATGGTGACAGCTCTTCTGACGTCTGCATATTCTTCTGAATCTTAAGACTCAAGAGGTTTGCTTTGATGACCTTGGCCAATACCGCATAACTTAGGACTTCCTTTTCGGTAATTTTGTAAGACCTTTGAACACACCCCCTGCCGGAAATCAAGCCATCGACATGCCACTTCTCGGAACAAAAAAATATCTGGTGATTGGGTGGAGCCTCTGTAGTCTTGACATTAGCGTTATATTTGTCAAGTATCGCAAGCAAGCAAAGCTCTTGATAGGCACACCGAGAAAAAAAACAAAATTCTGAATTAGTATTTCAGCATCTTTGATAACTTGGTTACGTTTTTAATTCCATACTTCTTTTTGTTAATTTATGCATATGAAATACGTGTCTAGGCATGAATGTGAATTACCACAGCATTTAAAATTGAACGGATGAAGTTCACGGACATTTAACCTAATTTCTCTCAAGATGCCGCTTAACAAAGTCTCAAGAGGTTTCTAAGAACATACCAACCCAAATTTTGGTTTTTCGTGTTATAAATTAAATAAACCACTTCAAAGGACTTATGGTCGAAAAGTGAGCTAAATATTCCATACTAATAAAGCAACCTTACCTGCTACAGGACCACTAATAGCAAATCGACAAACATGTTTCATTTCCACGTTACCTTATCCAAAAGTTGGCCATAGATATTCTTTGATTTGTTATTCATGTACTTAGAAAAGAGAGCAAGGCCAACCAGTAGTGACCTTTCCACTATAATTTGGCTGAAACCTAACAATTTTCAAATATTTTTAAAAATTCTTCCTAACAGTACATGGGTTGAACCCACGCGAAACATTATTTGTCATTAATCATCCACGAGAGGGTGGTCCTTACAAGTACTGTTGTCAGAAGCCATGATGTAAATGATGGTGTAATCGATTTTTTCCCGACATAGTCCTCATCAAGAACAAGTAATTTTTTTTAACCGCTTGAGGAAATCGATATTGGCTTCCAAAACATTAGCTGAGTAATGGCGCATGCATCTCTGTTATGTAATGTCATGTAATGTTATCTAATGATGCTTTAGTAGTATCGTTTCTCTCTACTTCAGCTAATTTACCCTTAGGTAAAAATTAACATCATAATGGTATAAAAATGTCAGCATTCATTGAAGGATAGAATTCCTTTGGATGTCTTTGAAGTCCTGGATGTCTTAGATGTCAAGACTCTAACGGCTGATTTCACATTTAATTTAGGCCAAACTTGAAAATATTCTGCCAGTAAAACCACATTATTGAGAGACTTGTTGGGCTCAACGGGAAAAACGGTCAACGTCCTCCAAATATATGTTGCCTCTTGTTTTACGAAGTTAAGTGCCCAATATAACGTTATATTTTTCAGTCTTGTCAGTATCAGAGCTGAGATTGATAACATAACATTTTCGTGAGTTTATATTCCATTTGGGTGAGAATTTCGCGCAAACTTTGACTAAAGAGGAGAGATGAGACAGAAAAAATGGAGAAAATAATGCATGGAAGCGACGGGGTGGATTACCAAACTCAATCTTCCTTCTAAAGACTGGCTGGGAAGCATACCAATTTAATTTCTGTCTAATTAGTTTATTTAAATGCCTCTGATCTAGGTGACGCTTTTCTTTGCTAACACGGAATTACACTCCATTGAATGGCACTGTTAATCATACATGGAACAAAAACGACTCACAGCTTGAAGAATGACATTCTTTTATTAGACCGTGGACAGCTTAGCTTATCAAACACAAAATTGCAACCTTGAATCCAACTTAACTTTAACTTCTTAAATATAGCTAGATTGCTTCAAACACTTCCAGACTGTCTTCTTCTGAATTGCTTATGAAACACGCATGCTCTTGATAGGGCCAACAAGGCCAATGTTCTCCGGGCTTGAATAATCTTTCCCAGCGGACAAAATGGTGGAAGCTCCTTGGTAGTTGACTTCTGTGAACACCCGCCACGACCTCTGGTTAGAACCGATCTTCACGGAGGACGCTCCTTTGGGAAGGTTTACTGGAGCAACAGTTAGGTCCGGGTTGTCCTCGGTAAGAAACTATGGCGAGAAACCAAATGGACCCAAGATCTGATTGGTAATTTTACCTTTTAGAGACTTCTAAAGGGGTTTTGTACAATTTAATCATAATCAAAGAAAACCTATGGCCAACTTGCGGATAAAGTAATGTAGAAATGAAACATGTTTGTCAACTTGCTAGTAGTGGTCTTGTAGCATGAAAGGTTGCTTTATTAGTATGGAATCTTTGGCTCACTTTCTTATGTTTATAACGCCAAAAACCCAAATTTGGGTCTTTATGTTCTTAGAGACTTGAACTCTTGTTTAACAGGAGAAGATTAATTATTTTGATAAAAACTTGCGTTTTAAAGGTTAAAGTGACTGAAAGAAATCTAGAAAAGTCTCGCGGATTTTTCGGTCTTACTTTGTGACTCAGCTCGAGTCACGGAGAAATCCAGAATGATCATGGTAACCATCGTAACCATGGTAATCGCAGCTTTTCCAACTCTTTGGAAAAAAATCTCGCAGTAAATCTGATTTAACTTAATATCTTACCGCTTTTCCCCCACCATATTCTGGCTGCTCAAACAGCTGTACCTTCTCTTTTAAGTCACTCATCTCTGGAAAACAGAACATAAACAATCTTTTAATCGCAAAGGCAAGTATATTACTACCGAGTCATACGGGTCTTAGTATTCCACACCGCCAGAGCTTATCTCAATTTCCTTAGAAGGAAGCCTCTATTGGAGTGTTAATACTTCTATAGGGCCCCAGCCGGATGGTAGGATATCCCACCAATTCGTTTACTTTTCAAGACATTTGCTCTACCTTTTAATTCTATAGAAATAACACAATGTGTGCATAGGGGATATAGATGTGAAACACAGATTAGTTGGAAAGACTTTACCTTGAATTTACGCTTCTCAACAGGTCGATGTAACTTCTTTAGCTCCTTGTCAGGTTTGAGGTTGTGAGGGTTGCGCTCTCAATTTATCAGGTATAATGACGGTGATGAACGACTTCCAGATATGGTCATAAATCCAGAGACCTGTCAAAATGTCAAGATTAAAGGGGCTTCGCCCAATCTGTTCCGAGAAGTGGCACGATGATGTCTCTATTCCTCGCAGGGGGCGTGTTCAAAGGTCTTACAGCAAATTCCTGTTTACATTCCCAATTATTACTACAAAATTACAGACTAGGAAATCCTAAGTCAGGCAATGTTGGCCAAGATCATCAAAACAAACCTCTTGAGCCTTTGTCAAGCGGCATCACGAGAGAAATTAGCTTAAGCGTCCGTGGATTCATCCGTTCAATTTTAAATGTTCCGGTAATTCATAAACATGCCTTGACATGTATTTCTGAAATACTTTTTCGGAAGTTTGTTTTTTTTTCTCAGTTTGCCCATTAAGAGCTTTGCTTGCTTGCGATACTTGACAAATGTAACCCTAGTGTCAAGATTATTGAGGCTCCGCCCAATCACTAGATATTTTTCTGTTCCGAGAAGTGGCACGATGATGACTCAGTTTCCCGCAGGGGGTGTGTTCAAAGGTCTTACAGCAAATTCCTGTTTATATACCCAATTATTATTGCAAAATTACAGACTAGGAAGTCCTAAAGCAGGCAATGTTGGCTAAGATCATCAGAACAAACCTCTTGAGTCTTTGTTAGGGGGCATCATAAGAGAAATTAGCTTAAGCGTCCGTGAATTCGTCCCTTCAATTTTAAATGTTCCGGTAATTCATAAACATGCATAGACACGTATTTCTTATGTGTTAATTACTGGAAAAAAGTATGGAATTCAAAACGTAACCAAGTTATTAACGATGCTGAAATACTTATTCAGAAGTTTGTTTTTTTCTCAGTTTGCCCATGTAACCCTAACACTATCCTCTTACATAACCAATAGTAAAAATAGCTAAAAAAAAATATTTCACATTCAAAACACATTTATCAATATAGATATCCTAAGCATCCAATAGCTTTTGTTTTTTTTTTTGATGATGATCTCAGTTGTTTATTGGATAGTTCGTAGTACAGGTTAAACCGGTTATAATTTAGACAAGTTTCCGCGATTGAAGTTTTGGTTGATCCAAAATAAGTTTCTCAGTGTCCTGGATGACAAATCACAATGCCTTTAAAATTTATTAGAGATCTTCTACATCGCTTTTCGGGATTAATCTGGGTAAGGGTCTATCGAATTAGAATAACACACATATCTATCTAGGTTTCCCTTGTAAACAAAATGTACGTGCACCATTTAAGGCAATTATTTTCGTCATATATCAAAGTTGAATGAAATAAAGAAACTTGCTCAGGTCATTTCATGATGATTTTATGTTTGATCTAGCAGGATCGTTCATGCAAATTCAACGACCACTTCAATTCCTGTTTCCCTTTTAATTGAAATTGCAGGGAACAAAACTACAGTTGTTCGGTAATCCCAGATAAATAGTTTCATATAAAGCTTAAAGAACATATCATCTACATACCTAGTGTATCCATCCGACGCCAGTGTTGGTTTATGCCTGTAACAAGTGATAAACCATAAAAACATTGTGCGCATGATTTATCAAAGCCAGAAATGTTTCTCTATTGAAAAATATTGATTTTTTTTGACAGAATTTCAGCGCAAGTTGTGATGACGTAACACACTACTTTGCCGATGGTGTTGCGTCAATCAATGGTAGAACAAGATTCAGGACCTTGACAAGCTTTTACTGGAGTCCGCTATCAGGGAAACTCAATATATTTGTACCCCGGTAGCTACGAGGACCTCAACGAGCTAGGGCTCGAAAATTCCGTGAAAAGTTTTCTTAAAGCTCCAGTAAGTTTGTCTTTGATAACATATTTGATCACAACCGTTAGCCATAGCTTCCGCGACAACCTTACGTTCGCCTATCGCTCGCCTCCGCTCGCCTGGAAAACGCAAAAGGTGTCCTTTTCGGCTGGCCAAGTTAACAATTATTCGAGTGAAAATACGATCCTCCCAGGAGGGGTTGCAATTCATGAAAGTGCTGAAAATACAGGCACAAGCGAGATTTGAACTCGTGCCTCCAATAGATATGAACTATCAAAAATGGCATTCCTGTTCCAGTGCAGATCAATGCAGAACTGGGCAAACTGATCCTAACAAACCCAATGGAACTCATGTTCATTGTCTTCGAAGTGCGTTTTTGCTTTAAATCTTATTGTTAAATCTTTTGAACTGTTATATTTTCACCTCAGAGAAACTTGTCTACATGCTATAGGAATCTCAGCCGTTCTCCTCACCTTCCGGTTTTTGTCGGTGATTATTTGTCCCATTGTACTGCAGAAGAAGCTCGCTTTGGAACTGTATGAAGAAGAAAATTGTGGGGGAGCAAAAAAGGTAAAAAAATTTGCTGTTTTTAAATTTTAACAACAATATGTCCCGAGAATCGATCCTTAATTAATAAAAGATCAGTCAAACCTAATTTTCTGTTTTAGAAGAGTGTGAAGCAAATTCTAACATGAAGTTTTCGGAAGAGTTATGCCTAGCCTTTTGGTAGAGATGTACGCCGTGCGTGATTAATATTTTCAGTTCTCGGCGTACATACCTAATTTTGGTTAGGTCAAAACATGTCTGGCATTCTTAAGCTATGAAAAAGACAGAAATTAAGATACGTTGACCTATTCGTTCAGGCATTTTGGTTTGTGGAAACTGCGAGTCTGTCACAAACATGATCTGTAAATCAAGTCATGATTTTTATAGGTGTTCTGGGCTAGTTGTGATGACCTGAGCAGTGACTTTCCAAAAGGAGCCTCGTCAATTATAGTGAATAAACATTCAGAACGTTGGCAGGTTTTCACCGAGGTCCAATTCCGAGGAGCCACAATGACTTTGGAACCTGGAAGAGAATACAGAAACACATGCAGAAGCAATGCAGCTCGAATTTCCCGTCAAGATTTTTCGAAAGGCTCCTTGTCACAATTAATTTCTTTGCCGTAAAATTTAAGATAAAGGTATCATAACAAGGTAACAGTATTGAATGCAGGATGAAAAAGCGCCATCTGGGAACAAACATCTACCCAATTCATGCATGTAATCCACTAATCAGCAATGAAAATAAACAAAAAAAGTTACTGGCTGTAATTCTGAGTTTCTGAATGAATTGTTGTACGGCATCACCGGAGAAGTGTAACACTCAGTTGACTATCAGCTAGATCATAACGAATAAAGGTGCTGAAATCAATCGCTGTGGTGCATTATGAAGTTAATGCTAACAACGCAACATCGGGGCGCAATGTCTTGATCAACTGACAGTCAAATGAAAATACTTTAGTGCTTTAGCGATACAACAATGCCTTGTAAGGCTTGAAAAACACTGTGGAAACAGTTGTTCTCTCTTCCACCTGATTATTCGTCAGCTAATTTGTAACGAAGATTGTTTGGTGTTCTGGCGACGTAGCAAATGAAAACATTTTTTTTACAAAAAGCATCGTGTGTGATCAGTTGGTCTATTCGATTATTATTTTTCTCTTACTCATTGGAAAGTGCATTGTTAGAAATTTAGACTTAAACTTATCAATGAAATAAAGTTATGAAGATATCGTAAAATTATACATTTTGATTAATTTTCAGTCTAGAATGTTTCCCAAATGTGCACTGATTCAAATCAAACCATGAAAAATCCTACTCAACTTCTGCTGAGCGTAAAGCTTGAACAAGTGAAATGATCTCATGCAGTTTCATCCAGTCGAAAGATGAAATTTAGGGAAATAAAAATTGGAAGTTCCAGGAAACTGATCATTAACTGAAAATGACGATCGAAATCAAGTTATTTGCAAGGAATGGTGACGGAGTGAATTTTAATAAGTCGTTCATTTGAAACAGGAAAAGAGACATTCAGTAAGTTGGATGCATACATTGCACTGTAGTCAGGATTTTATTTATAACAAAACATTGATGTAATAATAGCAACTTCATTTCTAAGTTTCCATCTCAACTAAAGTGAAGTCGTTTCGTAGAAATCTTAATCATGTGTACGAATGATTATCAGCGCCATTGTTAATCAATTGACAAAGCCACCCTAACTGAAAAGCACGAATGTTTGCACGTATTTCGATATTTCTTTCAGAAGAGGGCCAGGTTATAGTGTTTGTCAGCAAGATCAGACGAATTGCTTTGATCTGAAAAGGCGCCTCAATCGTTCTCAATAAAGGGGTGCGTGCCGCGGAGGAGGTAAGGGAAAAATGTCCTTAACGGGTTCGAAAAACGGATAATATATTACATAACAAACCTGGAGAGTCTGTTAATGCACGCTGTGCCTACTTTCCAATTTCCAATTTGGTGCTTCTTTCCAGCAAGTTAAATAGTTTTCTGCGTCTCCAAAGCATCAAAACAATCCATAGGGCAGAATGCTGTGACATTCATTAAATATTCATGATCACCGAAGCGCAAATACGCGCTCTGAAAAGCCCAAAATTAGAGAAGAAGCAACTGGTGTTGATTGTGCTTTACTTTATCGGTCAATGAGCAATAGCGTTGTGTGAATTATGCTTGTTTTCCCTCTCTTTAAGGTCCACATATGCCTGTATATCACTAGCTCGACTAAAGAATCTAGCATCTTTTTATTTTTGCATTTGATTATTCCATTATTACAACATTGCAGCTTTTGGCAATTGTACGATAAACGTTCTAGAGCAGTGTGTCCACACTCGCTCCTCTCTCTCTCTCTCGATCTAAATGTTCGCCGGAAACATTATTTTACTTTCAAACACTGTGATGAATAACTTCTTAACTAAGGAAGTCGTAAAGTTTGCAAAGACGCAGGAAGTAAAAGCTACAATTAGGAAAATCAAGCGGAATGACTCGGCACAAATGAGCGGTCTTCGCTTCTTATTATCGGCCGCAACTGACTATAAAATATTTAATTACGCAAAGTAAAGTTTGCTTGTGACGCGCTTGTATAGCAGTTCAGTACAAGCTACGAATCCTCTGGAGGGTCAAAACGGATGAACCGTTCGCAATCAATAAAACAAAAAAGGAACCCTGTCTATCGGTGTGTTGTTCATTTGTATAGTAAGCGAAAACTTCATTCTTTACAACGTGGCGACTGGGAAATGGCTCGATTCTTCACATCTTTGTGATAAACAGTCTTACTTCAAATTCATCTCAATTGACTATACTGCAACTAAAGCGTTATATCAATATGTTGAACAGTACAGATCTACAAAGTGCTTCAGGCTGGTGATATTGGCCAAAGTCGTCAAAAAAACCTCTTGAGTTAATTTTTTTGTTTAGCGTGCATGATTTCCATCCGGTTTTCTAAATCTTCCTGTTAATTTGCGTGCCTGGAATCCGTCGCAGCGATTATGATGACCATGTTAACTTTGCTTGTCTCTGCTTCTAAGGGAAAATTTTTTCCAAAATGGAAATGTTGGAACGGAATAATTTGCAGTTTTTGTAAGTATAATAGGGCCTCATAGGGTGGCTAATTGCCTGTGACCGCTGAACCTGCTTAAACAGGTTTTGTTATTGGGGTGCTGAGGACTATCGGTTTGTGACTGAGTGGATAAACAGGAATAACAGAAGAATCGTTTCCTTTGATTTCGTCGCAAAAAGCACAACTACAGTTGTTCCAAAATGCCGACTATGGAGGATTAAAAGGGTATGAAGTATTTATTCTATATTCGAGATTTAATAACTTTAAAAAGATAAACATGAAGAAAATGAAGAAAAAGGAAGGGAAACATGTGAGTTCCCGGAGAGACTTTTTATCTCAGACCTAACGAATTCAGTTCGAATTCAGCTAAAAGGAATGCTGATCAAGGAGCCTTTCCCCACACCGAAAACGATTGTTGAACATTACTTTCGGTTGACATGTCACAAGCGAAGAATGGTGAGCTCCTCATTGTTGTTCATTCCATGTGCTTGAGATGTTCTCATATTCCTTGTCTTTCCACAGAAAAACATTTGCGCTTTACTTATCGTATGAAAATCCTACCAGTTGTAGTTTCCGTCGTATTTTGTTACTAGTATTACTTAATTTGTGATAAAGTTCAAGCCCTTTCCTGAACTGACCGATATCCTGTTGCGTGAACAGAGCGAAACCTCTGGCGGATACTGACATAAACACAAGCCAAGTTATGTCAACAAAAACGAACCCAACTACCCATTTGTAGCCACGAGAAGTAAATTCTTCCGCGAATTTATTATAAATTCTTTGTTGTCTAATTATTCTTGTGTTTTATTCTTTCTTTTTTATTTTCTGTTGCTTCTTATTGTCGGCCGCGTTCCCTGGCGATACAATCTTGAATTACGCAAAGTAAAGTTTCCTTGTGACGCGTTTGTATGGCAGTTACAAGTTACGAATCCTCTACAGGTTCAAAACGGATCAACAGTTCACAATCATTAAAATAATATAGAAACGCTATCTATCGCTAAAGACACGATTCAAGTGTTTGCGATGAAAGGGAATTTATATGTCTTGCCCATTCAATTGCATCACGGCGTAAAAAAAGCTTTAAACGTACTACAAAAGACGGCCTAAGTTACTATATAAAACTCTATCATCCTTTCCTAAAACTGTCGAAAGGCTTATCGAGTAATTAATAGATACTGAGAGAAAATCTTACGTTAAGGGGTTTTGTACAATTTAATCATAATCAAAGAAAACCTATGGCCAACTTGTGGATAAAGTAATGTGGAAATGAAACATGTTTGTCAACTTGCTAATAGTGGTCCCGTAGCATGTAAGGTTGCGTTATTAGTATGGAATCTTTGGCTCCCTTTTCGACCATAAATCCTTTGAAGTGGTTATGTTTATAACACGAAAAACCAAAATTTGGGTTGGTATGTTCTTGGAGACTCGAACTCTTTCTTACGATGTGACAGGTCTGGATTTATGACCATATCTGGAAGTCGTTTATCACCGTCATTATACGTGATAAATTGCGGAGAACACAATCGGTGGAGGAACTTACTGAGAGAAAATTTAAAACTCCCACAACCTCAAGCCTGACAAGAAGCCAAAGAAGTTACATCGACCTGTTGAGAAGTGAAAATTCAAGGTAAAGTCTTCCCAACTTATCTGTGTTTCTCATTTATGTCCCTCGTGCACACATTATGTTGTTTCTATAGACTTAATAGGTACAGCAAAAAGTCTTGAAAAGTTAACGAATTGGTGAGATATCCTGCCATTCGGGGTACCATAGATGTATTAACACTCCTATAGAGGCTTCCTTCTAAGGAAATTAGGATAAGCTCTGGCGGTGTGGATTACTTAGACCCGTATGACTCGGCAGTAATATACTTGCCTTTGTGATTAAAAGATTATTTACGTTCTGTTTTCCAGAGATGAGTGACTTACAAGAGAAGGTACGGCTGTTTGAGGAGACAGAATATGGCGGAGAAGAAGTGGTAAGATGTTAAGTTAAATCAGATTTACTGCGAGACTTCTTCCTCTCTTTAGTGGTATATTGTTCCGAGTCAGAAAACTTAGGAGGTTTATTATCAGATGTAAGCGGGAGAAAACCTTGTAAACAAAGATCATCGCGTTCAAAATGCAAACATTTATTGACGGTGGGGGGAAACGTGACAGAGGAATGGAAAATAGGCGAATTTGGCTCGTGTAGGCAAAGAAAGATTGGAATCGCAGCGACTAAATTTGATGAATTTTGCAACCAGAAATTTAATAAACGTGGGATTTTATTTTGTACTGGTTTTGTAGAACGCCTGAGGTATGTGTTTACTATTCTGCGGGGGTGGATGGTTCAGTACCATCATTCTGGATTTCTCCGTGACTCGAGTAAGTCACAAATTGAAACCTAAAATCCTCGAGACTTTTTTAGAGTTCTTTCAGTCACTTTAATTTTTACAACGCAAGTTTTGATCAAAATGATTGATCTTCTCCAATTAAATAACACATCTTCAGAAAGAGTTCGAGTCTCCAAGAACATACCAACCCAAATTTTGGTTTTTCCTGTTATAAACATAACCACTTTAAAGGACTTATGGTCGGAAAGTGAGTTAAATATTCCATACTAATAACGCAACCTTACATGCTACAGGACCGCTATCAGCAAGTTGACAAACATGTTTCATTTCTATATTAGTTTATCCACAAGTTGGCCATAGGTTGTCCTTGATTTCATTTGTTATTCAAGTACTTTGAGAAGAGAACAAGGCCAACCAGTAGTGACCTTTCCACTATAATTTGGCTGAAACCCTACAATTTTCAAATGTTTTCAAAATTTTCTTCCTAACAACACATGGGTTGAACTCAGGCGAAACATTATTTGTCATTTAATCATCCACGAGAGGGTGGTCCTTACGAGTACTGTTGTCGGAAGCCATTTTATAAATGATGGTGTAATCGTTTTTTAACGACAGTCACCATCAAGAACAAGTACTTTACTTTTTTTGACTGCTTGAGGAAATCGATATTGGCTTCCAAAACGTAAGCTGAGTGAAGCATACAAGTGGCGTACGCATCTCTGTTATGAAATGATGCTTAAGTAATATCGTTTCTCTCCGCTTCAGCTGATTTACCCCAAGGTAAAAAATTAATATTAAAATATCAGCATTCAGCTAAAGGATAGAATTCCTTCGAATGTCTTGGATGTCTTAGATGTCAAGACTCCTACGGCTGATTTCATATTTAAACTAGGCCAAACTTGATAATATCCTGCCAGTACTGAAAACCGCATTATTGAGAGACTAGCTTGGCTCAACGGGAAAAGCGGTCAACGTCCTCAAAATATATGTTCAATAGTTCAAAAAAAGAATTCATATTCAAAATACATTTACCAAGGGATGAAAGAGTCGTCAACGTAAAAAGGTGTCCTTAAATCCACGTTATAATCAGTAGTAAAAGAAAACAGCTCTCTGAATAGGTGACCTTTCAAGCGTATCCTTAGCATCCAATAGCTTTTTTTTCGATGATCTCAGTTGTTTATTGGATGGTTCGTAGTACAGGTTAAACCGGTTATAGTTTAGACAAGTTTTCCGTGATTGAAATTTTGGTTGATCCAAAACAAGTTTCTCAGTGTCATGGATGACAGATCGCAATGCCTTTAAAATGTACTACAATTCTTGTACATCGCTGGGATTAATCTGCATAAGTGTTTAATTTTACATGTAGCCTAATCGAATTGGAATAACGCGCATATCTATCTAGGTTTCCCTTGGAAACAAAATGTACTTGCACCACCTAAGGCAATTATTTTCGCCAAACATCAAACTTGAATGAATTAAAGAGACTTGCTCAGGTCATTTCATGATGATGTTATATTTGATCTAGCAGGATCGTTCATGCAAATTCAACGACCACTTCAATTCCTGTTTCCCTTTTAATTTACATTGCAGGGAACAAAACTACAGTTGTTCGGTAATCCCAGTTTTGGAGGCCATACGAAGGTACAGTAGTAGATAACTAGTTGCACATAAAGCTTGAAGAACATATCATCTACATATCTAATGTATCCATCCGACGCCAGGGTTGGCTTATGCCTGTAACAAATGATAAACCATAAAAAAATTGTGTGCACGATTTATCAAAGCCAGAAATGTTTCTCTATTGAAATATATCGATTTTTTTTTACAGTATTTCAGCGCAAGTTGTGACGACTTAACATGCTACTTTCCCGATGGTGTTGCGTCAATCATAGTAGAACAAGATTCAGCACCTTGGCAAGTTTTTACTGAAGTTGGTTATGAGGGAAACCCAAAATATTTGTACCCTGGTAACTATGATGACCTCAACGAGCTAGGGCTCGAAAAACCCGTAAAAAGTTTTCGTACAGCTCCCGTAAGTTTGTCTCTGATAACATATTTGATCAGAACAGTTAGCCATAGCTTCCACGACAACCTTACGTTCGCCTATTGCTCGCCTCCGCTCGCCTGGAAAACGCAAAAGAGGTGTCCTTTTCGGCTGGCAGAGTTAACAATTATTAAAGTGAAAATACGATCCTCGCGGGTGGGGTCCCAATTCATTAACGTGTTGAAATAAGTCCGAAAAATACAGGCACCGTTCCTCCAATAGATATGTACTTTCAAAAAATGGCATTCCTCTTCCCGTGCAGATCAATGCAATAACGACTGAAAGCACATTTTCTGATTGCGGAACTGGGCAAACTGATCCTAACAAACCCAACGGAACCCATGTTCATTGTCTTCAAAGTGCGTTTTTGCTTTTTAGATCGAAAGATGAGGATTGTTAAATATTTTGACTTGTTATATTTTCACCTCAGAGAAACTTGTCTACATTCTATAGGAATATCAGCCGTTCTTCTCACCTTCCGGTTTTTGTCGGTGATTATTTGTTTCATCATATTGCAGAAGAAGCTCGCTTTGAAGTTGTTTGAAAAACAAAATTATGGAGGAACTAAAAAGCGAAAAACAAACATCAAACTTGAATGAATTAAAGAGACTTGCTCAGGTCATTTCATGATGATGTTATATTTGATCTAGCAGGATCGTTCATGCAAATTCAACGACCACTTCAATTCCTGTTTCCCTTTTAATTTACATTGCAGGGAACAAAACTACAGTTGTTCGGTAATCCCAGTTTTGGAGGCCTTAAGAAGGTACAGTAGTAGATAACTAGTTGCACATAAAGCTTGAAGAACATATCGTCTACATATCTAATGTATCCATCCGACGCCAGGGTTGGCTTATGCCTGTAACAAATGATAAACCATAAAAAAATTGTGTGCACGATTTATCAAAGCCAGAAATGTTTCTCTATTGAAATATATCGATTTTTTTTACAGTATTTCAGCGCAAGTTGTGACGACTTAACACGCTACTTTCCCAATGGTGTTGCGTCAATCATAGTAGAACAAGATTCAGCACCTTGGCAAGTTTTTACTGAAGTTGGTTACGAGGGAAACCCAAAATATTTGTACCCTGGTAACTATGATGACCTCAACGAGCTAGGGCTCGAAAAACCCGTAAAAAGTTTTCGTACAGCTCCCGTAAGTTTGTCTCTGATAACATATTTGATCAGAACAGTTAGCCATAGCTTCCACGACAACCTTACGTTCGCCTATTGCTCGCCTCCGCTCGCCTGGAAAACGCAAAAGAGGTGTCCTTTTCGGCTGGCCGAGTTAACAATTATTCAAGTGAAAATACGATCCTCGCGGGTGGGGTCCCAATTCATTAACGTGTTGAAATAAGTCCGAAAAATACAGGCACCGTTCCTCCAATAGATATGTACTTTCAAAAAATGGCATTCCTCTTCCCGTGCAGATCAATGCAATAACGACTGAAAGCACATTTTCTGATTGCGGAACTGGGCAAACTGATCCTAACAAACCCAACGGAACCCATGTTCATTGTCTTCAAAGTGCGTTTTTGCTTTTTAGATCGAAAGATGAGGATTGTTAAATATTTTGACTTGTTATATTTTCACCTCAGAGAAACTTGTCTACATGCTATAGGAATCTCAGCCGTTCTTCTCACCTTCCGGTTTTTGTCGGTGATTATTTGTTTCATCATATTGCAGAAGAAGCTCGCTTTGAAGTTGTTTGAAAAACAAAATTATGGAGGAACTAAAAAGGTAAAGAAATGCACTGTTACTAAACTTTAACAACAATATGTCCCGAGATTCGATCCTTGCTAAAAGATCAGTCAAACCTATTTTCCTGTTTTAAAAGCCCCGCTACCAGAAATCCGAGACATCAATCATATTTCATCTTTAAACATGACGGAGAAATAATTACAAATAAATGTATGAGATAAAAAAAATAAATATCAGGATCACTGACCCATAAGCGAGGATGAAAAATTTTCCACCGCCCCTAAAAGAAAGAGAACACCTTTGTGATAATAAAGATATTGTTCGGTGGATGATTTTAAAAGATGAGTTCGAACAAATTTTAATACAAAATTAACATAGACTCAAATCGTCTCACAAAGTCTCAAATTTCGTAAAATATTACTTAAGAAAAGCTCAATTTTGAACATCAACCCTTGAATGAATTCACCTTCCACCACTCTCAACAGCATCGTCTGCAAACAAAGCTTGAAGAACCGCCAGAAATTTCCTGTCGATCGACTTAAAAGTTCGGACAAATCGACGAATTTGAAGAGAAATAATTCTTTTGTTCATCCAATGCGCTGTTAAATAAACATGTGTCACATCAAGGCGAAAAATATAGAAAACGCTCGCCGTATCGGCGCTTTTCCTTCCTTGTTTTGGTAGTAATTTTGGAAATGTAGCCGGGCATTTTTATGATAGGTAACTCGTCTGTCACAAATTTGATCTGTAAATCAAGTCATGGTTTTTGCAGGCGTTCTGGGCTAGCTGTGATGACCTGAGCAGTCACTTTCCTGAAGGAGCCTCTTCAATTATGGTGAATAAACATTCAGAACGTTGGCAGGTTTTCACCGAGGTCCAATTTCAAGGAGACACAGTGACTTTGGAACCCGGAGGAAAATACAAAGACACAGAAGAAATGCAGCTTGAATGTCCCGTCAAGAGTTTTAGAAAGGCTCCTTCTCACAATGCATTTCTTTGCCGTTAATAAAAGATAACGGTATCATAACAAGGTAATAATAATGAATGCGGGATGAAAAAGCGCCATCTGGGAATAAAATGTAAAGCGTTTATCTACCCGATTCATGCATGTAATTCACTAATCAGCAATGAAAATAAATAAAAGAGGTTAGTGCAATTCTGAGTTTCTGAATGAACTGTTGTGCCACATCACCGGAGAAGTGCAACACTCGTTGAATATCAGCTAAATCACAACGAATAAAGTTGCTGAAATTAATCGCTGTGGAGTATTATAAAATTAAAGCTAACAAATCAAAACCCGCAACATCGGGGCGCTATGTCTTGATCAACAGACGGTCTAATGAAAATACTTTACACGAACTAATACCCCGGCACGAACTAATACCCCGGAATGGCGGCAAGAAAAGTAGCTTTTGAACCACTGCAAAGCCACGTCACGGATACCATAGTGCTCCAATTTCGCAAACAAGATATGATGGTCGAGAGTATCAAATGCTTTGGAAAGATCTAGGAAAACACCCACCGTTGTTTCGTGTTGGTCGATTGCAGAAGCTATTTTATTTACCAAATGAATTAATGCGTGCGATGTCGAGTGATTTTTCCGAAATCCAAACTGACAGCGGTAAAGTATATGGTGTTTTTCGGCAAATTCTACCAAGCGATTGTACATGACTTTTTCGAAAAATTTGGAAAAATTAGACAACAAAGAAATAGGTCTGTAGTTTACAAAAAAGTTAGGATCCTCTGCTTTGAAGATGGGAATAATTTTAGAGATTTTAAGTTTGTCCGGGAAAATGCCTTTAAGCAGAGATTAGACAAATCAAGCGGAATGACTTGACACCAAGGAGCGATCTATGCAGTTTTTATTGTCGGCCGCGTTCCCTAAAAGTAAAGTTTGCTTGTAACGTGCTTGTATGGCAGTTACAAGTTACGAATCCTCTAGAGGGTCAAAACGGATGAACCGTTCATTTCGTTCGTTCGTTAAAACAAAATAGAAACGCTATCTATCGCTAAAAACATGATTTAAGTGTTTGCGATGAAGGGGAATGTATAAGTTTGATAAGTTTTGCCCATTCAGCTGGAACCAGCTCACTGCGCCGACATCAAAACAACGAAATTACACCATTAGGGTGAACGTTTGCAGTCATGTGCAAAAACCAGGGACCACCATTAATTAGCGCCTATTTAAATGGATCGTCATAGGATCAACTCAAAATAAGTAAAAGCGAAAATATCTGCGCGTATTCTATTTCTACAAGACTGTAGAGGGTCACCGAGGTTAATGTAAGTCGTGGTCGGCAAGATCAGTCATATTACATCCATTTGAAAAGAAGTCTCGATAGATTTCAATAAAGCGGTGCTTGCTAAAGACATGGTGAGGTAAAAAATTTAGGAAAAATTCGCTAGAAACTATCGGAAAGCTAATACTAGATTACACAATAGAGCTGAAATACTCATTGATGCTAGCTTGCTTGCGTTTAACTACTCTCCAGCAAATTATCGCATATCCGGGGTAGTCAAAACAAAACTACTTTACCATCTCGTTTTGTTTCTTTAAAAAGGCGGGAAGTTAGTATCTGTGCATCCGCTGTTCTTTTACGAAAAGTGCTTTGTTTTTAACAGCAAGTTTCGTGTATTACCGAGGTAGATATTCAAAATGCAAAATTGCACGTGCGAGTGATACCCGGCCTGCTGATTCAACAATCTTCCAAATCGTAGCTTGAATTTTCAAGTCTGTCGTTTCAATCTGTGCTAAACTTGCCCATCCTGTTCTCCTTTGTTTTTTTGTCTTCTTGCATCTCTAACAATGCTTGTTTACCTTGTTAAAACTATTGTCTTTGAAATATATAAATCTGTTGGTTTTGACCAGATATACGCACAGGAAATAAAAGCTCTCTCGAAAACTAGTGTGTTGTTCATTTGTATGGTAAGCGAAAACTTCATTCTTTTACAAAGTGGGGACTAAGAAATGGGTCGATTCTTCACATCGTTGCGATAAACAGTCTTACTTCAAATTCAGCTTAGTTGACTACACTGCAACTAAAGCATTTAACGCTTTACTTATATCAATATGTTGAACACTACAAAGCTACAAAGTTCTTCAGGCTGGTGATATTGGCCAAAGTCATCAAAAAAAAACCTCCCGAGTTAATTTTTTTGATTAGCGTGCGTAATTTCCATCTGGTTTTCTAAATCTTCCGGTTTATTTGCGTGCTTAGGATCTGTCGCAGCGATTATGATGACCGTGTTAATTTTGCTTGTCTCTGCTACTGCTACTAAGGGAAAATTTTTTCAAAACGGAAATGTTGGAACGGAATAATTTGCAGTTTCTGTAAGTGTTATTTACAGGGCCTCATAAGGTGGCCAATTGCCTGTTACCGCTGAACCTGCTTAAACAGGTTTTGTTATCGGGATGCTGTCGGTTTGACTGAGTGGATAAACAGGAATAACAGGGGAATCGTTTCCTCTGATTTCATCGCAGAAAGTACAATAAATGCCGACTATGGAGGATTAAAAGGGTATGAAGTATTTATTCTATACTCGAGCTTTAACAATTTTAAGAAGATAAACATGAACAAGAAAATGAAGAAAAAGGGAGGGGAAAAATGTGAGTCCCTAGACAGACTTTTTACCCCAAACCTAACAAATTCAGTTCGCGGTCGGTTGCTAGTTTGTGTCAAGCATCACAACTTTGATTTCAAACTTCTCAGGTAATGAGCTACGCAATAGGTTAAATGCTACAAACTGATGTCATTTGGAATTCTGTGTTGTTTATCAGTCTCACTGTAAAAGTAATTATTTATAAAGCTCTTTTATAGGACTTCAGGACAAGCTGCGAGAATTTGACGAATTGTTTTCCTCAAGGTGCCTTGTGTGATCACGGTAGAAGAAGACTCAGAGCCTTGGCAGGTTTTTACTGAAGTTCAGTTTCAGGGTGACGCAGCATGCCTGGTGCCTGATGATTACCTTAATGTCAATGCTATGGGACTCAAAAGTGTAGTGAAGAGCTTAAGGTCTAGTCCTTCTAAATTGCGTATTTATCTTCCTCACAGTGCTAGTTCGTTCGTGGTTTAACTCTTGCGTTCGCGGTGTTAAAGGAAATTTGCCAAGAACTTTCTCCTGTAAAACCTGTGGGGGGAATGTTTTTTTTTTTTTTAACGACAAAGTTTTCTTGGCAAGCAAATTTTGTGCTTCACAAACTATTCCGCGTTCAGAAATGTTTATGTCACCCTTTTCTTTCCATCCACACTGCACGGGGAAACTTTTCGAGGAAATCTTTCTTGTTTAAACGTGCCTTATGGTGTATAATGCATGAGCAAGGTAAAAGAAAGACGTCTAGTTTCTCCTAACATATCAACAGCAAACAGCATGCTATTTTTACATTAAAATCTTTCCTCTGCCCTTTGATAACGTTGTACTTCGGGGGGCTTATGTAAGCATGGTTAATGCTAAGATGCCATTGTTAATGTAAAGAAATTTTTTGAATGAATACAAATCAGTTAAATAAGAACAGCAAAACTGTGCTATGATACTGAGTCGTAGCTCTTCAGATGTAAACCTCACGTTCCTTTTGGTAATCATTTAAAATGCATGTTATTTTGAAATTTTAATTCTTTTAATGCTTTTTTTTCTTTCACTACTAATTTGTTTTTGTCTGTTTGAATTACAGCATAGACATTCTTTGAAGGTTTATGAAAGGCCTGAGTTCGGGGAAATTGAAAAGCTAATAAAAATTGCTGTCTTTGTTGTCTCCTCTTCATGAGGAATGAATTCTTTCTGTTCGCTAATGATAAACAATTGAAGCACATCGTTCTCCGATGAAGTTTTGCAAAGAAGAGCCCATTTCAAACTGATAAACGAACTGAAGCACAGTCTGTAGACCCCTCTGTTTATCTGTTAGGACTAGGGGGCACATTCTTCTGGATATTTCAATCCTCTCACGGTTTGCACGAAAAGACTTCAATAGTTTGCCAACAATACTGATGATCTTTTAATATCATTTCCACAGGTGTTCTCGGAAAGTTGTGAGGACTTGACCAGCAACCTTCCAATAGGTGCCTCGTCCTTTGTGGTTTGTCCACATTCTGAACGTTGGCAAGTTTTCACCGAAGTAAAATACGGTGGAGTTACAACTACGTTAGAACCTGAAAAATTATTTAGGACAAACGAGCGCTGCAGCTCCAAGATCCCATCAAGAGCATTCGCAAGCTCCTTTCCAATTAGACATACATATTTGTTTCATTCAATAAAGGATTTTGGTGTCTTCGCAACTGAGGAAACAGTGTTGAACACAATAGAAAAAATGATTCAGTTTTGTGAGAGCAAAAATGTACAGTTATATACATTTGTACATCTGATGACCCTTCTGTAAATTTGCAATGAAAGTAACTCGGTGCTCTGGCGATATAAAAAAGTCACCTATTCGGTAATGATTTTGAAAAACGGAAAAACATTCCTTTCCAATATCGTAAAAAAAGTTTGTGGCTTATAAGCACAGTGAATACAATGACTACATTGTGAGACAAAAATTAATACTTCTTCCGCTTTGTAAAGACTGTAATTGATTGATAACCCCTCAACTGGTCTGTGATTAAAACAGTTCGGTTGTGAGGGTTTGTCATTTAGACGAGGCTTGAAATCAATACTGAGAGCGTTACCTCTCTGACTTTATAAGAAGCTAGCTTTGGAGGATTCACAGGCTTTTGTTTTGACCCTTTGACCTCTTAGAGTGACTAGAATCTAATTTCTCCTCACAATATCTCCCCTGAATCAAACATTAAGGTTATGAGAATAAAGGAAACGATCACCAACTAAATGTGTTCTCAAATTGTTAAACAAATTCTTCTTGTCAGCACCTTAAGAAATAAGTAGAGAACAGTA